ATTAGTTCCTCTGTTCAAATCCGTGCAATTGACAGATTATGGGAGGGTTTCATGACAGTCTAAGGGACTTATAAGTCGGCGCTTAAATGCGTACAAAAGTGGATGCCTTTAAGTGAACTGCACCATACACTGCTAGACAGGTGGTGGTGGCAGGCCAGTGGAATTCCTGAGATTGTAGAGATCCAGTGTGTTTTCTTGTGGATTTCCAGTCCTCAACAAAGTATGTGGGATTCCAGCAGACCTTCCACTGGATCTCCAGTTGCTCATCACGTGACCTCGGCATGGCGTGATCCGAGAGAACCTCGACGACGAGTGTAGCTCAAACTTCGAACTTCGAAGTGTTGTCTCTCCTGGTCTCCTTGTCTGCAGCACCCTAGCACTCCCTTACCCACCATCCTCCCCTGTGAGCAATCTGCCCATAACAATTTGCACAATTCCTGTCTCGTTTGCACTTGTCGCCTTATTGCCTTTCCTTTTGACTTTCCCTGCTCAACAGACCCATTGATCATCTCCCTCGGTGAAAATTTCCTGTCAGCGAGAGGTGAGTGTGCTCTGTTTTCTGACGTCCAGCTGTTCCGTCCCTCCTATCATCCACCATTAGGAATGCTCTAGAGTATCCTAACAGGCTTCAAACAACTTAACGATTCCATGTAGTGTACTATGTCATAGCGTAATTTGCACCTAGTCGCTAGACGTTGTAGTCATAGAACCTGCCGCTGGCAACTATGCTCCATAGCTATCTGCACGTTGTCCTCGCAAGCTAATGATATGCTTACTTCTTACACTGGGACGCTGTGAGCCTGAATGCCCAGACGATTCAACATGTCGTCGACTGTGTGCCCCCTGTATGCCCCCCCCCGATTGTGCATAGTTGCCACGTAATCTCAATGACTGGCTGGATTGTGGAATCCCACCTATTTTGTTGAGTACTGGAATGCCACCGGATTCCACCTGAAATTCCACAATCATGTCCGCCACTGGCCTGCCACCACCTTTTGTCTAGCAGTGTAGACCTCGGCAAACGGTACCGTGACGACGAGAAAGGAAGGTGCCATCATGACAAAGCAGATTGTATAAGTAATTCCGGTCACGTGCTGATGACTGGCAGAATCTGCCACTCGTTGTAGGAATCTACGGAAGAGTACCGAAGTCGATGCGACGCTATCATGGTAAGCTATTCGACCATCTCTATGTAGTGATTAGAAAGACATCAACTCTGCGTGATTCATGTTGTCAGATATCTTCAACATGACACTGGTGGAGAAACACAGGACCCGCTCCGGAATCAGGTATCTGACATGTTGTCCGACTTGATCAAAACCCCGGTGAAACCGGCGCTTTCATGTCTATGCAGGATCTCGCGCATGGGACGATAAAACATCCCACCCCTGCCAACCGGCCTCTTTCCCGCCTCTTGCCGCAACCCATAATGTCTGCCATACCCTCACCGGCTGCCCTCTCCCTCGACTTCGTTGTGGTTGGTGGAGGTCTGTACTTGGTCTCTAACCCCTTTGTTTAATCTCCTGCCTTTGTTGACTGTGCCTCCTTTGCATTGCGCATATCTGATGCATTGCAATGCATTTGCCCATATTCCATGTTTCATGGCTAGCAGGTATCGGCGGCCTCGCAGTAGCATATGTACTCAGCAAAGGAGGACAACGGGTCAGAGTTTTGGAGAAGAATAACTTGAACGTCCCAAGCGGTGGGCATCGCATGACTCCAAATTCTAGCAAAATTCTACGACAGTGGATCGGCGAGGAGGAGCTCATGAAATCAGCCGTGCGCTGCGTTCGCTGCAAGACATTCGATCGTAGGTACACTCAGCCCAAGATCCTTACACTTGCGTTGATAGTCAGATGACTAGTGCGAACTGGAGAGGTCGTGGGCTATATCGAATGGAAACCCGCCGTCATGGCAGAGACTGGTGGCGACCTCCTTCTTATTCATGTGAGATGATCGCAATAGTTTCCAGAAGCTTTTCTCACCCTGACCCACCCGTAGCACAACGACCTTGTCAGAATACTGCACAGACTTGCAACGGATGCAGGTGCCATTGTCGACTTCAACGCCGAAGTGACCTCCGTACGGCAGGGGACGGAAGAGGACCCTAAGCCGATAGTGACTCTTGCAACTGGAGAGGTCATTACAGCAGACGTCTTGGTGGGTGCGGACGGAGGCAAAAGCCTAGTGCGAAAAGTGGTTTTCAAGGAGGAGGACTGCGCGGAATTTGTCAGAATGACCCTGTATACAGGGACCATTGATGCTGAAGATATGGTGACGGATCCGGATCTCGCGCCGTACATATTGTCCGATGAGGTGAGCATCCGCGAGCAATTGTGACTTTGCCTGAACGGTCCTGAACGGTGCAATAGTGGGCAGTAGGCATGTCACCCGGTTGCTGTATGATGGGTATGTGAAACCTGATTCTGGTTTCCTGATGCTCTGTGATCATATTATGCGGGGTCGATCAGGACACCCCATGGTAGGCTGATCGATATGTCTGCATGGCCTTGTAGTCCCTACTAACTTTGTACACGCCCCACTCGTGCAGGCGGCGAGAACCCAATATGCGATCCATCTTTCTTGTTGGGAAACTTCAGATGGGCTTCCTCAGGGCGGAGAAGAGAGTTGGGAGGAACTTTGTTCTATCGACAGTATCAGCACTGACACTTACGGTCCAGCGTACGCGTTCCGCAGCCATGTCCCTTCTGTTCTGTGGTCTGATAACTCCCATTATAGATTCCAGAAGATGGCCAAACTGACCACCAACCTGATTCGTACGCAATGGAAGAATCATGAGAACACAGAGGAATGGGTGGACTCTACTGGCCGAATGGTTCTGCTCGGCGACGCAGCGCACCCGTCTCATGTGAGTAAGCCTTTGCTGTCCACTGTCATTAACTCTTACTTCTGTGACGTTCTAGCCTGGAGGGATACACTCGACAAGCATGGCCATCGAGGACGCCGTTGTGCTCGGCTCACTTTTCTCTCATCTGAGCATGATCGATCAGGTCCCTTCTTTCCTCAGCGCCTACCAGGAGCTCCGCCAGCGGCGGTGCGAGCTTCTCATGGCCGCGGGTATCAGTAATGCGCGGACGGTGGCACTTCCTGACGGCCCCTTGGCGGAGAAGCGGAACGCAGACATGCGCGCAAGAAACGTCGATTGGGACGAGGGCACGCTCAAGGCCCAGTTCGAGGAAATTGCCGAAATATTCGCGTATGACGCCGGTGATGCGGCGGAGGAGTGGTGGGTGAACTGGGGTCGGTTCAGCGCTGCAGCGCGCGAGCAGCCAAGAACGATGAACATCTTCTGGGATCACCAAGTGTCAAGCATGACGCAGCGAGCTGGTGTTTAAGGCCGTCATCATCGGAGGCCTCTACAAGCACTGCCATACCTGCCGGTGCGCGTTCATTTCCGGGATGCGCACCTTCCTCCAGCCCTGCTCTATAATGCTGCTTTACTATAACTGCCCATTCCAGTCATCTCGGCCTCTCCGACTATTTCGATCTTTGGTGCACTTCTTGTGCTCATGCTTTTCGTGCATGTCTCTTCTCGTCCTCATACAAACACACTCTCCGAGTGGTGTACTTTTCCCCTAATATTTATGCTCTCGAGCGTTAGCTCTCACATTCCAATGCGTCGACATGTATTTGTCTCCCACAAGCTGTTATCATCGTGATGTTCTTAGGACTCCACTTTGTATCTCTAAGTATGAGATCGTATCGTAGCGACCGCGATAATTTCGGGGTACGCATCCGAATGTTATATCAGGGTTCCAAGAAGACTGCCTGTGGTTACGCGGCGAGCCACACCGCGCACACCAGTGAGCAACGCAGGCGAGCAAATGGCATCTGGACATTCAAGTTAGTACAACATACATTTCTTTCAAACTTCGTGCCTGCGCATCTACCACTTCCGCCCACTTCTCATGTGCAATACTGTGATCCAGACGCCCCACGTTCCGTTCAGTGGTGGAACAACCGTAGCGAAGTGTGCGCGAACACCATCCCGTGCTCGTCAGCCGCCTTCACGCATTCCTCGTCCATGACGCTCCCGCTCGGCGCCGCAAGGAAGCGCACCCCGCTCCTCCGCGCGCGGTGCACGTTGTCCGGGAACGGGAAGAACGCGTCGCTGCTGCACGCGACGCCGTCGAGCTTCGCCGCGTGCTCCTTCCTCTCCTCCCCCGTCAGCGGCGCGGGCACCGCCTCGAAGAGCGCCTCCCACTGCGCACGCTCTGCGCCCTCTAGCGGCTCCCCAGCGACGAAGAGGTCGATCGCGTTCGCCTTCTCGGGACGCTTGACGCCTTTCTTGAAAGGGAGCGCGAGCACGCGGGGGTGGTGGCGGAGCCACCAGAGGTCGGCCTTGGTCCCCGCGAGGCGCGTGCAGTGGATGCGGGACTGCTGACCGGCGCCGATGCCGACGATCGCGCCGCGGTAGGCGTACGCGACACTGTTCGATTGGGTAAACTTGAGAGCGAGGGTGGCGACGATGAGGTCAGTCAGCGCGTCATTCGTCAGCTGGATGCCGACAGGGTGAGGTGAATAGCGGGTATCATGAAGGGAGTAGGGCAACGCTACCTCCTTGTTCTTAGTGACGATGTTGGAGAACAGATCAGCGTCGATTTTTGCGTCATTGCGGCGCTGCTGAAGCGAGATTCCGTACACTTGACGGGTTTCGATGTCCCCAGGCTTATATGCGGGGTCGATCTGTGGAAGACGTTTCGCCGGCCGTCAATAATGGTTCTATGGCTGTGCAGCGAGCAAGTCGCAAACCTGTAGCACGCAGTACTTGCCACCCTTCTTTTTCGCAAGGATCTCAAGAGCCTCGGGAGAATAGCTCGGGGCAATGATGCCGTCGGAGACTTCCCGCGAGATGATGCGCGCGGTGGCGAGATCGCAAGGGGCGGACAGCGCGATGAAGTCGCCGAACGACGACATACGGTCGGCACCTGCCAAGCAACATCAGCCCACCCCCACGCAGAAGGAGGCACACGGTATCCATACCTCGGGCACGGGCGTACGCGCTCGCGAGAGGGGTGAGGGGCTCCTTCAGGTCATCGACACCGTAAACCTTCTTCTCGACGTCGTTGAGCTCGAGTCCGACAGCTGCACCCGCGGGGGACACGTGCTTGAATGACGCTGCGGCAGGGAGGTTGAGAGCCTCAGACAGCTCCTTGACCAGCGCGTACGAGTTGAGCGCGTCCAAGAGGTTGATATATCCGGGTGAGCCGCACAGTGCTAACATATCGCTGAATCAGGCGTGCATACCCCCTGTTCACGAACGCTGACTACTCACCCTTGAAAGGCAGCTCGCCCGACGTGACAAACGCCTGAGCCGGCTTCTGGTGCGGGTTCGCGCCATAGCGCAGCGGCGTCCTTTGCACTGACCCCGCAAGCCTCTCCTTCGGCAAATCGCTCGAAGCGTACTGCTCCCTGAAGTACCCGCTGATCGCCTCGTCGTACGCCGCGGTCTGCTCGAATGCCTTCAGCGCGAGCTTGCTCCGCGTCGCCTGGCCGACGTCCCCGTTCCCCGCCTTCCACTGCTCGAGGAATTCGGCGTAGTCCGCGGGGTCGGAGAGGATCGAGACGCGCTCGTGGTTCTTCGCGGCCGCGCGGAGGAGGGTGACGCCCCCGATGTCGATCTCCTCCACGGCGTCAGCGAGCGTGCAGTTCGGCTTGGCGATGGTGTCGGTGAAGGGGTAGAGATTGCAGACGACGATGGAGATGGGGGATATCTGCTGGGCCTTGAGGTCCGCCTCGTCCGAGGGGATGGACCGCGCGAGAATGCCTGAGGATCATCTCTCATGTCAGCGTCAACTCTACGAAGTCTGGCAGGTTTGTGGATGATATGAGATCGCGCAGTTTCCAAGGCGCGCGTAGAAAAAATTCTGTGAGGACTAACCTCCGTGCACTGCAGGGTGCAGCGTCTTCACTCGCCCACCAAGCATCTCGGGGGCTTTTGTGATATCCACTACATCTCTGCCGAACGAAGCATCGTACGCATATCATCACTCGAAGGTGAAGACACAACTCACTTGATAGGGATACCTGCCTCCCGAATTTTCTTGGCCGTACCGCCCGATCCGAGTAGACGGACGCCCGCGCCATGCAGCCCACTCGCGAGATCGAGCAGGTTCGTCTTGTCGTAGACCGAGAGCAGAGCTTCAAGACATTAGCGCACCGTATGGGTATCCAAAGTCGAGATTAGGAACCCACCAATTGGTTCAGACATGGCGATGGAGGTAAGAGTCCTACTCAATTCTAAACTGCACGTACGCTCCTCCATCAGTGCATGCCTATAAAAGGAGAACACGAGGCAGGCAGAACGCACGAGGGGCGGACCCTAGACCTGGGTTTGCGAGCGCTGTGAGGGTCGGAGCTCGAAAGCCGGAGCCTTCAAGAGCAACGAGGGTGGCCCATAGCAAACAAAGAAAAGCATGGAGACTGATACTCAGAGGGCATTCCATAGCTTTTGAATATCACAGATAGTAGAGCATTTGTTCCCTTCGGTATACCCTATTGTTCGAGCTTGCCAGTGAGCTGAGATCATTTCAAACCACTCATCGTTGCGAAGCCTGTGTAGTGACAAGCTTCCTGACCAAGCCCAGATGAGTATCTCTAGAGGCTATCAATATAGCAGAGATGTTTTTGCAACGTTCACAACACTACCAATAGGTGAGAAAAGCTATGGATACAGACATCTATGGTGCAAGCCTCCAAGTAGGCACTAGTGGCGGATGGTTTGAGCTCCGCCTTCCACAGCGCTCGCAAACCCAGGTCTAGGGTCCGCCCCTCGTGCGTTCTGCCTGCCTCGTGTTCTCCTTTTATAGGCATGCACTGATGGAGGAGCGTACATGCAGTTTAGAATTGAGTAGGACTAAGAGACGGCGCAGCCTTCTGAGGCCAGTTAAACTCAAAATTCACCGATCGCGATCTGAGATTACACCACGATAGGTCAATGGTAAATCAGGGGACGCCTCTATCTGAGCCGTTCTCACTGCGTCGTCGACGGCGATGTACACGATGTATCTGCCGTACCTCCATGGTATGACCAGGTCCTCACCACAGGAATGGACGAACTGTGATGAAGCGCAAGCGGACACGAGGCTCTGTCGCGCGTTACTCGGATAGGCGCCTTCACGTGAGGGTGTACATTACTAAGCAGAAACCTCCGTCCTGAGTGGTGCCGCACGGACTGACCTGCAGCTTGCTTGCTCACCCCCACCGACGCTACCCCCACGAACCCCACGATATCCCGGGCCTCCAGGAGGGAAATACAAACACAAACACATCATACTGCGACTAATCTCTAAAAACATGGCATCACTACGCCAAGTATTCTCTCTCTTCCAACGGCCTATCCTTGCCTCACCCGTAGCGAGCTATCCCGCTGCACATCAAGCGTCGCGCGCTCACTTTCTGACCTCCGCCAATACCCATGCTATCGCGCGCGCATCCTCCTCATCGAAACGAATGCTTCAGAATGATCCTTCCGCTGCCGCATCCTATCCCGTAGGGGAATCTTCCGCACCCTCCACAGCAGGAACATCTGGGGCATCCGCCTCACAACCTCAAACACACATTACACTTGAGCAGCCCGAGCCCAGACTGGCATTGACATTCACGTGCACAGTAGAGGCCTGTGGGCATCGCTCAACACACCAGTTTACGAAACGGAGTTACACGAGGGGTATCGTCATCGTGCAGTGTCCTGGATGCAAGAACAGGTAAGTCGCCGAGCCCAGAATCGATTCCTCGCAATGAATTGTTTGCTGACGTGCATCGTTCCTTTTAGGCATCTGATTGCTGACCATCTTGGATGGTTCAAGGAGAGCACAGAGGACGGCAAGTTGAAGACGGTCGAGGACCTCTTGCGCGCAAAGGGCGAGAAGGTCCGCAGGGGTAGGCTAGATGCAGGTGGTGTCGTCGAATACGCTCCAGAATAGACAGTAGGGGCTCACCCATCCCCATTCCACTCACAACCGAACCAAGGTGTGCAGAATGATATTCCAAGCATAACATGCGATTAGTGTGAGGTGTGGTGTATGGATACAATGAACAAGACGGCAGTCGTGAACCTGGGCATGCAGCACGATGCGAGTATAGAATGTAAGACGTGCCTCTAACTTCATGCCTCCTCCTTTTGAGCCTCCTCAGGCAGTATGACGCCGTTCTTGACGAGAAGCTGATCAAGCTCCCCGGATTGGTGCACTGAAGTTATGTTCACTGAGCAAACGGTATACTCTGATCAAAGATCGTACTGTACGCACTGTTTAAGAGAATATCGCAGCCACCAACGAATTCGCCGTTCACGTACAACTGGGGTATTGTCGGCCAATCACTGCCCGTGCATAACACACGTCAGCATCCCTCCCACACTCAGACCGCAGACGTGTTATGTGAATGCACGCACGAGAACTCCTTGATGCTCTGCCTCAGCTCGCTGTCCTCGAGCACGTCGAACGTCTTCAACTTCTCCGGGGGCACCCCGTGGATGTCGAGCACCTGCACCGCGGCCCTCGAGAACCCGCACTGGGGCGCTTCCGGGGTGCCTTTCATGAAGAGCACGACGGGCGTCGACTCGACCGCCTTCTGTATCTTCGCACGCACTTCCTGGCTGATGTATCGCCGCGCGACGGCAAACGGGAGCGACGGCGAGGAGCCTAGCGCGACCGCTGGCACGCGGGCCGGCGCGCGGAGGGCGGTGAACTGTTGACAAGTTATAAGTTGTCGCGCTCAGCATCTGCAGCTAGAAACAAGACGTACCGAGCTACGAAGAGCGGTCCTGAACATGACGATGGTAGTGGTGAGAGCGAAACGGACGGATAGTCGCACAACCCAATATGCTGAGTGAGAGACTCGGGCGTCGGGCGATCGGGATGACGTTGGGTTAGGTTCTATGTAATTCTTTGAGGTTAGGGTCTGGTAGCGAGCATGTGCTCGGCACGCTTTGCATCTCCGCCCGAAAGCGTGTCGCGTACCAGGAAGCGCGTCTCATTACCACCTGTTTACTCAACTGCACCTCTCTCCTCACTCTGCCTCTGTCTGTTAGCCTTCCTAGGCGTATATTGATATGTCGAGCCGACAAAGCAAGGCAGAGAAGCTCAAGAAACTAGAAGAGCTCAAACGCGCGCGAGAGGGTGGCAAACGGGAGTACAAGGTACGCGACCCCGTCGGTCGACACGCGTTTGGTAGACTCACGGACGTGTTTCCAGATCGAGGATGACAGTAGCATCTACGACGAAGTGACCGAGAACGAGTACAAGACAATAGTGAAAGGACGGCTCGCTCGGGACGACTTTGTGGTCGATGACGGGTTTAGCGGCTATGTAGACACGGGTGTAGACGACTTCGAGGAGGCGGGGGACGTCGAGGAGGACGAGGAGGAACGCCCTAAGAATAAGTGTACGTGTATGTGCAACCTTTCGCAGGTCCCCGTCTCAGACGCGTCGGTGTACAGCGAAGAAGGCGAAGGCGGATCCGAAGGGCAAGGCGAAGGCCAAGCCGAAGCCTCCACCACCTGCAGTCACACCCTCGATTAGCGCATACCGCCCGGCAGTGTCTGTCGAGAAGGAGGACACCTTCATGCAGAGTCTTCTGGGGTCTATGGACACGATCGTCACGACGCCCGCTCCGAAGACTCGCAAGCGGAAGCCAGAACCTGATCCCGTATACGACGACCGCGACTCCTCACCGGAGCCATACGCCCCTGCCCGCCGTTCGCGCTCCAAAGGGTCCGGATACGGCTACGGCAGCACGGACCCGGACACCTCGGACAACTACTTCGACGATCCCGTCGGGGCGTCCAGCGGGGACGACTTCGTCGTGAGCCCGAGGAAGAAGCCGAAGACGGAGACCCCAGGCATCACGCCCGCAATAGACCGTATCGCGAAGCTCGACATGCAGGGCGGAAACGAGACGGAGAGTTCGTTCGACGATATTGACATGGACGCGTTCATGGACGTAGACGACGACTTTGATTTCAGCGCAAAGCCGGTCTCAAAGGCGAAGATAGAGGTCGACGCGGAAGCAAAGCCGCTCAAGCCTCTCAACGGGAACGCTGCCAAGCCAGACGTCAAGAAGAAGCTGGACGACAACCCGTCATGGCTATCTGTTTACGATTCGCTCACCGTCACCGGCGATGATTCCTTCGGTCCAGCTGCGTCGACCAATGGCGCTACCCGTACGCCTGCCCCTTCCAATATCTCAGTGCTCGAAGAGGACGGCTCGCTCCGATTCTACTGGCTTGATTACCTCGAGCACGACGGGAGGCTCTACTTCATTGGCAAGACGCAGGACAAGAAGACGAAGGTGTGGGTCTCGATCTGCGTCACCGTGGAGAACCTCGAGCGGAACCTCTTCGTCCTCCCGCGCGAGCGCCGGATGGAGGAGGACGAGTACACGGGCGAGATGTACGAGACGGACGTCGTGCCGACCCTGGGGGACATCTATTCGGATTTTGACAAGCTGCGGCAGAAGGCAAGGATTGGGAAGTTCAAGGCGAAATTCGTAAAACGCAAGTATGCGTTTGGGGAGAAGGACGTGCCAAGGGAGGAGCGAGACTGGTTGAAGGTTGTGTACCCCTTTACTGGTACGTGTTACTGTCATACAACGGTATTTCAGATCAGTCTTGACCTCCAGAGCAGAGCCCCAGCTTCCGAATAACGCATCGAGTCCGAACTTCTCGAGGATATTCGGGACGAACACAAGCGCGTTTGAGCTGCTGGTCCTGAAGCGCAAGATCATGGGCCCGTGCTGGTTGCAGATCAAGCATCCGGAGATCGACAACAAGGGTGTCAGTACGCGCTACTTGGTCTGCAAATTATGTTGCTCACTGTATGCGCAGGTTTCTTGGTGCAAGGTCGAGGCGACCGTCTCCGATCCCAAGGACATAAACCCTTTCGCGGAAACTGACGATGACGCGCCTAAGGAGACACCACCGCTCACGATAGTCTCACTCAGCTTGCGAACCGTTGTTAACCACCGGGAGAACATCCGAGAGATCGTCTGTGCGACCTCTCGGATTTGGTCGAACAGTGAGTCCGCTCTGCGGAGGGTCCGGTCATACGCTGACAACCTAGGCAGCGAACATCGATGACCCTACACCACCCGAGGCACTGCCATGCACAGTCCGGACGTTCGTGAGACCTCTTGATCGCTTCCCAGCGAATTTCGAGGCACGCGCCAGCAACAACGGCAAGGGTGTCATCTCTCCTATGAAGAACGAACGTATGCTCCTTAATAACTTGCTCGGTAGGCTGCGATCTCTTACGTGTGCGAAGCTCGTCACTAAGCTTGTCGCTAGTGACCTTGCACAAGGCTGACCCGGACGTCATTGTGGGGCATGAGTTCCTCGGCGTGTCGTTGGACGTCCTGCTACATCGAATGCGGGAGCTCAAAGCGGATCACTGGTCTCGCATTGGTCGCTTCCGACGGTCGAAGTGGCCTAACATTGGCCGCCAAGGAACCAATCTACGCTTCTTGAGCGGTCGCCTTCTGTGCGACCTTGCAAGTGATGGCGCGAAGGTATGCAATTGCGGGACGATCCTCAATGCTCCAGCCAAGCTGACCACCATCTCCGCAGGGCATGATCACCTCCACGACGTGGTCGCTCACTGAGATGTGCAAGACGCATCTCAAAAGCGATCGGCAGGAGATCGACTTTGACGACACCGCGAACTACTTCGACGGCAGCGTTAGCTCACCAGAGCCACTCCTCAACTTCGTTCGGCACTGCGAGCTCGACGCACATTACCAAATGGCGCTGGCGTCGAAAGTTCAGCTGCTTCCTCTGACGCGACAATTGACCAACCTCGCGGGCAACTCCTGGTATGTTCTCCCTATGTCGCCTGTAGCCTATGCTGAGTTGTGTCTGACAGGAACAAGACCCTCAACGGAGGCCGTGCAGAGCGGAATGAGTACATTCTCCTGCACGAATTCCACCGGCTCAAGTATATCTGTCCCGATAAGCTGTACGGCAAGAAGGCCGCGACGGCGATGAAGGCGGAGAAGGAAGAGAACGAGGATGGCGAGGGCGCTACCAAGACGACCAAGAGCAAAAGGGACAAGTACAAGGGCGGTCTCGTGTTCGAGCCGAAGCGCGGCCTGTGGGACAAGTACATCCTCGTCATGGATTTCAACTCGCTGTACCCGAGCATCATTCAGGAGTACAACATCGATTTCACGACCGTTGAACCTGCCGAGGAGGATGAGGTGGGTGCCCGTTCTCTTTGCGGCCAACGTGAATGCTCAATTCTTTGTAGGGTGGTGAGGAGAAGATCCCCGAGCCACCAAGTTCGCAGGTCGACCAGGGAGTTCTACCGCGTTTGATTGCCACCCTCGTCAATCGACGTCGAGCAGTCAAGGCTTTGATGAAGGACAAGAAGGCGACACCGGCTCAGCTACTCCAGGTACGGATAGGGCTTGGAATCCCGTTGGGCCATATTAAACTTATGGCATTGTAGTGGGACATCAAGCAGATGGCCTTGAAGCTGACGGCCAACAGTATGTACGGTTGTCTCGGTTTCGAGTACTCCCGGTTCTACGCTCGTCCTCTCGCCGCCTTGACGACGTTCAAGGGCCGCGAGATTTTGACACACACCAGAGAGCTCGCTGAGAGCATGCAACTTGATGTACGTGGGCTTTTTAGGCTTCGACTATTTCCTGCGTTGACTTGAAGTGTAGGTCGTCTATGGAGACACAGACTCTGTCTTCGTCAACTCGAACGTGACCGACCTGGCAGAAGCCCTCAAGATCTCCGCGGAATTCAAAAAGGCCGTCAACGACCGATATAAACTACTTGAGATCGACCTCGACGGCATCTTCAAGCGTTTGCTGCTCTTGCAAAAGAAGAAGTACGCAGCTGTCAAGGTCGAGGATAGCACCCGCACGTCGACTGAGGTCAAGGGTCTCGACATGAAGCGTCGTGAATACTGTGCTCTATCCAAGACTGTCTCTGGGTAGGCGAACACCCTGTTCCACTTGTTGTATACACGTTGACGCACGCCATAGTTATGTTTTAGACCAGATTCTGTCCGGCGAAGCCACGGAGACTGTCGTGGAGAACATTCACGAGTACCTCGTTACTATTGGGCAGCAGGTCCGTGCCGGCAAGATCAAGCTGGAGGAGTTTATCATCCACAAAGTGAGTCTCGGGTCCTACTCCGGGTGGACGGTGTACTGATGAATTTTGGCAGCGTTTGGGCAAGAACCCAGAGGACTACCCCGATGCGAAGAGCCAACCTCATGTGCAAGTCGCTTTGCGTATGAAAGCCAAAGGAGGTACTGCACATGCTGGAGACGTCATTCCGTATATCTTCTGCCTCGGCGAGGGTGGGGAGACGGCGAAGTCCGCCCAGGCGGACAGGGCGAGGTCACCTGAGGAAATCCGTCGAGAAAGCGACAAGTACAAGATAGGTGAGCAACACTGCAACATTTGCACGGCACATAAGTTCTGACAACGTTGATCAGACTACGAGCACTACTTGTCGCAACAAGTCCTCCCACCTATTGAGCGTCTGTGCGAACCCATAGAGGGCACGGACCGTGCGCGGCTGGCAGAGTGCTTGGGCCTGGATCCCAACCGCTATCGTACTGCCGGCACTGGGGAGTCAGAAGAGAGATACTTCGGGACACTCGATTCGCTCATGTCCGACGCGCAGCGGTTCCAGGATGCAGACGCTTTCCAGGTCCATTGTCGCTCTTGTCAGAATGTCGTGCCCTTTGCTCCCGTCAGCGATCGCGAGGTAACTGACTTCTTTGCATTACACATCTAAATTCACTGACGTCCATCACCAGAAATCTCACATCCGATATTCCGGTCTTGTATGCCCACAATGCCGCGCCGCAGTCAGCATTGCGAGTGTGCAGACACAGCTTGAAGTTCAGATTCGGGAACATATCGCAAAGTACTACGAGAGCTGGACGATCTGCGATGATGCAACCTGTGGCAATCGGACACGCATGATGGGGGTGTACGGTCGTCGGTGCTTGCGACCAGGATGTAGAGGCACCGTTGCCTTTGAGGTGAGTCGCGTTTTCAGCCTGTTCAGCTCACAGTTCTCTGACCTGTTGCGTACAGTATTCGGATGCACAATTATACAATCAGCTGCGTTACTATTTTTCTTTGTTTGACATCAAGAAGGCGCTTGAGGCCGCTACCGGTGCTACGAAGGATGGTACGTATACACCTTCCGAGATGTGGCTGAGCATGACTGACGCGACATGCTGCAATCTATGCAGACCTTCAAACACTCGGCCATCTACCGCAGGGCATCTGCGATCAACTAAGGGAGGTGGTCGAAAGGTACCTCAACCAGTGTGGACGTCGCTGGGTGCAGATGAGCGCTTTGTTTTCTTTTATGAAGTTGTGATTGCTCTGTTTTACGTGCTCGTTTGGATATCGTTGTGTACTATTTACTCTCTTCGCTGTTGTATCGCTATCATTGCAGTCCGTCTGAAATATTATAGGACCCACAACATCACGACCTTTGGATAGGTCATCTTGAAGACCTGTTATCAACGTAATCATCCTTATTGTAGTTCAGTAATAGGCGGCTGGACAGTCGCAAGTGCTGGATACACACGCCTCCACCATTTTCTCTCCTAATAGAGATAGAGTACGTCTGGGTCCGCATGCAGCAGCGGTAAGGGTCGTACAGACGGACTGGACAAGGAAGCTCCTGTTGGTCCTCTGGTCTCAAGCAGGTCACGGCTAGAGGCGCAAGCCATATGTTTCTGGCCTACTGGAACATAGGCACTGGTCAGCTCAGACCACTTCCCTTCCTCGCGACAGCAACACAAACATGGTCTTTTACGAGTTCCCGGGCCATTTCGCCGTCGCACAAACAATTGTTTTTCGCTGGAGGACTCAAACACACAACTTACTTCAAAAGGGGATGGCGAACCGGACCATTTCCGGGTCAAGTCATCCTTCGCAGCATCCGTCTCGTCGCTGGCCTTTCAATCTTCTTGAATTCGCGGCAGTGGTACGCGCGTTCATTATGCCGTCTAGATTGTTCAGCTCGATGGCTTGACGCCTGTGTCCGAGTCAATTGGGCGAGTCGTCACGTAGCCTCGTCGGTAGTACAGCAGCGGCCTCGCCTCCTCCCCGCTAAGCGAAGTAGTCCGTTCGACACGTATGACCTCCGCAATGAACAACTCGGACGCAACGCCCTCCCCATCCCACTCCGCATTCTCACCCTTCTCTCCCCTGGCAAGCATCTCCAGGTCGTGCAGTGGCCAAGACGCCGCAATGAGCCGACACGACATCGCGCCTATGGACCCGTCTAGGACGGGGAGGCCCTCCTCGGTGAGCGTGTGCGGCACGGACGCGAACGGCTCCGGGTGAAGGTCTGGTCTCGAGAAGCGCACGGCCGTGTCCGCCTGATGCTCAGATAACAAGTTGACGACGAGGTGCGCGGGAGCAGACCCGACCGTGTACGCGGCCGTGAGGGACGTGGCCATGCGGGAGGGTATCCGGAGGGAGAACGCGACGAGGGGGTGCGGGTCCATGGATATAGAGCTGAAGGAGGACAGTGTCGCACCGTGGAAGCCGCTCCGGCTCGCAGAGCTTGTTTTGTTGGGTATGCTGGGGTCCATGAGGGCGGTGACGACCGCGACGGGTTGTGCGGTCTCTCGTAGCAGCGCACGCAGTTGTTCCCGAACGGCGGACGTGTAGGTGACGAGGCTACGCGCACATCGTGCTGTTCTGCAGCTGCGCAGCGCTAACGCGCGCGCAATTGCTGGCATTTGTCAGGCTACACAGTTTGCAAACCTGAACGCGTCTGAGAATGAGTTCATGCCAATAATGGGACGGGAGGACTCGGAGCTAAGACTTTACTCACCTCCAAGCAGGCCCACAGGACAATATCAGGAGTCTCTATATCACGGTAGATGAAGCAGCATAGAAAGTTCAACCTAGTAAACTGGTGCGAGTGTTATGAGCCTGGATAGGTATGACGACAGGGCACATGCCGAATCTCCCGGATGTTTGTTTGTACATGTTAGGATCTAAAGCCTTGGCCAAAAAGGAGACTCCTCCTCCAGCCTGCACGAGATGTCGCGAGACTGCGGCTCCTCCAACAGATGTCATCATGGTGTACTTTTGTAAGCAGTTTTTGTCAGAGCCTTACGCCGTCCGATCCTGTGTTCTCCCGGAGCTCATGTCGGCCCTTGTCGGTCTTCTCACAAATATGCAACAGGTGTATCGCCGTGGCGGCATATTTGCGTCGTGAACATACAGTCGTGATCAGCACGAGGTCTCGGGCGGTCCGACAGACGCTTTCTGAACCCCTGTGGTGCTAGACTAAGCCAAAGGTGCACCTATGAGCTATATAGGTATGTACAACTGTCCTCTTGTCGTGGCCCGGGCAGTTCCTATAGCATTGGTCAACGACACTTTTGTTCAACGACTCGGAGTTGTGCTCAGGAAGTTTGACATACTGTGGGTGGCCTTTCAGATATGGGCTCTTGAATATGACTTCCGGTATGGAGTGGATCATGGGGCTCGCAGATGGCGCAACTAATACTGGCGCCTGAGATGCATGTTGAGCGCGCTGATTGGCACATATTTTCTGCCGCACGGCCCACCGGTGCTCGAAATCTCTCTTCGAAGGTGTAGCCCGTCTTTCAGCCAGACCTCCAACAGTCCGTGTCCGTCCCCGCCGCCGTGCCGAGGATGCCTACGACAACGTCGGACGAAGAAGCCAACAAAGTCGAGAGCCCAGACGTCCGCAGCCTCGCGAGGAGGTCTCTCTCTAGCGTGAGAGAGGCAGTCGATCCGCGTCTTTCTCCGGCCGACAGACCTGCCGACGCTACGCTAGATGAAGGTTACCTTCGCCAGCTGCACGATCACCGGCACAGCGAGAAGCACATTGCAAGCGGCGAGAAGGAGAAGACTGACGAAGAATACGAAGACTCTTTGGATGAAATCATATATGTACGTGGTTCCATGATTCCCGGTCTTCTTCCACTCTGTGTAATGATGTCTACTACATACAGGTCGATTTCGAAGAAGGCGACCCACGAGACCCCGCGAACTTCACGTATGCCCGAAAATGGGCTATTACTGTGACGGCTTCGTTCTTCTCCATCATCACCGGTAATCATATATGCTCACACATCCAGCAGAAACGACTCTAATATATTCCCTGTAGCTTCGTCTTCCGGGGCGTACGCTCTTGGCTTCCCATCCATGGACCGTGACTTGGATGCGACCCGCTTCCAGGCAACTGTTGGGCTGTCTACGTACACCCTTGGTTTCGCCGTCCTTCCGCTCGTTACGACATCCTTCAGCGAAGAATTTGGTAGGCAGCCATTGTACGTGGTTAGCGCCATCGGATGTCTGCTCATGCATCTGATGGCAGCACTGTAAGTGGATCCTCCGATACATGCTGTCTCCGGCCTACGCCTATTCTGATTGTCTGCGCTAAAGGGCTCAAAACATCCAGACGGTTATTGTGGCGCGCTTTCTAGCAGGGGCGTTCGGTTCAACCTCCTCAGCAATGGTTGGGGGCTCTATCGCCGACATTTGGGCTCCTCATGAGTAAGTGCAATATTACCTCGGCGGCAGACAGGATGGCGTCACTCGAGCTTAGTATGTCTTCAGACGCGGACTCCCTATGTCCATATTCGCAGTCATGGTGCTCTCAGGCCCCGGGATCGGATGTATCGCCGCTGGCTGGATCGAGCAAAACCCTCATCTGGAATGGCGCTGGATACAATGGCTTCACGTTATGTGCGCCCGCTTCACTCTCACTTGCTCCGGCTGGGCACGATGATTTCTGACAGTATCATCGTACTCCTGCGCGTCCGCAGATGGTTGGGCGTCCTTATCGTTGCGATGCCCGTTTTCATGAAGGAAACCCGGTCTGCGGTCTTGCTGACGCGGCTTGCAAAGAAGCTGCGCAAGGAGACCGGACACCCGCACTACCGTGCCCATGTGGAGGACGAGCGCGCCAGCTTGCGGACGCTGATTTACATCTCCTGCACTCGTCCGATCTGTGAGAGCATTATGACGTACCTCACATGACGGTGCATTAATATCATGCAGACCTCTTGTTCACAGAACCTGTGGTAGCGTCCTTCAGTGTGAGACGGTCTGTACGACTGCACGGGTAAACGCTTATCCTCTGTGTAGCTTTGGGTTGGATTTGCATGGGGCATCCTCTATGTGCTCATTGAGTACGTACCGCAGGTTTGTTGCTCTCTTTTGATGCTCACAGCTAGCGTAGGTCCATTGGTCCGGCATTCCAACGCATCCACCACTTCAACACGGGGCAGACGGGAACGGTGTTCGTAGCTATGATGTAAGTATATGTCATCCCAGCTCGTGAGGTCTCTCATCACTCCATTTGTCAACAAAAGTGTCGGGTGTTTCGCCGGAGAGGCTATCCAGCTATACCAAGAGAAGCTATATGCGTACGGATTCGCCCACATCCCGTTGAATAACACTGCATTGACTCGCGTCGCTTAGAAAATACTACCCCACGAAAGGTCCGGAAGCACGCCTCTTCAGCTCAATGCTGGCCGCATTACTATTCCCCGCGGGAATGTTTATCTATGCGTGGACGACGTTTCCCTCGGTCCCATGGATCGGCATGGTGATGGGAATCTTTGTATGTAGCAGATCTGCTCTTTCTCGGGTACAGTGCTCGAGCCATCTGACTATCCTCTAGGTGATCATGATGTCCTTGTTCATTATTTACCTCGCTGTGTTCACATACCTTGCGGATTGGTACGTTGACATAACTCGCTTTCTCCGAGGAGATGCATGGATCGACCTTGGTTCTACAGTTACGGCATTTTCGCTTCCTCCGCATTGGCCGGGCAGAGCTTGTCACGTAAGTCTCACTCCTTCTGCTATAGCCACTCAGAGACTAAATCGCGACGTCCATCAGGTAACATCATGGGGACGATATTCCCTCTGTTCACCCAGCAGCTGTATGACCGCCTGACGTACCACTGGGGCACCTCGCTTTTCGGTCTCATCGCGGCGGTGATGATCCCCATCCCCTTCGTGCGTCCAAATCCTTCACGCCGCTGCATTAGGTACCTCATGTGTTTGCTCTCCAGGTTCTGTATTGGAAAGGTTCGACCATCCGTGCACATAGCAGGTTTGCATCACAGGTGATCCACAAATGAAGTAGTAGAACATTTCCAGTCTATTCTCCTACATCATCCTACTTTCCATTTCTCGCCTCTTAGCATACCGCACGACGTCAATGCTCCCCTACCTTACCCGAGCGCAGGTAGATCGTATCGCACGAATACAACCTTCGGCCATGACCGTGACGACAAGCACGCACGCTATTTCCTCTGGTTTGGAGCGCATTCCAAGTATACACGTATAGACCTGCATTCACATACACTTCCTCCATACAATGCCATCGTTCGTGGCAAATCACCTCCTGCCTTTACAGCCCTTCCCCAGTGAGTATCTCCAACGCCTCCAAGTATCGTTTCCTCGTCCCCTCGACCACGTCATCCGCCATCACCCACCCCTCCCCCTCCTTACCTTCCGGCCCTCTCTCTAGCCCCTTCCTAAAGCCTGCCCTCGTAAGCCAGTCGCGCAGGTACTGCTTGTCGAAGCTCGGCTGGCCCCCTCCGGGCTTGTACGACGCAGCAGGCCAGTAGCGCGATGAGTCAGGCGTCAGGGCCTCATCAACTAGGATCAGTTCCTCTTCACCCCCGTCAGCTGAGGGGACGAGGCCGAACTCGAATTTGGTGTCCGCGAGAATCAAGCCCTTGGTGAGGGCGTAATCCGCCGCCTCCTTGTAGAGCTGGAGCGCAGCTTTCTCGACCTTGGCGTAGAGCTCTGCGCCGATGATCGATGCGGCTGAGAAAATCCGAACATGTTAGCCTCGAGCAGAAAGCCGACGTATCTGAATGACAAACCTTTTTCTGGGGAGATGTTTTCGTCATGCTCGCCCTGCTCAGCCTTGGTCGACGGTGTGAAGAGGGGCTCCGGCAGTTTCTGCGATTCCATTAGGCCGGCAGGAAGGGGGATCCCGTGAACGGTGCCCGACTTCTTGTACTCCGCCCATCCAGAGCCTGCATGATATCGGAATAGATGGAGCGTGAGCTTCAGCGAGCCAGGGAAATGAGAATGCGACTACGGGCTCGCCTGTGATGTAGCCCCGAACGATAGCTTCTAGGGGTAAGACCTTCGCTTGTTTGACGAGTATCGCACGGCCCTCGATCACGTCCTTGTATTTCCTGACCTCCACAGGCATCGCGTCGATGTCTGCGGTCACGAAGTGCGTCGGGATGACATGCTTGAGCTTCTCGAACCAGAACAAGGAGATTTTCGTGAGGACCCTCCCCTTGTCGGGCACGCCCTAAGGACACGAACGGCATGAACCCGGTGTTGAAGGCGAGTCCCAATACCGCATCGCCGAGGGGACAAGCAGAATGAGACAGTATATGCAAGAAGTGATCATGAGTGCGTGCCATGTGGTATGTTCACGATGAGACCGGACGAACGTTGCGAAGTATCACGTCGTATGCGGATATACGATCCGACGCGACGAATAGCAGGAGAGTCGGGTCGGAAGTGGCGTATATGTCGCGGACCTTGCCCTTTGATACCAACGGCAGATCGGTCAAATTGCTGTCTATGAGAGCATGGGAACCCATCTTGACTGCACGTTCACACTACGGGCAAGTCAATTGGTGGCGGATCGAGTCAGCGACGGTCGAAACCCAAAAAATGGAGATTGTGTCCTGATAAGGCAGGTGTCGTAGTTCACGGCATCGGGCACGATTCACTGATCCCATTTATGTGTCAAGTATTTGATGCACAGTTTGTAGTGGTGGTGCGTGACATGATAATGCAGCGTTCGATACACTGTAACTCAGAAACTGATTTGAACACAGGGGGTGGAAGAAAAACACTGGTCTCGTGACCATACGTTCGGAGTCTGAAGCGGATACCAAAAATGGACGTATCCGTTGAAGTGCTCGGGAACCTCCGAATTGTGGTTCCCGCTTGAAACTCCGAACGTCTGATCACGAGATATAGGAAAAACATTAGCCCAACGCGAGGGTCGAACTCGCAGCCTTCAGATCACGAGATCACCCAGTAAAAGCCTTGCGCTCTTAAGAGTCTGACGCTCTATCCGATTGAGCTAGGCGGGCGATGTATATAGCGTTAAAACGCAGTATATATCGGCTTTGTCCAAATGCCGCCGGCTACGCAGTTAAGCGCGTGCACCGGGGTCAGGTGATTTAGCCTTCGGATAGAAAAAAGCACGTCTTCCAGTGTGCGAGTCAACTGTAGATTTCATGGCCCCAACTTGATTGGGAGATGTTCCGAGCATCATACTCAGCATCCATAGCACAAGCAGCTTACGTCTTCAGGCGAGATGCTGAGGTGCAAGTCCACCATCCCAGCGAAACCTGCCTACTTGATGTGTTAGCTTCTGGTCTTCTGGTACAAGGCAAGCGAATCGGAACTAATGGATTCCATACGGTCACGTCCCTGTGAGCCTCAGCGGTGGCGCCGTCGTGGACAGGACAGCAGACAGAGCTAATAACGCGACGCCGCAGATCGTATAAGCGCAAAACTTCTAGGTGGTCATGAGAAACACCTGCGGAGACGAAGTGGGATCCGTTAAGCTTCTGATTGCAGAGGCTGCGTTCACAGACACACCGTGTCGCCGTCCTCGCGCCTACACAGCGCCGCCCTGCGCCTGTTCCGACGGTGGGATGCGACGCGCGTGAAGCAGCTAGTGAATTCGTTTTTCTTAGCTTGTGCCTGCGCTCAATCTTAGCTCCTGGGAGTCTCGTTCCTTAAAGAGGGCTGGCGTTGAAAGAAAGCTGGCGTTGAAAGAGGGCTGGCGTTGAGTCGAGGTCTCCTATTAGAGGTCATACTATTCGTCGGAGTTGGATGACCTGGGCGCGCTTGTCAGTAAACGCCGGACGGCTGCTCGCGGCAAACTGGGCGCAGTTGGTGTGTGATAGAGTGTCGCACCCAGCGTACTTGCCGCTCCTATCGTTGCGATGAATGCATACACATTCGAGACTACGTACTACGTAGAAGGGTTTCTGGGTGAAAGAGATGGAACGAAATCGGAGTGGGGCGGCCCGTGTGGCGGCCCGGATCGAGGACCCGTACGGTGTCGAGGTGATCCGGGCCATATCACCCATTCAGAGAAGGATCGGCCAAGCTGGATATGGTGTGCGGAGGTCTGAGCCCGACAAATCCGAGTCGACGTCGCACAGGCGAAGATCTACGCAGAGGATCCTTCGTAAGCGGACATCTTCTCGAGCTGAGCGCTGACCAATACGCACACAATCCTGGCCTTTGGAGAATTGCGACATTATGATTCCAATGACCTCGGGTGGTTCTTGGATGCGTTGGTATTCACGAAATAGTCAGCTCTGTGACGTACGCTCATCAGTGCGACTCCGAAAACAAGACTGCACATGTCTCTCGTCGCATGGGATACGCCCAACAGACTCAGAAGCCAAGAAAGACCAGAAGGACTCACCATGCTCGGATGTTTGGGAGCCGTGGCCGGGTTGCATATTGAATGACATACGGTCCGACAAGCGTCGTCGCGTCGAGCCAGCCGAGGAACCAGCTGGTCCCTTGTCGATCAGGCCGCTCGCTGGCAGTAACAACCACAAAGAAGCGCTGTGCGTTGCCGTCCATGCGATCACGCCTAGCGAAGTTCGGGGAGCCAAAACAGTCAGCAACACCCATGCAATGTGTCGCACACGCACGATGTGCGGATGCTGCGTCGATGAACCGTGAGCTGGGCACACGTCTCCACCATTGGTCGAGCTGAGACTCGAGAGTCACAGACTACGACGGAAGCTACACCTTAATGGGGTGTATTGAGGAGCTTGAAGCACTTCTCCCGCACCGAGGCCTGCACAACGTGAGCACGAGAGGTTCGCGCGGTGCGTCGCTATATGAGAGCGGCAGTGGCGCTAGAATTAACCTTCGGATAGCCAAGATGGGGTAAAAGCAGCGCATACTCATGGATTGCGCCTGGGCGTGAGAGCCTACAGCATGAAAAGAAACCGCATGGCCTGTCAAGCACATCATGCCCGATGCTGCGTGGGCTTGGAGTTGCCTTTCTGGACACGTACGCCCTCGAGTAGTACCATTCGTGCACGGCGTATCGTCGAAGCGCATACATAGCACCCTGAGCATTGCGCATGAGGCACGTCGCAGTGAAAAAGACGCAGATACGGTTCAGCATTCTGGTGCGGATATGGAGTGGCACTCGGAACCGCAGCCGAGGGAGACAAGGCGCAGCGGGCCATGGGAACCGAGCACACGATCATAGGCATGCTGATAACGATCGTCCTATTGACTTCGACATTACCCGGTTCGGTAAGGGCCGTCAGCGACGCATCTGGTAGCGACGTTTGAGTGGTAGACGTACCAGTATATCCGGACACGAAGTACAACCATGGACGATGTCCCAAGAGATGCACGATCTTCCTGGGCAAGTCCTCGGCGCCAGCATCCAAATTTGGTCCTTGGACATCCATTTCCACAGGGACCATTCAGTGGCTGCGCAAGGTCTTACATGCCCAGCGGCGCCCCAACAGATATTGTGGTAGGCGTGAGCCAGCGGGAGAACTTCATGGAAATGTCGTAGAATACTCGGTTGAACCCGAGGATGTGGGGATGCGGGGGTTGAAGCCAAGACGTCGCTGTGGAAATGCCTTCATCGGATGATCATCAACCAAATGTCTTGTCGTGAGAATGGGCGACCTACGATCTCATGAGAGCCCAGGGACGAAACTGCGGAGAGTTGCAGCTTCCCCCAAAAGTACATACACGAGCCTGAAGGACAGACGCGCCCTCGGTAACGCTGCCGGCGGACCAAGTAAAATCAGTCCGATATGTGAGATGGGAGTAAAACCCTACTATGAAGGTTTGAAACATCTTCGTCTCGCAGGGTGCACACAGCAAGTAACAATTGAGCATCATGGCGCCATGTCGGCCATCTCCATCATTGTTACTCGTTCGACAGCTGAACGGTTTCCTCTCCCATGCACTTAGCCTTCCAGCTGGCCGTGGGTTCGCGTTGGAACGGGAAGGCAATGCGGAGTATTCTCGCGATCATCGAATGCGCTGCAGCATTGCTACGTGCTGCGTGGTATCCTTGGCTCCTGAGAGATTTTCACTAACCAGCTGCTGAACGACAATTCGACATTACTCTCCCCGTGATTGCTGAAGATGCTGCCGAGCCTACCCATGAGTACTTCATGCACCCGCAAGGGACGTCATCACGAGGTTGCCTCCGGAGCCTCCCCCCCGACAGGGGCGATGTTTTCGCCAACCCCCTATGGAAGCTATGTTGGCAATTAGAGCGACCGACCGAATGGCTTGAACCATGGTTCGCAGACGCACCATGCAGAACCCTGAGAAAGCGCAAGATGGGGCATCAAGAATTGCTCTGGCCCTGTGCCTCACAAACGGGGAACGATCGTAGGAGGATAACAAGCGGACTTAGACGACAGTAGCGAACGTTCGAAGCACGCAGCTTGCGAACGATGGTCCGACCGCCGAGCAAAGACGACATGCATGGCCATTCGTGGAGCCTGTATCACCACGCAACTCGCAAGCGCGAGCTTCGAGTCTTCTTGTGTTGGCGGGGAATGTGCTCAACTGCGGCCATGCATGGCAGACGGTGAGAATGGAGTACGGACGGGGTATTTTGGCATACGGTCCGTTCCCACGAGAGCACAAGTTTAGCATCTGCAACGTCGCTAGGCTGCCGATCGCGGACTAAACAGGTGGCCAGCAAGCCAGTAAGGGGCTAGTGACGCACAACTCTTGTCATTTCCAGTCTGTGCCCTTCCGGTTCATCTGTCTCGGAGCACCGGTCGAACAGACACGAGAAGCGTTCGGAACAAGTACCGCAGAGACGGCAGCTTGTGATATCGGTGGAACAGTGAAGCCGTCAGGATGAGGTCGAACCGCTGGCCACAGGTTTCGCCGGAGATCAGCACGGAGAGTGAGAATGTTCAGAAAGGGCGGCGACGCAATGCTCGCCGCCGTCGTAGATGATGTAGGGGAAGATGAAGGACAGACTGAGAGCGGTGAAAGCGATGAGCGTGCATAGCAGCTTACGTAAGATGGCGGTCGCTGCTTCTGGTCGTTGAGTTCGACGCCGGCTGGCCTCCAGCAATCCTAGTACAACGCCAAAACCCCGTCCCTCGTCGCACACGATGCCTATCAAGCATTTGAACAGTAAGTAGTCTGCTTGATTCACGTAGCTCGAGGACGTTCGCAGACAGCGCGAGCAGCACATCTCACGTCGGGCTCGTCTTTCTAGACTATTTGGTCGAGCGGAAGCAACTCCAAACACACCCTCTCTCCCTCCTCTCCGACTCACGTTTGGGCATTGATGCATCCTACTATCTCTCCTCCCTGATTGATCACCCACCCTCTCGAGAGCCTCTTCTTGCCGCGACCGGTGGTCTTCCTCTCGCACTCACCACGCGCATCGAGTCCGACTTGCGAGCGCTCGAAAAACTTCATATCAAGCCCGTGTTTGTCTTTCCTGGACTGCTTCCCAGTCGTCGTCCAAAGCAGCAGCAGCAGGCGCAGTTCGAGCAGAACGAGGCCTGCAAAGACCGTCGCGAAGCATGGGCGAAATACGAGTCGGGGCAGGAGGACGCAGCCACCAAGCTTTTCGAAGGCCGAAGCAACATCCACCAGTGGGATTTGTGGAAGATTGTGCTGAGGATCTTCAAGCATCGTAACGTGGAGTTCCTTGTTGCGCCGTATGTTGCATGGGCACAGGTGTGTGTAGTCAAGTGACGTGTCTAGCGCCACCATGGCACGCGTTCGAACGCGGCACTGACATCTCGACACAATCGCAGTTGATTTACCTGCAGCGTCATCCTAAATCATATATCCATGCGGTATACGGTCCTACAGATACCCTCCTTTACCCCGGGGTGGACAAGGTCATCACGTCGGTTGACCTATTGGCCTCCAATCCCACCTTCTCGTTTGTTACAAAACGAAACATCCTCAGCGACCTGGGTGTGACAGAAGACCAGTTCTTGGACATTGGGATATTGCTAGGATTCGAGCATTCGCCCCCATTCCCTCCGACCGTCCACGAGCAGGCTTTGAAGGCTACTGTGGACATGGTTAAGTACTACAAGTCCGGTTTTGCCGCAGTTTCCGCCCTTGCAGACCAACCACACGTGAAGCAATTGCAATATCCCGAACACTACGCACGCACCCGTTCCATGATCAAGTACTCTCTCATATTCTCCTCTGAAGGCTCTGTCACCCCGCTTCCTCTTGCTATCACTACTCCGCCCCCACATGGGCACCAGAATCACCACACACATCACCCGACCGCCGCAGATATTCCCCAGGACCTGCACGAAATCTTCACCCACCGACTTCCTGACGAGGTGTACTTCTACCTCTCACGCGGACTTCTCGGGCCACAAGCCCTCGTGTGGCTTACCACTGGGCAAGTCATCGAGAATCCGCCGCTTGACAATGGCGAGACCACAGAATACAAGCGATTTGTCAAAGAAGTGATCACCGATGGGCAGACGGGCCCTCGCGCGACCGCGCTTGCGCTTATCTCAAGCGTAATGAACTCTTTCTGGCAAACCAAGAAAGTCGTCGGCTACTTCTGGTTCGAGCAGCCTGCGCCGCAGAAGCCCATATCTCACAACTCGCCGCAGACGACGCAGCTAGCGGAGCGCGTCGCGGGCTGGAACGTCCCATACGCCATCGTGGAGGAAGAGCTCAGGCGACAGAACGTGAGTGTTCCCCCGCGTTGTCGTGCACGTGGCCTCTACGACTGCGGATCCGAGAGCTCACTTTCCCCGACGTCTGCGGCGCTGTCGCCCGCGGTGCGTTTGTGTCCGCGCAGTCGTCCACGATCGACTTCTCGCTGTGTCTCGGGGCGACTGCGTCCGAGAAGCTCGCTGCGCGGACCAAGATCAAGCCGGCACAAGGCTCGGGCGTGCTCGAGAAGAAGGACGAGATCGTGGCGAACGTGATCTGGCGATTCCTGGAGTTGCGCGGGTACGTCGTATACATTTCGCATTGACATCGCGTTCAGGAGGCGCCACCGTCGCGGCGCACCTCTCACAGGCACGCCCCCCGGGTGACACACCTTGGCTAACGCGGGCCCTGATAGGTTCCTGTTGAACACGCACACGCACTCGCCCCTGGCGCGGGCAATGTACACAGCACTCCGGCCTGCGCGGGTCAACGACAAGTTCCAAGACTCTCTCTACCTGTTCCTGGAGCTCGTCCGGGCAGGTGTCGTCCACGGCCACCTGTGGTCTGGGCGGGCGTTTAGCGGCGGGCCCAGCTTCGGTACCGGTGCGTATATGGAACTCGCATTCCCACGGATGATGGCGACCATCGTAGGCGGGCACAGCTGATGTTTCGCGTCTTTGTTCTAGATGAAGAGAAGTCGTGCATGCTCCTGGTGATGCGCGTGCTGAGCATCCTCCCACTGAGCACCAAGGTGAGAGCTCCACGGTTCCCGTCGTCTGGCGCCGCGCGCTGTCTGAGTTTGCTCGCTAACCGCGCCTAATACGCTTCGCGATTTGCATTCGTCCCCATTCGTTTCTCCGACTCTCTGATCTCACGTTTCATCGCTCGTGGCGCACAAAATGTGCTGGTCTACCCGCTCGCGATTGATCAAACATCACGCCGTCTAGCCGCAACCATGGTCTGCGCCTCTGTCACGAGAGCTGCTCGTGTTCAACTCGTTTGTGCGCTCGTTGACACGCGCGCTGCGGACGCTGCTCGAGGTGACGTCGTTGAACATGCTCCTCCGCCACGACGCGCGGAGGGCCCGTGACGACCTGCTGGACATCAATCTCTCGCTTCCCTTCCAGTCGGAGGTCAACACGGGCTTCGGCGTGCTCGCGAAGGTCTACCTGGACGCGCTCACGCACATCAACGGCCGCCAGCGCGTGCGGGATGCGAATGCGGAAGGCGTCAAGGAAGCGAAGCAGATGGCGCTCGACATCTGCGAGGAGACGTTCCAGGGCGTCAAGTACCCCAAGGCGGAGGTCGAGCGCGGCTTCCGGTTCTGGGACGTGGTGAGCCCATTCTCTCTGCTTTGTGCGAGGGGTCGAAACAGCCGTTGACCACATCGATCTTTGTTCACGTTCGTGTCTGTGCTCGTTCTCATTGTTACACGTCCGCACGCGCGTCCGTGCATTACGTCGCCCTCGTCATCCGACAATGCGCGTCCGAAATTTTTTTTTGGCTGCGCGGTGGTGGTGCGAACGCGGATGCGGTGGCGGGTGGTGCAGACGCTGACGGCCATGAGGCAGTTGCACTCTGAGGGCGCTGTGCTCCGCGAACTGATCGACCAATTTGAAGCGGCCGAGGCATGGCTGGCGCCAATGAGGCCGTGAGGGACTCTCACGGGCAGGGCAGGGAGCCCAAGATGACTGACTCTATTGGCACATTGGGACTGGCAGCGGGGCCAGCGGGGGCGTCATGTGGAAGAAGGGAGGCTGAGGACGGGGGAGGGGACAGAGATGGGACGGTGGACTGCCCGAGGGGGCGAAATGGATTGGAAGGATGGAGGGGGCATGTGGCCGATACGGTAGCTACTGGGCTGTTGTCGACGGTAGCGGCAGGGGAAGACAGACGGTGGTGTTCGTGTCATGACGGTGGTGGGCGTGTGCGGTGTGCGAAGAGCCGCTGGATGTCGGAGATGGAGGTGAGCGAGGGAAAGATGGAAGGCTGCTCTGGGAAACGGAGGGGGAATGGCCAAGGAGCGTCCGCCAAAACGCCGATGAGAAGAATGCGAGCTTCGGGCCACCGAATCGGGACGGCTCTCGAGGCGCCCGGAGGCGAAAATAGGTGTGGGAAAAGACAGGCGCCGGGATCTGAGATGGGCCATTATCTTGATTGGCCATCGCCCAGGATGCGGATCTGGCACCTGCCGCTTCGAGAACGCCCGCATCCGCCCTCTCCTCTCGCGTTCCCTGCTCGCAACACTCCATATAATCCCTGCCACCCATGGGCCTCCCTCCCCCACCGCCCGCTCCTCCCGCTCTCCCGCCATGCTACTCCAGCAGCCCATCCCCGCCCCCTACCCACCCCCCGACCCGTCCTTCATGAACAAGGGCCCCCAGCCCAGCCACCTCTACCTCCACCAGCAGCGCACCGTCGAGGTCATCCAACTCATCGAGGTCCCCCCGCCCCCGCCGCGCTCCCACCCATACACCTCCACCCTCGCCTCCTCCTCCTCCTCCTCCTTCGCCTCCTCCTCCTGCGACTCGTCCGACGACGACTCGGAGGACGACGAGTCCGTCTGCTCCTCCTACTGCTCCTCCGAAGAGGACCTCGCCGCAGACAAGGCGCCCACCTACGATGACACCTACAAGACGCGCCTCAACCGCGTCCTCGCATGGAGAGCAGGGTTCGCCAAGGCCGCCCCTCAGGCAGACGCAGCAGATGATGAGGCCTCGCTTGCGCTGACAGGTTCGTTCATTTTGCATGTGGCGCCGCCGGGGCCGTCCCTTAATGATGTCCCTCCAGCGCCACCATCTTCCCCCATATCACTCTCCCCCGCCCCGTCTCTCAAACGAAAAGCCGATGACGAGACGCGCTGGGATTCCGATGATGAGAACGTGAGTTCTAACCCCTGATGCTACTTCTGCCGCGCCTTGGTGCTCATGCGCACTCCTTTGTCCTCGCCCAGTCGTCGCAGTCGTCGAAGCGCTCCCGCTCCCTTCCCCCAGAACCCCATCAGATGCCGGAGTGCGTCCCCTCGCCTGCCTGGCAGCAACGGCGGTGGAGTGCGCACTCGTGCTCGGCGTGCGACGCCTCCTTCGCCACCCTGCAAAGCTTGCGGCAGCACGGAACAGAGTCGGGCTTGAATGACGCGTGCAGAGAGGCAGTCGAGTACGGTTTCGAATCATAACACCCTGCGCTTCTCCCGGTCCTCGCACTCCAGCACCCTCTCCACGCTACCGTCACAGAGACTCGAGTCGCATCCGCATCCCACGGCTCCGCAACCTCCACCCCGCTTCGCTGTTCACCCTCGTCGATCTCGCATTTCCGTTGACGTCTTCATCGCATACAATACCCCTCGCCGCATCGCTCCCCTATCTCCGCGCATCTTTATTACTGCATTCCTCGGCTCCCAACCATCCCTTTCGCACGACCGTCCCACCACCCCGTCTCACGTTCCTACCCTCTTGCGCGTCCATGCCGCCTGTTCGGTGTCTCCCATTTCTTGGGCACCGCTTCTCATCCGATTCGTGTATGTGTAAAGCCGCATAATCTTACATTACGCGCGATATAGTGCAATTGCCGATCCGAGTCCGTACATGTACACACCCATACCGTACGCCTACGTTATTTCATACATTGCCATCGACCTCCTGCCTGGGAGCAGGCCGGCTCAGTTCCCCGCCTATCCTTACCACTCGTGTATCTAGTAATGCCGCTTTGCGCCCATTTGTACCTTAGTCCTACGCCGTTCTATGTGACGATACACGACATGATGACTCGCAATTCCACGACGCCCGCGCGCGAGAGCTGCGTTTGGGTCGCGATAACGTACATGTCTTTGGTCCCCGTGTGTTGCGTTCGCGTGTCGAGCTTCCGATAGTATCTGTTGCATGCTGACAACATTATTATCGTAATACTCACGCAGCGTGGCTCTCCTTCTGGTGGCGTCCCCGGAATTGGCGAGCTCGCGCATTGTCCGTCGCCTCCTGATGATTTACGGTGTGCGCTTCGCGGCGGGCCACGCGGTGGACGTGGGTGTCGCGGCTGGAGGGCAGGGGGTCTCGCGCTCGCTGTCGTCGCTTCGCGTCTCTACGCGCGGTCGCGCGTATGCCTGTTCGTGCGAGAGTTGCAGAGAATCATAATGAACGGTGCTGCTCTCTCCTAAGTCCTTGTCCGCTGATTTTTGGTCGCGTAGCAGCTGGACCGGAGCCGCTGACCTCGCCGTGCTTGTGATTCGGAGACATCGGGCGGGCGCTCCTGCCCCCTTCCTGCCTGCTTGAGCTTGAGCTTGATGCGCGTGCTTACGGTACTAATACACGTACAAGACGACGACTCCTGGGGCCGAGCCGAGGGGCCGCATTGCCCAGCTGGGCTTGCATCCAAGAGTAATGGTTGGTTGTGTTCGGTGCCGTGTATATGGACATGTAACTACTTGCTGGCTCCTTGGCGACCTGATCCTGAGATCGTCTGGGTTGCGCTAGCGGCCGCTCGGGGCTTCTTCTGGACGCTCTCTGCGCGACGCGAGCTCTGCGTCGCCTCTGGGCGCGCGTGCGCAGACGGGCAGCTACCCACGACGGCGCGGAGGATCACGCTGCACATCATGGTCCCACCCCGCCAGTCGCCCAGTCGCTTATGCAGATGTACATAGCATTTGCGTCTGGACAGTGGCTGCATGGGAAGACCTGAAGAGATCCTGCACGTCCCGGTCTTCTCCTCGCCAACACTGCACCCTCCGCGCCTCGTCCCCGTCTCCCGGCCCACACACTGTCCAGTGTCCAGTCCACCCATCCGGCCTGTTACTGCTGCTGCTGCTGCTGTTGCTGTTGCTGCTGCTGAGTTCGAACCATCTGGCACCGCTGCATCCTGTCATCTCCTCCTCCGACATGCGTTCGCCGATGTCGACGCGAGCTTCCTTTCCCCGGGTCAGCTGTCAGTGTCAATTCGGCGGCAGGCTGGGTTCCCGTCTGTTGGGCCCCTTCTGACGTCGTGGGCCACGCGTGCGCCCCGGCCGCCCTCTGCGGTGCTACGGTACCACTCCGCGCTCTCTCTACCCTGCGCTCGACGCTCCTGCACTCGCGCGTACTCGGTCTCGCCTCGGACGTCAATTCTTCGATTCGCCATCAATCCGCATCCGCATCGGGCTACGTTTCTCCATCCCGAGCTTGCCAGCGGAGACACGTATATGAGAGGCGTTCGAAGGCGCCAGTCCAAAACCTCAGGCTGTCGTTCCGTTCCGCGGACGACGGCCTGATGAGGCGGACCCCACATGGCGGCGCTGGCGTTCCCGGCGGCACGCAGAACGGGATCTGTCGAACCAACAATGCTGGTCGACTTAGATGCCCCGCCTACCGCAGGCGGTCAGATACCTTGATACATATGACTTACCCCTCGACGGTCGGACCCGGGCTCGGACGCGGAGCTCGAGCCACAGGCACACCAATACATATCGATGTTCTTGTGGTCAGCTGTGTGGCTGGCTGTACAGACTACTCTGGCTTGACCCTCGAAAAACTTCCCTGCTAGCAGCGGCTGCTGGTGGGTGGGGGGGGGCGGCGTGTGGTACCGGGGCTATGCCGCACAAGGGGCTGTACGAACGCAAATGACCACCACGAACGCAATCGGGTTCCCAGCCTCTTCCCACTGACAGAGCACTCCCACCGCGCGGGTGGGCTTGCAGCGCATAGGAACGATTCGGGGGCGCAGGACTGCTGCGACTGTCTGGCATTGTCTATGTCACGGTAATGTCAGCAACGTCCTTGACGGTCGATGGGACGCGCTACGTCCGAGCTCAAATTCCGACACCAGCGCGCCCGCGGGCGTCCATTGGCTCAGGCTCGTCCGCCTGCGACCCGTGGACCGTGCCAGTGGTGTCGCACGGGAGGATAGGCGCCGTACCGACCGTTGGGATGATCGCTGCTGTACTTGCGGCTCGGGGCTGCAGCATCTGCATCTCGATATCGTTGTTTTGTTGCAGTCGATGCACGCTCGCGCTGCTCTCGCTGATGGCTGATGGTGGCTGGTCTCATCTGCGCGCCACAAGCTCAAGACGAACAGCGACGGACCTGATGCGTTCATGCGATGCGTTCTTTGCGTTCCGCTCTCGACTACCCCACGCACCCACCGTCTCTCTCCGAGAGAATCTCTGCCAATTCATTCAAGGTATCCGGATCCCGAATCCTGCTGTCAGGGTTGGTCCCCCTTGATACCCGACTGCGGAATATATGCATACAGTCTGCGCCGTCCCACCTCAATCTGTCAAGGCTACTCTTGGACGCCAATCCTACGGATCCTATTGGCATACGCGCTCGCGGCTCCGACGTCGGGTTATCGTTCGCAGCGGGACTCAGTACTCAGGGTCGGCGTGTTGCCAATTGCAGGGTATGGACCAGCGAGCAAGCAAGCTTTTGGCTTCATCCCTCACACCCCCGCTTCGCCTTAGTCGTTGACAGCATGCTCGCAATGTTGCCGCCTTTGCTCACAGGTCCTCCCAGGCTCGCCGGCGCTGAGACTTGCCTCCGGTTCTCTAAGCGTTGTCTCCGACTGACCTCTTATGCTTCGTCTTTCTTCGCAGGACACCGATGTCGCGCAGGACGATCCAGGGCTGGACCTAGCTCTATCCGGATCCAAAGTTGCCTTTCGGACTCCCAGCTGCATATGTCGCACTCCCGCGCCAGACGACCCCGTTGTCTTACCGCCACCCGGGAGTGTGCGCTGCCCCCTGGTCGCTCTCCGGCGTGGTACCTCGCGGTCGAAGAAAGTTGCAAATGGCGGGACCATAATACCTCGCCTTTCCCTCGCCCGGGTGCGCATCAGTTTCATCTCCGTCTTCTTGACTACTTGCGGGACTGCCCGCCTGCCGCCCTGTCCCACAGTCCATCGCGCGGTGTCCGTATCGGTGCATGTCTTTGCGGCGTCGCAGGGCTTCGGCTGGTGCTCGGTAGGCGTAGACGCAGACGCGACGAGGCATCGGCACACCATACTGGCCGACGTCCCAGACCCACGCGCACGCGCACTCACACACACGCACGGACGGGGGTCGCGCGCTGCGCGCTTGCCTGTGTCTGTGTGCTTGTTGCGCGGTCGTTCGTCCGCGTCACGCAGCCCTCAGTCGCCCCTGCGCATCCGCGCGCATCATGTCCCGGTGCCTTCGTGGCGACCCGGCGCACACGTCCATGTCCATGCCCACACCCAATAGCGGGCTACCAGCGCCACAGCGAGGCGCGGCGGTGGGTACGCCATCTCGATCGAGCCCCCGAAATACCTCCCCAGGGAAGGCGGAGGAAGCGCACGGCGGTGCTCGTGGGGGCTTGGCCGATGCTTCGGTGCTCAGGCCGGCCTGAACAGTTGGCCGTCGACGCTCGCGTACGCGTCGTTCTCGAGGCTCGCTGCGAAGCGCTCCCAGGCGCCAAGAGCGGCCTCACAGGTGCTGTCCACCCTGAGTAACAGCAGCACGGCGCGTCTGGCAGCGAGTCCTGACTTGGCTTCTTCTCTGCGAACCGTCCGCGCGCTCACGCTCACGCTCATGCCCAGACATCGTTTCGCCGATGCCCATTCACGGCAGCTTCTCGCACGGCGAGCCTTTGGGATTATCTGGCGAGTTTCGACAGTGCGCACGCGGACGAACGACCCGGGCCTCCGGGCCCTCGAACTGGGAAGCAGGGTCTTCAAGTTGGCGATACATGTATTCCAGCGCGCGTCGTGTACGTGCGTGCAGGACATGCCCTGAAGGTATGCCGAGGTTCTACCCTGTCTATGTGAGCGGACGTGAAACTTTCTCGGTTTCGCATCCAGGGGCATGAGCGTGGTACGTCGGTTCTCACCGCGCTACTTCGACGAGCTTTGCCGTTTTCCGAATCATCTGGTTTTCTGGCACATTTTGATGAAGGCGTTGGCGCACGACGCGGCGCGGTCCTGTGAGCAAGCGGCGCTACGCGGTCGCACCGAGCGGCCCTCTATCGGCTTGATGCATGTGAGCACCTCTGCGCACATGTCTGCGTACTCATAATAATAGCAGCGAACTGCAGCTGGTCCTCGCGGCGAGAAGTACGCGTTTACGTTGGCCGAAGTCGCTAGTGGTGTCGTCGGCGGCGCTTGCGCCCGACACGGTGGCATCTGCAAGACACGCGTTACGAACTAGGCGGACACGCGATGCAAGACGCTGGAAGTTTGCGCGGGTCCTGTCCGGGAATGGAACTTGTACGTACCGTGACGGCAGCCACGCCGACATCTGCAATACACCGCTTGCGTTCCAAGGTTCACCCCAATCCCCACAGAACAGGTGACCGGAGTCGTAGTGACCAGCGGCGTGCGTACGACGCGCATCGTGCACTTGCGTACAGACGTACAATGAGTCCATGTACGTACTCTCCCCAGTTCCGCGTCCCCGCCGCGGGATCTATCAGTATTCGATGTCCACTCGTTGAATGTCGCTTCCTTCGACTCATCGATTTTTCAGTTCCTTGCAATCTCGGACCTTGGCGCCCGCGACGCCCGCCGTTCTCGCAATTCATATCTGCAGGTTCCTGCGGTTCGCCTTCCTGCGTTCTTGCAAAGTCTCCCATCGATCCCCGTCCCGAGAGCCATTTGGTATGTAGATCGCGCAACGCGGCGTGCGTTCTCAGCGTATCTGGCTGGCGAGCTCCCTTTTCCTCGCATGCTGATCCCTCCGCGCGATCTCCGAGATGACGAGTATGTACGGGCCTCGCACAAGGCAGAACGCGCACGGTCGATCCTCGATATCGATTCGTGCCGATACATCCTGGTGGACGGCGTTCGTGCTCCCTCCATCCGTCTTCCGAGCACCCACCTGCCAGATTGGCAAGTATTTCCCCAGGACAAGGGAGCCTTCCCATCCCTACGGCATCGTGTATGGGGGATCGTGCTTGACGCCAAGCGAGCCTCGATGCGCTCGAAGGCTTTCCAAATCCGAGCCGTCTATACGCTCCCACCTCCGTGCCACTCCTGCCTGGCAGTGGCAGCGTGTGTGCTTGCTTGTCGCGTCTGCCGCAGATTGTCCGCTTGTGAGTAGTCCATTGGCTAGAACTAGCACTGACGCATGCCCCCTGCACCCGTCCTGCTCCAGTGATGCTCTCTGTCCGCCGGTGGCACATTGCTTCCCTTGGCATCCACAAAGCAGTCCCGCGTGCTCTTCGCTCGTGACGTCCGCCGACCCGCACAGAGCCGCTGGGAGCTGCACCGGAGACGTGCAGAAGCACGCGCCGGACATGTACTTTCTTTCCGGCACACGGGCCAGGGAGCCGTTTTCCGCTTTGTTTCCTTTCTTCATCGTCTCTCTTTCCGTCGCGTCTTTGTGGTGCGTGACCACGTTCGAGCCAGCTGATGGGACGCTGTTTCCCACAGCTCCTCCGTTCCGCTGCGAGCGCGTCACCGCCAGCGTCGGCTGTGCGTTTGGGTGCAGTAGAAGCTCTCCCTCCGCACCTTCCACGTCGCGGGGTGGAGCGAGCTAGAAGTCTCGAGCAATCATGCTCGACGGCTTCGGCCCATTATGATTGTTTTCACTCCAGGGTCCTCTCCGAGGCGGACGTCACTGCGGAGCAGTGCATTATGCGTTACCCTCTTTACCTTTGTCCTCGCCGGACATCGTGCGTCCGCGAGTCACACTGACGGCTATATAAGCTTTCATTAGGGTCCGAAGCGCGAAGCCCTCTGCAGCAGGCGCGGGTGAAAATTTGCTGGGGCACCCACGGACTACTTCCGACGATGACCAGCCGCGCGCGCGCGCAGCTCGATGAAGTGGCGACGACGTGAACGTCTGACGGCGCAGGCGCACATACTGGGAACGTCGTATGAGGACGGGGCCACGGCCAAGCCGACGCCCCAAGGGCACTGGGCGAGCGACGAGCCAGCGAGCCTATCTTTGCTTGGCTAGTGCTTGGCCTGCCCCAGGCTTCCCAAACATCGCGCGAGACCCGACGCAAGACAAGGACGTCGCCTCGCACGGTGTGGGGGTCGCATCGCCGAAGATAGCGTCCTCGCGCGCAGCGCGTGCGTGCCGGCCCTGCTGGATGCTGTGACTATGGGAGCGACGAGGGCCGTCGAACGTCACAACAAACGATGGCGCGCACACGGGGTGGAAAGCAGGCACGACGACCCACTCATACAAACTCCCTCCGCCTCGCACCCCTCGAAACTCGGCCCACAGCACGGGCTTGTGAATGCAAGCCAGCACTACAGTCGCCGGGCTGCGGCGCGCACCCACACTCACCGCCGCGTGCACTGGTAGCCAGGCCCCGTCGTTGCTGACACGGATTTACCGCAGATTCAATGCCCAGGGGCCAGCGAACACGTCCCTCGAGTGCGTCGTCGCGATGCGTTCCTCTTCCTCTAAGGGCGACGCCTTCGAAGGCGGCGAGCTAGGGAACGCCTTGGTTTCGCCGCGACATCCGCGAAGAATCCACGGTGCTAGGCCTGGAGGCTTGGACGGGCAGGGCTGCCCCAGCCTGTTCTAATTCCCTTGCTGTCCGCGTTCTGGGAAAGTGGGCGCGTCCTGTGTGTCTTGGGAATGCTGAGGACAATGGATCGATTGGGAAGCAGATGATGGTGTGCATGACACTGTATCGCACGTCCATCCGCCGCCGTGGTGCTTGTTCGATTTCGGAATCCTTTCATCTAACAAGGTGCAGGTTCTTCTTGTTGCACGTCCACAGTTTCTAGGTTGTTGCGGCTGACAAAATACTCACTGCCGCAGGCCTCTCCCACGCATTACCGCAGGCTACCACCCCAAGGACAGTCAGCTGGCACGCCACAGCGCCTCTACGCTCTCTCCATCTTGCACTCTTTTTCTCATCCGCTGGCGCCAGGGGCGGGGCAGACGGTCGCCCATGATGCAAGGCGTTTTGCCATGATGCGTCCGATGCTTCTACGCCGGCGGACTAGCCCAATGCCCTCCATGGGAGCCCGAGAGGCATCGGGCTCCCAGCGCTTGGGGTATGATGCGTAGAAGGCGTTTGTGTGTCCGCTGGGAACGCAAGCTGCCCCGTTGCAGTTGCATCACGCTCAGGCCTGGAGTGGCATGGCTGGGAACGCGAACCGCTGCAGGCGCTATACCCACAACGACGACGGTCCTGGTCAGTCTTAGGCTTGGTAGTCGCGCCCGGACGACACTCGCCTTCCCGAAGTTCCATATTCGGCACGACACTCAGGCCGAGGCACGCTCGGGAGTTGTCGCAGTGCGCTTGGCGACGTATGTCAGAGACGTGTCTTGACCAGTCTAGGTGAGAAAGTTTGGATGCTGGGTTATTGTGGCAGCGCTGCGGCTGACGGCTGGTGGCGAGGGAGGGGCGCGAATTTTTCAGTATAGATCCGGATATTCGCACATACCGCAGCATTTTGTCCGTGCTCTCATAGCCTCGTGTCCGCATAATATGACAAACATTGAAGGCAGACTGCGCCACTCAAGGAATTGATTCAGGATACGAAAGGCGTGAGCATGTATGTGAACACGGACGGTGAAAATGCGATGCTTACGACTGATACGATGCTCACGGCCGCTTTGAATTGCATGTTGATCGACCGCTCAAGATGTATAATGGTAACGCAGGCCCTGCAGTGGACACGATCAGAACAGTACCAGCGGTACTTCTTGTCGAAATCCCCGTTCTCGCGAACATAACACTGTTGAGCCCAGGGCGCTCTACGTCCTCTCAATCGCCATAACATCGAGATCGTTTCAGTGATCATTGCCTAGAACGCAGGGGAAGACATGTGTGGGAGCCCGGCGGGAGGTTAGCAACTCCTGGCAAGTCGGGGTGGCTTGGCGCCGCCGGGACTCCCGGAAGACATTGTTTCTTTCGAAAATCTGGCCTGGGAACGAACATTTGCTGGTTGCAACTTGCGACAGAGGCCGAGTGATAGCTTGCTTGTTGCGCGTTCTGTGCCGACGCGCGTATTTTGTGGTCGCCTGTCATATATCATGAGATATCCCATATTCATGAGGTTCGACAATGTGTCTGCATAGGCACGTCTACCCAGCCTTCGAAGGCTTATGGACGAGCTACGCGCAGGCTCATTACTATCTATGATGAAGAGCGCATGCTGCATCGTAGTCACTGCTACAACACCTATCTCGTTGGGATCGTCAGCGCAGGACCATGTGTACTATGCAAAGGAATGCGGCGCATAGCAACAGGCGCCTGATTAATGTCGACAGGACGTAAGTACCTGTAACTCACATACTTCGATGCGTTCCCATGCGGGCGTCATGTGCGTTTGCAGTCATCAAAACATGCGTTGCAAATCGATGCGCTAAGCTCACCGTTGAGGACTAGCGTGCGTCGGGAGTGCGGGGAGTGCGGGGAGGACTGAGAAGAACATGGGAGAGTTGACTACTGACCTGGCACGAGACAGAGACGCGCTGCTGCAACATCAGCCTGATTGGTGTTTGCACGTTTGTCGCGCGGTAATCGTGGCGGACGAGACACCGAGGAAATGGAACCTTGAAAAGGAGGTCAAATTGCGGATGTCATTCTGTTCGTCGATGCCATCGCGCTAAGGGGGCGGTAGCGGGGCAGCTGACATTGACATATAAATGCGCGACGTGAGTGGGGGTAGCGGCATCCACCATGTATTCTAGTGGGAATTGTAAGACGTCGGGGCTCGGTCCCGAAAGTCGGCAAGGAACACGCGCCGCAGATATTTAGATGAAGATCAAAGGCTCTCCCCCTTTCGGTAAGTTCAGCGGCCAATATCTTGACACTTTGACTAAGTGCCGCACCAATACCATTGATCTAGTATGATTGTGTACCGGTACTCGTTGGTGGCTAGAGTGCGGAGCAGACCTGATACAGAGACGCCATGAGTCTCCCAGAGTCGTAGAGGCACGGACGCTGCGATGGCGAAGGCGCACAATATATCCCGATTAAGGGCAAAGAAGGTACCAGCCGACACGCCTGAGAGTCGTGCATGAGTAAAAATGGATACAAGGCGGGCCAGCTGAGCGGGCGTGTGCTGACCCAACGTCATGGCACGGCACGCACGTTGCCCCTGCGCTTGGATATCCAGATAGACGGTTCTTAACGCTGGTGGTTGTGAATAGTCGCGCGGAAAGTCGACTGAAAGTTCAGAGATGAAGGCATGTTGGGAGGAAGTGCTGAATTGAGGACCGAGGCCTGCCTAGATGGAGCCCCCGCCGCATTTAGTGTCATGAATGCTGGTAGCAGTTCCTATCGATGGCGTGCATGAGAGCGTTGAGTGTTGTCGAACGTGCAGCGAGGAGCGGAACGGGGAAGAGATCAGTCCAGCTGATACGCGGAAGGCGAGAGCGCGCGGACCGCAGGAACGACACAGGTCGTGTGAGGGCCGGACTTTTTCGCATTCAAGTCACTGGACTGCCGCCCGAATACCGCCAGCTTCTCGATTGCGACCCCATGGCTACGGCCAGATATCTTCCCGCGCGCACGTAGAGACAACCGGCGGAGAAGAGCTCGAGCTATAAGGGAATGGAGAGCCAACAATAGCTTGAGTCGCATATAGCGCGCCTGTGTGCCACAACTGGCCACAGCACATGAACCCGAAAGCGGAGTCCGACCGGTGGGCACAGAAGGTTCAATAGCAAAGGATGCACCGGCCCAGCCGAACACCTCGACACGATGCAGGCCAACGGCAGCGTCGCTTCCCAGAGATCGTTTGACTGGATGAGTTCCTATGCCGGCCCAAAAGGGAGTGGATGAGAGATCCGTGGCGATATCCTGTGCCCGTGGAATTGTCGGGGATACCTAGCAGTTGAATAAGGAAGGCCGCAGAAGCATCCTGGCCAAAATCCGGGAGAGCGCCTGCCATGAAGCCTCAGACCTCATGCCCGATACGAACTTCTGGAGGGATGCTAAGTAGAGGACGGCCCATCGGCCCTTACGGACCTTGTTGCCCGATCCGTTCGTCTCCCGAAGGCCATTATCCTTGAACGAGTGAACAAATTTGGTAACTCATCAGTCACCAAACGACAGATACCGAGGTCGAAGACTCTGGTCGTACCTCGGAGAAACGCTCAGATATCCGTGTGTATCACCTCTCTTAGATGAGAAGAGACACACGGAATAGTAGTACAGAACAAGGCTTGCTTGGCTGAACAGACAGGTCACGCGCGAGGTTCTCCCGTCTCGAGGGAACATAGAGCGGGATCGCGCGCGTGCATCTTCTGGCAATTTGAAGTTTGCCAGATACTGGGGAATGATGAGTCGGGTCAGAAGAAGTAGAACCAGGCCGGCGGAGGTTACGTACCTAAGAGGGCGTATGGTGTATCTCCGGCTACCCGGGTGAGCATTCGGTCCGCAGAGGTGCATCATCTGAATGTCTAGCCGCAATATGCAGGCTTCCGGATAGCTAGACATGCCGACGTAACCCACGATGCGAACGGTCCTGGTGCGCACAACCGCCCTGTGCGTGCGTCATAACCGACGAAAGGGTATTAACAGTGTGGTCAGATGTTGCCAATACTGCTTCCTTCGGCCAAGACGGAATGGACAAGTGTTACTCACCTTTCGGCTGAGGGAATGCCGGTGAAGTGTCGGTGGTATTCGCTGGTAGTGCGAGGCACAGTCACACAGGTAACGGGAGCAAAAAGGCGAAGATACATTGCAGGGATGGGGCATGGTGTCAAACACGGTGTAGGTGATGAGCTCTGGCAGGGGATGTAGGACGGAAATCAAGCCATAAGCTCATATGACGTCAATAACTGTGGGCCACAACCTATACCGAGAGTTAGCTTGTCATTGATGACGCGGAGGAGGTTGTGCTGAGTACTCACGCCAGAAACCCCAAAAGTGTCTGCAGGACTGCGCCAATGAGTGGGATCCATCTGTGTACACGCCTTCAGTATACCATGCTGAGACGTCTGAAGGAGTAGATGAGGATCATGAGCGAAAGCTGAGACTGCCCGCGACGGCATGGGTCACATCGTGAAATCGCAAGGAGCAAGGGACGCAAAGCCAAGACGGCACATACTAGGCCCCGCGCAGCACAGGAGATCGACTGAGAAGGAGATCCGAAATGAGAATATCCTTCCCTTCAGACAACACAGGAATTGGTATGTTCACCTAGCTTGTCAAGTGCACTGCTCCAGATAGTGTCTCATCCGCAGCGCACTAGCAAGTCCGCTTCGACCAGAACGATAGGCTGGCAGGACTCTCAACGACCAACTTCTACCCCAACGTAGTCGGTCGCTCTCCATCGCGCGAGCTTCGACGTCATCGTTCTGGAGCAAAGAGAAGAGTGCGAACAAGAAGAGGTACGCACGTTGACATATGATACTTGCCCGCTTTGTACAGTCCCGCGAGGACATATCCGATAATCGCCGAACCGACTACCGCCCCTCCCAAGGCGAACGTCGCAAACAGCATGAACACCAGCACCGCAAACGTCAATCTCGAACGTGTCTCGTTCTGCTTAGCCGGTGCGCGCGTCGGCAGCCGAAGCTGACTTCGGCCACCAGCCCCGAGTTGTCGGCCATAACGTCTCAAGGGGATGTTCTCGCTTTCGGCACTTCGAAAGGACGGCCCCCCGCTGGCAATTCCTGGCCGTACTTTGTATCCTCTGCGATTAGGCCTACGAGGAGGAAGGGAGAGGTTGAAGAAGGCGTAGGCACCGCAGATTATAAAGGATGGTACGTAGAGGACGAGTGTCCAGTACAGCGTGAAGCGGAACACGTCTGTATGAGCTCCTTGTGAGGTGCCCTTCCTGGTCAAGTGCCGTGACATGGGGACAACAACGCACCATAAGGATGACTCAAATACCTGCCTTTCCGTTGGACGGCATCGCGGTGATCTAATGGAAAGAGCTCGACAAGTGGGTCATATAGCGAGGGCCAAGACGGGGTATCCGACATCGCTTGAGAGGGGGTTACAAAAACTCAAGGAGCAGCATGACAACAATTATGACAGTCGCCAGAAGGTGGAAGTCGCAGAACAAGGGCATGCTCGACGTCCGCATGCAGCGCTCGTCTGCTGCGGAGTGCTTCGCCCAATATGGCAACCTTTGTCGTACAGCTACGCACGTACCACATAACCCCACCCGTTGACTAACCCGTTATCAACGCCATGGCTCTTCCCACTGCTCAATATCTGTGATCACCTGAGATACGAAAAACATTCATATTTGATCGGTGCTAGCCATCCTTTCTGATGTGCTACTACTCATTGAGAGCATTGGGTAGAGGTATACTCCGGTCTAACGTGGATGCCACTCTCAGGCAGCTCTTCTCTTCTCTCTAGCGCAAAATGGGCAGGCGCAAATGTTTACAGAAAGCCAGGTCAGCTTCCGACGTCGCAATCTCCCCAATCCTCGCACGGGACCCAGCGAGCAAGGTAAATCTCAGTCGAACCAATTGATGTCTCAAAAGGAGAGATACTAAGGGTTAGCGACGATCCTACCCAAGTGGGGACCAGCTTAGGGACGTCCGCATATATATGATGGAATAAGGATATTGTTCCTGCAAGTTCAACCGAACCTACAGATTGCACGAGCCTCCAGATCCTCCACCGTCAACGCTCGATCCAACACATCGTAGGCTAACATCTTCGTGGAAAACACGAGAATAGGTCGCACGTTCCCCGCGTTGTCTTCGTCCGACAGTACCGCCCTACGCTTCGCAAGCTCCGCGAGTACCTGAGGTACGCATCCCTGGTCGCATTCAGAATCGTCGATGAAGATGACGCCCCGCCTTGCCCAGTGACAGGGTCCGACATCAACCCAGCCACAAGCAACGGCAACCGCGTCAAGGGTGTTGACATGGCTACCGGTGGGTATAACCGCATGCGACGGGGCTCTCCACAGTGGGCGAGGGGTCCCAGAAGGTCGCGCCATCCAGACAACGGAATCTTGTAGGTACTGATGAAGTGTAGAGGGGATCGCGGATAAAACCACCTGAGAGCCGTCCTTCCCCGACCGCGGCTTGGACGTAGACGGCGGGAGAGCAGGGGAATCATCTGAAATTGCTTCTGTGGCCATCCTCTGAATGACTCCATGTGACTGTTTTGAAGGCGGGAAAGGGTCTTGTAATACTGCCTGACGAGGGGAAGACTGGGGTGTTTTCAGACCATTTGCTGGATGTGGTAGATACGCTGCAGATTGATGCGCGGGGTTATGCTCCAGGGCGGAGGGAGGCGAAGGCGAAGGCGAAGGCGAAGGCGAAGGCGAGGATGTCGTGAGCCCCGACGTCTGTCGCAGGGGAGAATGGGACGCGGCTACATTGGTCACGGAGCCTAGCCGGGACGATCCGAGTCTCACGCTGAGACCCTTGGCGCCCCCAAGCCTGTCCAAGTTCTCTGCGTTCTGCCCTTGAGCCACATTCTCCGTTTTTGCTGACTTGCGCGTCGGCGCTGGCCCTTGAATCCGCGCCCTCTTCGTTGGGCTACCCCTCCCACTCGCCTTTCCGTCGACCACCTCTAGCTTCTCGATCCATAGCGTCTCCACCTGCTTGCGCTTCCTCGGGCAGCGCACGCCCGGGGATGTCGGCTCGTCTGGACGGAACGTCCTCTTGACCCAGTCGTCCTCCGCCTTGCCTGGACGATCGCGACCGACGACTTCACGAGCGATGTGCTGGAACTCGGCAAGGCTCGTGCCATCAACCCATGGCCGGTCGGAGGGGCGGTAGATTTTAAATATGCGGGGGAAGCGCAGTTCATAGAACTAGCCAAGTACACCAGTCAAGAGGAACAACAATGGCGGAGGAAGCGAGAGGTACGAACCATATTGCCTTGTGCTTTCGTGAAGCCGGCACCGAAGAGCTCCGCTAAGAGCGGTCGTTGGAGGAAGACTGCAGGAGGAGAGAGTCTAGGGGATAGATTATAGATGTATGGCAATCCCTCGATGGCTTGCTGGAAATATCGTGAATGAGCCCACAGGTGTGCTAAGTCTTAAAGTCATAATATACCTGAGGTCGACACGGAATAGGATCAGAGCTCTTGATCATAAAATTGAGCTCTTCAAGCCCTTCGCGGCTCAATCCATATGACGAGTTGAAGATGACTTCGAAACAAGGCTTGTGGGATGGCTATATGCGCAAGTTATCAGCGACCGATGTCAGTGCAAATGAGATCGGAGACGCACGTCCGTGCTGATCATATCGGCATTCGCTAGCGCCGCAAAGTAGAACGTGGTGTACGCGGCAGGTGGCACTGATAGTTGTAGCCCCGTCAGCTGGCAAGGATGACAATAAGGACGAAAGTGCGCACGAACCACGCAGTTCCCGAGCTCGGTCTTTCTCCCAAGACGCACCAACGAGGACGAGATCAACGGTATCACCATGACCGCTGATGTAGTCACGCTTAAGCTGCACACCGCGGACGAGGTCAGCCGCGCAAGACCCAACGGAGCGTGGCAATAATGTTACTTGCCTTGACCCAAGGCCACCGTCTCTCATTGTATGTAGCTGCGTCAGCTTTGAGAACGGCACCCTCCTGACGGTCAGCGATGAGGCTCGCGAAAGCTCTTCTGAGCGGTTCCTCCGCATCTGTGTGTCTCATATCGATGCAGGTTCTCTCCGCAAACATTGCATATCCGGGGGAGAGATGTAGCGTTCGCTCGAGGATGTTGCGCCTTTCCGCGTAGGGGATTGAAAGGAGCGAGACACCGTTGAGCAAGAGTATATCGAAGAAGACCAGGGCGAGGTGTCGGGTACCGCCATCCGAGCCATTTGAGACGAGCGACTGTTGAGAATTCCTGCAAGATGTCATTGCCGAGAAGGACAGGGTCAGTTAGATCCAGGCACTCACATCATATCCTGAGTAGAAGAAAGCACTGGAAGGGGTGTCCTATGACGCACCCCTATGGCGGTGCTAGCAATAAGACTTCTGATACGCCAAAACTCTGCAAACGTCTTTTGTGAGTGACGGTCCTTCGAGCCCGCAGAAACGCCGTGGCACGCTGACCGTCGATACGACCAAGTGTCTCCGAGAACGCAACCATCTCAGCTTCAAGTATGACGTCCTTCGTGATTGAAGGTTCCATTCCCGTGGATGGCCTGACTCCGCCCGCAGACATGCTCGATGGTCGGGGGAGACCTAGGGCATCGCATATGATCCTGCACAGCAACTCAGCATAACGGCATGGGTAATAAAATTTTCAGCGGCGTACCCATGGACACCTGCGCGGTCGAGAGTAGAGTCTCTGCCACTCTTGCTAAAAATCTTGATGCAAGGCAGACCGTCCTCATCGACTCGTACATGGATCTGTGCGCGTTCTCCGTCATACTTCGATTCAACCCAGACCTTATCCGCGCCCTTCATGACGCGCAATGCTTGAGCTGCGCCTTGGCCTTTGACACATTTGGGGATCTGTTCCCGAGACGTGAGCATATCCGCACGGGAGGACGCACACACCACCGACCTGGACTGGGGTTCCAAAAGCGGGCGCAGGTAGCGACTCGCCGGCTTTGAGGCTCTCGAACGTCCGCGCAGCATCCTCCAAGTTCGCCCGACTCTTGAAGATCAGCGACATGCGGCCAGTGCGATCCCAAGCGTGCATAGCGGCCTCCTTGGTGAGCATCGTGACCGCATTACTTTTGTACTGCAGCAACGCAGCCGTGTAGTGGGTGGCGGACAGAGGCAACGGGTAGAGCAGAGGTCGAAGGTCCTTCAAGATGATCTGAGTCACAACCGCACCCTCCGCAGGCGTCAACGACGCATATATAGAGGTCAGGATAGCCTCCCGGGTCCGTCCGGGGGCAGCCACGGAGAATGAGGCGCGTACAGAGTGGTCCGAGAAAGCGCACTTGGATGCGAGTTCGGTGAGAAGCGCATCAATCTGGTTGAGAGAGACAGCTGTGGTGGAAGCTTGTGAATGGTCCGTCGCAGCCATGACGGCGGAAACCTCGTCACCAAGACATCCAATAGCACCCTCATCGTTCCAGTTCTTGAGCCGTTCTCCCCTACCATCCGTAGCGCTTGACACTCCAAGTACTCTGACAAGATGCTGGGCCAAATGAGCCTCTTGCATGCCAAATTTCCGACGGCCGTCTTCTTCCGGGAACAGGAACCGGAACACGATTGTGGTAGTATCTGGTGGTATTGGCGAATGCCGGTCATACAGAGCTGCCACCCATCGCTTGAAAGTCTTGTATGCTGGTGTATCGAGGTATCGGGTGTCCGGTGGCTGCTTCTCCGACGCCCTGTGCGGCTTTATCTTCGCTATGGCGTTCACTAGCTCGACGAAGCTACGGGTTTGAGATGAGTTGTGGGCGATTTGACCGTAACATGTAAAACTCACAAGGATAAGGGGATTCCCGCTTCCCCGCTGGGTGTGGTCATGTGAAGTGCTCAGTGCACACTGCAGATGAGGCAGTTGGATGGGCGTCCTGAGAAGCGAGGAATTTTGAGTACCGGCTCGGAATTTGCCGTTGTTCTGGCACACAAATCTCAAACTGACACACCGTCCGGACCTTGCTACAATGAAGGTCAGCACAATTGCTCCGGCATGTTAAATGTCGACGCGGCGACAGCAAGACAAGACGCTGCCGCAGTCCGACAAGTACTGGCAACCTCGGCCTGTGACAGACTGTCGCGTCACATCAGTGTCAACACCACGCGTTTCCGTTCAAACTTCACGCGCTGTTGCGCGTCTACAGGTGTGCCACCGCCGGTGCCCACTGCCAGCTCGCGGAACCACGTCAGTCTGCATCATTCCAAGTACTGGTAACATCCGCATCATGGACCGTTGTTGGTGGATCATGCATAGATGCTATCTACGGAGACACATACTGCTCACAAGCCGTCAATAGAGGGCGCGGATTGCTGCTAGTGGGTTCTATACTAGAGGCCATCTGCAGAGACTTCAGCCAATTGCGGTGGTGTGATCGTCTCGAGCCCCTCACCAAGACTGACCTCGTTGCGAACTGCGGTGTGAGTGACTGGCTTACTATTCCTCTTTCTCTTATTTGACCTGGACCATTAGCTCATTGATAGCAGCATTCGCTTATCGCTGAATATTTGCAAGGTGGTCGTGTGCTGCGACGGCGCGCTGCTTTCTTTCATACACCTTGCAAACGTTTTGGATGTCGATTGTGAGTATGTATACAGACGCCCCGTAAAATCCCGCGGAGATCGCAGACGCAATCATCTACTCTCTAACCGGCGATTTAGCGATGGGATTTGCCTCCGGACATCTGACGGACCCTTCGCAACTGTGCCCTCGTATGCAGCGACTGGCTTCCCGCCTGCAGACATGTACTCCATCTTGGAGATGCACAGAGACGATACCTCCTGCCTCAGAATCGGACAGTACCTCGTCTACGCTGGTAGGTCGAGTTCCAGACATGGAAAAGCACTCTTTCTCCGTCGACTAGATGCGGTGCCCACCCAGCCCCAACAGATATGGGGCGTTCTCCTTGTTTCCGTCTCTTTCCCATCTCGTTCTTGTGCATCGCTGTTCGTCGTCCTTCTGCGTATTCAGGAAGATGTCGTGGCTTTGCCTGCATTGACAGACGTTGACACGTCCACAACCGACGCTACATTCCCTGTATACGTCCTCCACCCCGCGGGCCCTTGTCCCTCTGTTGCTTCAGTGGCTCGCCTGCACGCCATCGCTGACAACGCTTACGAGGATGCGCTGCTTTCCGGGGCGCGACTTTCCGATCGCTCGCCCGCAAGATGACGAAGGGATGTACGAAATCGGATGCTATCTCCGAATGTTCGATCTTAGTATCGTTGATGCTCACCATAGCCTGACTTCATGTCCATGTACGTAGAGGATACTCTTGCGGCATCGTTATCAATAGACCAATCACATACATCTGAGCTCGCTACATCTCGTTCAACCACTTTCTTTGCCATCGACACTGAACGGGAGCACTGGGCTGACACAGCGCAGGTTCTATCTGTCCTCTTCCCGCTGATATGTCGACATCGATGATCGCGTACTGGAAAGGGTAGACTGTTTGGTCGAGGAGGGCGGTGAACTGAAGGCGACGGGGATAGACGGTCAAGAATTCTTAGATCCCCTCTTCGAGCAAGAAATCTTCAAGGAGTCCGATAGCCCGACCTTCTCGATTCGCGGGTCACAGGAGACATTGGACCCCCTCAGAGGTCAGACTCTGGAATGCATATAGCGCAAGCTACCGAAGCTACATGAGCAAGGAACTACGTGTTCGTGCTTCTTCACTGTTACTTCGACGAGTAGCACCCCTCCACCGCCCTCCCATGCCCGGAGGAGTCAAGGGTATCCCACTATTGAGTCAGGATCAAATATCGAGGCCGTCGGGAAGGAGATGACCACGCCAGATGATCGAGACCATGGTTTCTTGTCACAACCCGTTTAGTGCTTGCGAAGCGAAGCCCGAAAGTCAGGAGTTAGATCTCGAGAATACACAAGACTGATAAACGCCCTACTGCAGTGATTCCCATATACTATATTCTCGGGGAGAAAGATCGTTTCATTACAGTTGAGCATAACTTGTTGTATGAGGATTCGTCAGGATGAGTCGGCGGAATGGTTGAATTGAGGATAGATGGCAACCCACAAGGTCGGCTAGTTCATAACACGAACTTACAGTATTCCGATCTCGGCTGGACGAACTCCGGCATTAGGAGGCAATATGAGATACATCGTAGATGCTAGTTGATGCGCGTAAGACTTTTCACTCCATATCAAAAAGCAGCACCTCAGCGACTCGATCGCCCACGTTCTCGATAGTCAGCTCATCCCCAGATGCAGCCATTACGTATGCGCCATCGCCTTCCTTCAGGTCCAAGGGACCACCTTCAGCACCCAGTACGCGTACATGCGCACCGGTCGATAGCTTGGGATTGTATCCCGACGTCTGCACCACGTGCAGGTACCCCTTGCGGGACGTCGACGCCGACGAGAACGCATGCGAGACCTTCGCGGCAGGGGAGAGAAGCGTCGCGAACAGATTCAGGGGTGAGTGCACGGGAGCGGGTCCAGAGGCTTCGCGCTTCTCTTCTACGCCCTCGGCTCCGACAGGGGCGACGACGTGTGCCCAGCGGTCCTTCTTCTCGTCGTCGTTGAAGTGACGGGTGAAGTACTGAGGAGCGAGGCCCCGGGTGGAAGGCAAGCTCCAGATCTGGAGGAAGTGTACCTGCTTGTCGCCGTGGGCGTGTTCGCTGTGGCGAATGCCGGTTCCTGCGGAGGTCATTTGGAGGTCTCCGCGTTTCATGATCTCGATATTGCCCATGGAATCGCGGCTGGAATACATACCAAGATCAGTCCGGAGACATAATTCTCGACGATGAGTGGACATACTGCTCGAGTTCACCGTTGACTATATAGGAGAATATCTCGAACTCGCGGTGTGCATGAGTGCCAAAACCGGTCTTGGGCTCGACGCGGTCTTCGTTGATGACCCGGAGAGAGCCGAAGCTGTCATGGCTCGGGTTATGGTAACTAGAGAGCTTGTCAGGGCGAGTAGCATGAACAATCTCTCAACTTGCCTAGCAAAGCTGAAGGTATGGAACGTTTTGAGCCAACCGTGATCGGCGTTGCCGCGCTCCGTGCTGTAACGGGGGACGAGCTTCATAGCGTTAACAGAAGTGGATGAGAAGCGTTTGAGAAGCCTAGGCTGATTGGGCAAAACACGAGTAGACTGCAACGATCGGAGGAGAGACAGCTTGGCAGAGGTCGTTTTGCTTGTCGAGTCTGGTCTTTCTGAGGTGTTGTGATGACGGTTCTGGCCGTTCGTGTCCCTTATATACCCTCATGGACTGATGACGTGGTATTGCGCATGAATCATCTTCAGTCCATTCACGATACGGCGTTGACAGAGCAGAGGCCTTGATTTCCATCGTGGATTCCCTTTCTGAGGCGGCCGATACCCACCAGGCGACACCCCGCGCCCGTAAGCTTATCTAATCGATTTTGCCGACGCCTGCTCAGCCCGGCCTTAGCATGAGCGCCTCACCATTTCCGGTCTTGCAGCCTTCACGCTCTTCATTTCTCTGCTTCATCTCCTTACGGGTTGACTACTGCTGCTGACCATTGACAATGGCGACTTTACTCCCGCCCCCGAAGCGACAAAAGGTCTACCATGGTGTTCCCGAGCCAGAGAAGGAGGCACCGAAGCCCGCGCCGCATGTCGTCGTGCAATTTGTGAACGAGGAAGACGGCGAGCCTCTTGCCCCCGCCGTGAACCTACCCGCAAATGTCTCAAAAGAAGGTCTTGAGGCGATTGTGAACAAGCTGAACACGAAGGTTAGTAGACATATCAATCTGAGTCTCGAGATGTCGGTCTCAGTGAATTCGCTTCATTTCTCGTGCATTCCGTTTTGACCAGTTGGTGTTAGGATGAAGACCCAGTACCGTTTGCATTCCATGTATCTCTGCCGGCCGACGACCAGACAGCCGGTGCGCCTACGCGCATAACAATCTCAAAATCTATCCAAGAAGATGTGTTATCGCATCCTTTGCATGCTTTCACCCCAGAAGATGTCTTCATAATCCACTGCTCTCCCCAGGCTGTATTCAAGGTCCGTCCAGCCACAAGATGCTCTTCCACGTTGTCTGGTATGTATTTCTTCGTATCAAATCTCGCTTTCGGCTCCCTCAAATCACTGGAGAGTCGGAGTTTCACTTGTCCCAGTATATGAAACAGCGCCTTACATTTGTGGAGTCTTGAGCGAAGTGGCTAGTGTCGCTTTCAACGAGCTCCTGCGTTCGTAACTGTACTCGCCTCACGAAAGGAAGGAACGCTTCACAGGATATGTCACTTCAAGTCACATGCGCATCTAGCACGTTCTGTGGCTAATGCGACCCAGTGGCTATGTGCTCTACGACCAGCTTCTCTGTGTCAGAGGCTCGTGGTGTTACTGGACCCGTATTTACTAATATCCTCATTGCGCTCGAACAGGCCACACCTCGCCGATCCTCTGTGCGTCGTTCTCGCCAACCGGTAACCTTCTCGCCACAGGTTCGGGGGACTGCAACGCACGGCTATGGGACCTGTTTACCGAGACGCCCTCGCACGTGCTGTCCGGACACAAGGGTTGGGTACTCTGTGTTGAATGGGAAGCCATGGAGAGGAAGCTTGCAACGGGCGGGCACGACGGACATGTACGTAATACCTTTCTCGCGACGTTCGCAATCATGTACGGAGAGCTGAATTCACGGGTGGTTTCGACAGGTCCGGTTATGGGACCCAAAGACCGGAAAGCCGATTGGCGACGCTCTCAAAGGCCACACAAAATGGGTCACCTCCCTGTCTTGGGAGCCGATACATCTGTGAGTCCACACTCTCGGGCACATCTCTGGACGCGGCCTCGCCGACACCGGACTTTTCATAATAGGAACCCATCCGCCCCACGCCTTGCTTCGTCCTCGAAGGATGGAACGGTTCGTGTATGGTCGACTCTCGTACGTCAGTGCGAATACGCACTCGGAGGACACACTGCCAGCGTAAATGTTGTTCGGTGGGGTGGCGGTGGTCTGAATGGCAAGGGTGTGCTGTACACCGCTTCGAGCGATCGGACTGTCCGGATATGGGATGCGAACGGGGTGCGTCACCACTCGCAAACCTTCATGTGTCCGCCCCCCTTGTATGACTCATGCTCTCTGTGATTCTTTTGGCCAGGGAAAATGCTTGCATATCTTGAAAGACCACGCCCACTGGGTCACGACGCTCACACTGAATACCGACTTTGTGCTGCGCACGGGACCTTTTGATCACCTAGGCAAGAAGACCAGCTCGGATAGCGAGGGTACGTTTTCATTGTCCTTGGCGCAGTAGAAACATCCCTGTACTCTCCCACCGGGACATCGGGGTCGCCGTGGACAGTTCCTAACCGTATCTTGCACGTACATCCGTACAGACGATTTTGGGCTGTTCACCGAGCGTATGGTTCTGCAATCGCGGTGTTGATGATCGTAGCTCTCATCTATTTCTCCTCGTCGATTCTTCGCCTTCTATCATGAACGTTTGTGTGAGACGTGCAAGTTGTGCGGACAGGCTAGCTCGTCTCACAGCGCCGTAGTTTCCAGAGATCAACCATCTTCCCTCGGAACTGTGATAGACACTGACCATCTTTCTCACACAGCCCAATCCCTCGCTCTTGCGCGTTACAACAATCTTGTGTCCACAACAGGGGAACTCCTCATTTCTGGCTCAGACGACCACACGCTCTTCCTGTGGTCATTGTTTCCCTCGCGCACCACCTCCGCCGAGGCATCCGCGGCTGCTGCCGAGCGTGGCGGCAAGCTCAAACCCCTCGGGCGGTTGACGGGTCACCAGCGCCAAGTCTCGCACGTCGCTTTCAGCCCAGACGGGCGGTGGGCAGCGAGCGCGGCGTGGGACAACTCCGTGCGCGTGTGGGACGGCCGGACAGGAAAGTTCGTCGCGACCCTCCGGGGCCACATCGCGGCCGTCTACCGCCTCGCATGGAGCGCAGACTCGCGGCTGCTCGTGAGTGCAAGCAAAGACAGTACGCTGAAGGTGAGTCTCCTTTTGCTCGCGTCACCGAACAAGGTTGGCTTTTACGGAAGCGAAACGGGCATTGCGCGCCCCGAGCGGCGTCGGACGCGCTCTCCCTGATTTGCTCTGTCCATTGCTTCCTTCGTGCTTCCCTGCGAACGGATGGTCAATTTGCTGACGGCTCCCGTGCTTGTGCTTCGCTCTTGCAATCGGCGCTGTTCGATGCCATCCTTCGTGACGGCATACGTGCCTGACACCGTCGAATTACCTCCGTTCCCCCCTCGACTGTCTCAACGCGGAAACAGATCTGGGACCTCAAGACGTACAAAATAAAAAACGACCTCCCCGGGCACACCGACGAGGTCTACTGCGTCGACTTCGTCGCCGACAAGCTGGTCAGCGGCGGGCGCGACCGGACCGTGAAGATGTGCGTCGTTCGCTCTCGCGCACCCTCTCGTCATTTCGCTGATGGGTGGCGGCCGGCCGTTGATCTCCGTTGATGTGCGTCCGGTCTTCTGACTTTGCAGATGGAAAAACTGAGCGCAGAAGCGGCGTGTCGACGAGGAGGCTTTCGAGACGCCGTTGCCGGCAATGCGCCTGAGTTGGTGCCGGTCCTAGCGCGGGGTTGGTGCTGCTGCTAGACGTATGTATGGGGGCTTTTGCCGGAAGCGATCGAGGATGGAGGCGAGGGGGAGATGGGCATCAAGGCGGCCGCGTTGGAAGCTGCGAACGAGTCGGAACGACGGGTTGGTTCCATTCGGCGTTACTGATCTGTGGCTCCTGCGTAGTAGTGCACAGTAACTTTGACACCCGCCTCAATCAAGACAAGTGTTTCGAGGTCCTTGCTAGAAGGCTCGACGGTCGTAATTCATCATGGACTGTGGGGATGATCGTTCGTCCCCAGCCTTGTTTTCGACATGGGACTGATCGTAGTGCGGCTGGCTAGCCGCTAGCGGGAAGACGCCAAGTCACGAGTGCCACCAGCGAAGCTGATATGTCCGAAGTAGTCTTCTCATTATCAGCTCGCCAATCCTCTCGGCCGCCTTGCGTATGATGTCCGCTAAATGAGCAGGAGGAGCTCCCCGAGCACAGTCCGGTCACGCGCAGGACTTGGCCAGCCGAGATCCCACACAATTGAAGCGGGACCAGGCACTTGGGTCGGTGTGCCTGTCGATATAGCAACGAAGCGAACTTCGAAGCCCGCCACTCCCCTCGCGAAGATTGCGGCTGCTTGGAAAGGAAGGGGGGTTTGAGAGGAGGGCCCTCGGATCTTCCGTCATTCAAATCTTCCTCCACCGCTCGATTGTTTGCGCTCGCCACCGGTGGATAGAGTTGGAGACACAGGCTGGCACCGGGCGTGCGAGGGTGCTGTAAGAACTGTAAGAACCACTGAGGATGGACAAAGGCGAGGACAGGTATGGCAATCTGTTTGGGCCGGGAACAAGGGTGCAGTGTCAGTTGAGTGGGGAAGAAGGGGCCGTTGGTTCGGACTCTGTCCGCGTGCCGGGGTGACACCCGCCGGGTCCGGGTCCTGTGGTGTATGTGCGTTGCGGGAAATTGGGACGCCGGGGGGCCTCGGCCGGTTGTGGGTATCCGGGGTTGGCCTCGAGGGTCTTGCTCACTGCCAAGGCGGTGCTACTGCTAGTATGTCCGAGTTCACGCACTTGGCTTTCTCGTCCTTGCAGTTGCTGATTTATTCTCATCTGCATCGGAAGACGTGTAGAATTTTGTGGACGGACGGGTGCCTAGGTCCAGATGCTGTCCAGGGGTTGTGTCCTGTCTAAGTGGCCCCACATACTAAGACCGCACTGGAACAGTGCGAAGGAAGCCGCACGAGTTGCGCTAGTCACCGACGCAAAGCTGAATTGTCACAGTCGAGGAGACGTTCACAGCACGGACTTCTAGACTGGGGAGGAAATCCGTACCCACATGACATATCGCAGTGAGTGTGAGAGGAGTTGATAGGGAAGAAGCTGTTCGTCTGGAGGTTTTCCGGGACTGGGATGGGTTGTGGAGAACATGTACTGTATTCATCCGGGCAGTGTAAACAGTCGCGAGTGCACACCTGAGGCGGCATGCGCAAAGCAGGGCAGAGACTGCGTGAAAGGATGATCCGCACAGGCTGGTCCTCTGGGCACACCCGATCGATCAAGGGCGTATCCCCGAACTGGAGCAGGATGGTGGCTAAGAAAGGACGAGGTGCATCGACGGTACTGCGCCCACGACCGTGCTCGCACGATGGTCGCGGAGGTGGGATCATGATGGTTCTCGGGGGCTGAAGTGGCGAAGTGCGGTCGATAGCGAAGACGCGGTGCGCTGAGCTGACGACTGGGAAGGCTGATGGATATGCACTGCGTAAGCTGAGGGTATAGCGGGGTTGCCTATTTGAAGGCTAAAGCTGTTACATAAGCAGAAAGCTTGCGCAGTGCGGGGCCGGGGGAGGGCCGGGGGAGGGGAGCCAGTGCCGGCGCCGGAAAAGGAAGCTCAAGGGCAGAGAGGCGGGTGGCATGCGATGCGCCCAGTCTCAGTTCTCGTTACTGCAGCACCTTCTACCAGGAATACCACGGGCGTCCCAATCATGGGCGAACCCAGCAGATTCCGGGGCCTCGATATGGCAACACTTCGGACCCTTCTCCGCTGTGTGGTCGACCCCCCGCATCGCGTAGCCTTTCTTCCCCCTTCCCCCCGCTTTCGTTTCCTTCAAGTACCCTCTTTTGCGCGAGCCTAGCTCCCTTTCCCGCCCGCTTCTGCCACCGCCGGCGCAATGGCCTCCTCCGCTCTTCTCAAGCTCATCGACCTCAATGCTACTTTCGGCGCCCTCTTCATCGGCTTCGGCTGCTCCAGCGTGTGCGTCCCACCCCATGTCTCCTACTATCACTCTTACTGACAATGACGTCTTGGCTGCACAGGGCTCTTGGCGTTCTGAGCATGCAGGCGTATAGCTACTTCAGACGTTACCCCCTCGACGTCTGGTGGTACAAGGCACTGGTGCGTAACCATCCGCCGCGTTGTGCACGACCCGACGCGTCTTACCGTCTGCGTCCCGTCCTTGAAAATGCGAAATAGGTCGCTGTGATATGGTGCGTGTCCCCCACTACGCGTCCGGCCCCCATTTAACCGGTCTTCAGGATTTTGGAGCTTGTTGACCAAGCATTTATTGGCCATGCGGTCTATTTTTATGTCGTCACGTACGGCCTCCTCTCCGTATCCCACCGGAGCAAATATTGACTATGCGATTACAGTAATTGGGGAGACGTCAACGCCCTTCTTACCTCTCCAGTTTGGTGAGCGTTCTCAAAGATTTACCGAATGTAAATGTCTGACGTGGTTCCTGCAGGTCACTGATTGTGAGCGCATCCGTTTCGTCGCCTGTCACTCCATGTGCCTGACCCTGCGTCCCCCTTTCAGCTTCAAGTTCCTCTCGGGGTACGCCGGTAACGCTGGCTTCTGTGTTCGTTGAGCTCACACGATCCATGCATTGCATATAGGCAGCTGTCGGTGCCGTCGTAAAAGTGTACGCGCCGCTCTCTTACCCTAACAAGGCATAGACTAAATTATAATGACAGCTGTTTCGGACTGCGCGTTTGGAGGTGTAAGTTGTCTTCAGGTCGTCGTTCGTCATCGCCTCTCACCGTGCCCTCCACCAGTCAGCAAGCACAACATCCCTGTAACGATGTTGATCGTGAGTGCGAATAAGGTTGTGCATCCCGAATAGCCTCCTGAAAATTTCTCCTCCGGCTCCGCCCAGCTGGTTGGCGCTTTGGGGCAACTGGGTGAGAGCCTCTTCCATTCGTCCATACTCAACATAGGCTGATCGGTTGCAATCAATGTAGCCGCTGCTTTTGGTGCGTCATATGCCCACCGTCCATGCGAATTTGACTAAGAGCTTATGCATGTGCAAATCCAGTTTTCACCGTCAGGGCGTAAGTCGATCACCTGACACGCCACGCCTGTCTTCATGCTGATCTGCTTGAACAGTGCCAGCATCCCTTCCTTAGCGGAAGTCGGCCGGCTCAAAGTGAGCTTCTACACGTGTCAGCCTCTAGATTTGATGCTCAATATTACGCCTAGTTCATCGGAAGTATCGCGCTCGGACTAGGCATGGCAACTGACGTGGTCACCGCCGCTGCCCTTTGCTGGTTCCTTCGCAATTTGAAGACAGGGTACAGGAAGTGAGTGAATCGGACGGCCGTGCCTGAAGCGACACGCCAGTTCCTGATATGAGCGGTTAAGGGACGATTCGATTGTCAACAAGCTATCGGTCTACGCCATCAACACCGGAACTATCTCTAGGTAAGCTACAGCCAGCCGGACACTCTCGTGCGATACCGATTTGGCTGACGTCTCACCGCAGCGCGATCAGTTTGTGCACTCTAGTCCTAGTACGTCTTCCGGCGCCCGCCCTTGCTCACTTTGGTAGGCTGACCGTGCCTTAGTACGATATCATGCCGAACAACTTCATCTTCATGTCGTTCTACTTCGTCTTGAGCAAGGGTACGTCCGAGTCCCGACGCCAGCTCGTCCGGTGTCAGAGCCTGACACGCGACCGTTCAGTGTACGCCAACTCATTCTACGCCGCGCTGAACACGCGGAGATCCGTCCGCGGGCGCGGGACGGAAAACGAACAGACCACCGTGCCGACGTTCCTCATGGTCGCCCAAACGACGACGATCAAGCACGAAGGCGGGAACGACACCCCCGTCTTCTCCACGGTAGGTTTCCTCAGCTCGGACCCTATGCGGCGGCCTCCGAGTCTGACACGGCGTTAGACTCTCCGTTCCGAGTCGAACGGCACCTTCTCGCCCATCGGCGGACCGAGGGAGCCGGCGGTGAGTGCCGTCCTGTCGTTTCGTCGATATGCCAGCATGCTGAGCGATGGTCTCAGCCAATATCGACGATGCCGCCGCTGCACTACCAGATGCCGTACTCGACGTTCGACCACGATTACTCACAACCGTCCCAGAATAAGTCGTGGTCATGAGGCCCGCAGGCATACACAAGCACAGCGCAAAAGGTGCACCAGGCGCCCCTCCCCCTTTGAACTGAATCCTCCCGAAAACAAAACATTTACTCCGCCACCACATCACGCCGTGCCGTCTAACCCCCTCTCCAGGATTCTCGACCATCTATCTCCCCATCTCAACCTCAACGGACGTCTATCACACTGTATCAGAATAGCTGCACTCCTATGTCCGTATCTGCATCTCCACCGTCCTCGCATCGCACCCGGGCTCCCCACATTCGTTCACGCTCCGTACTTCGCACTCGCACCCATATTCGATACGCTACATTGTCGCTATTCGCTCGCGTGGCCTGCTGTTGTTCGCGTTCACTCCTAGTTGTTTGTTGCTCGTCCGTCGTCTGTTGTTTGGTGTTGCCCCCCTCCCTGCCCCCCCTAACCACTGTTTATTGATTTATTGCGCTGTAACACTAGCATGGCACCTTCGTTCCATCCATCTGCATCAGGCACATGTAGCGTTACATTGATGTTCTTCTTCTGTATTCGCATTCTCCCGCGCCGCCTCGTGCATGGTACGGAATTTTTGCCCCCTCCCCTCTTCGCACCCGTCGTCGCAGCCCTGGGCTTTCTTTTGTACAGGTTTTCTTCACTCGTTGGCTGCGACACTTTTGTGTTTTGAATTCTCCCTACTTGGTAGTCGGTATATAGATGCTGTTAGTTCGGAGCCGTCCCTGCTCGTCGCTTTCATTCAGTCCTGATAAGTTGTGTAGAATAGTACATCGACTAGCTGAATCGGTCGTTGGCTGTCGGAAGTCATGCCCGTTCCCCACACCGGTTCATGAACACGACACATCGCTGCGATCTGGTTTGACTGACGGCGGGCAGAGCACCATGTTCCAAGCAGGGAAGTCCGTGGGGCACTCACGGTGACACGGGCCATGCAACGTGACCCTACATTTCCACTTCGCTTTTGTATCCCTCTTTGTATATTGGGAAATAATGTTTGGGCGTTGTGTGGCCCGGACATCTAGCATGGATTTCCTCACCTGGACCGCTCGCGGCCGCCGAGCGAGTACCTGCAGGAATCAGGTGATCGCGTTGAGTGGCGTGGGTGTGGGGCGTTGGCGCGCGTCGGGGGCGTTAGTCTCTGGCATCGACCTGCACCTGCATAGCACGCGCATGGGGCCCCACCACGGACCGATCCCGCTCGGATGGCACTCGAGCACAAGCTGCCCAACGGACTGCTGGTCATCCTCCACCTCCACCTGCTCGACTATCCGCTGCAAGATGCGACGGGCTACGACGAACGCCTCTTCCACCACAGCCGCGGCATGCGCGATCGGAACAAGGCGATGGAGGACATCACCTACTTTCTTGTGGGAAAGCTCGAGGGAGGCAGGGAACGTGCAAAGTCCGTCAGTATATGCGTCCCGTCAGGTGCTTCTCCACGGCTCGTCGGTCTGACGCAGCGGATATCAGATATTGCCCACGTACCCGTGCCTGCAGCCCGCGGACACCACCGCGTACAGAATCGCGCTCGCCAAGTACCTCGAAGGGCTCCGGAGCGCCGTCGCGCACGCCTCGCGCGCACACATGAACGACCCCACGGGCAAGCAGCCAGCTACTCCCGCGGGGGACGAGGTCTCCGCGTGGTGGTGGAAGGACGTCGTGGTCCGCAAGTCGATCCTCGACGAGTGCTCTGGCGACCGGTGCGGTTCACGTCCGGCTCTCTCTCCTGCATCGGTTCGGTCTCGGTTCTGAACGAGCCCCTCCTCCGTCCTTCTAGCTTCGAGCGCCTGATCCTGGCGTTGTCCAGTCATGCGATCCTCAAGAACGCCGTGCGGATGCGGACAGGGTCGCCGTCCTCCTCGTTGCAAGTGCGGGGGTCTTCCGTCTGCCTGGATCGCGAGGTGCGTGCGAAATGAAGGAGCATCTCTTCATCTCCGCCGCAGGGTCCTGATGCACGACGTGGGCGTATGCAGGGCGATCTTGGCCCGCTATCAAGGGCGTACACGACGCTGCTCTCTGCTGCTCAAGAATCACGCCGTGAGTGGGAGCGCACAGCGGCAGTCCTCGTCCAGAAACAGAGCGATCTGGCCGCAATTCGCGTGAGTGGCTGTCCAGCCGGTCGTACGCGCAGAGGAAGAGCTGAGAACACGCGCGGGGTGCCCCCCCTGCAGGCGAGAATGGCGGACCCCAGGCTTGCGTCGTCGTCGTCGAACTACGACGATTTGACAACAGATATGCTTCTCGCCCTGCGAGATTCGCGTGTTCAGGACCTCCTGCGCGGATCCTGGCGAGGCGATGAAGGCCGCTCCGCTCTGCGCTTCATCACTGACCTCGCTGGTCTTCTCGAAGCACCTACGTCGACCATTCATGGTTCGAGAGACGGCCAAGATGCCGGAATAGGAGCCAGTGTAGTTTTTTTGCCGGCGGATTCCCATCCCAAGGTAGGCGTTTACGCAACACATGCATGTCGCCTGGCAGCCCTGCTCACGTCTGTCGTTCCTGTCATGTCCACTCCACCCCAAGCGCAGGTTACATCTGGAACGTCGCCCCCTCTGCCAATCGCGGCGGCTCATCATCCTGCTCATCTTCATTCACTTCGCCTACCGCTATTTCCTGCGTCCGATCCGTCAGAACAGCAGCTTGAGGACTCCGAGAAGGCCGTTAAGAACTCGACGCCTCATGCAGTAACCGAACGCCTAGCCGCTATCGAGAAGGTCCACTCATCGCTTCAGGATGCACTCGAAGGTGCCCGTAGCATCCACGCACAGCTCCAGCAGCGGCTACAGCAGGCCAGGGCCAGGAAGTCGTCACAGCCGTCAGCCATCTCCTCCAACAAGATGAAGGGCAGTCCCGGATTACAGCTCGACGCCAGCTTGTGGCAGAGCAGAGGCGAGAACTTCATCGACTTCACGGTAAGGGGCTGCCTCTGTCCGCACCCCTCCAACAGTGCTCATGTCATTCTCATCTACGCAATCGCCGCGTCCATCTTGCGCCGCCCCTGTCCGCCTGCGGTTCGTACGCACCCAAGCAGAAAGTCCCAGATGCGTCCACCCTCGCACGTTTCTCCCTCGACGACGCAGTCCCGTCCGAGACCGCGATCGAGGACCGGGTCGCACACATCCGCAGCGCCCTCCTGCCTCCCTTCACCGCCGAGCCTCTCCCAGCGTCCGACTCAGAGCCTGAACCCGAATCGGAGCCAGAGCCCAAAGTCAGACCTCGTGCTGCAGTGTCGCGCATACGCCAGCCGTCGGCTCGCGGGGATCTTCCGACGGCTGTGCCGAGAACTAACCACCTTGGCGGGGCTGCGGTGGCCGCAGGTTCGAGTCACGCATCGGGGCCACCGGGTCAAGCCGTGAAGGTCCCCCCGCCGGCACGGCAGGTACGGGTCGCGTATGCCCCCCAGCGTGCCCCATTGGGAACAGGACAGCCAGCCCAGGGGGATCCGAAGGCCGGGTTGAAGGCGCGCCGGTTGTCGCGCCGCGCATCCGCGGCGCGGGCGCGGAGATCGACAATGTTCGGCCGCGGCGAGGACGCCGATATACTTCGCGTACGTGCTACCGACATGTCGTCACAGCTCTTTTACCTAAAGACGTCTTCCTATATGTCCGCAGATCGTAGCCGCCGTCGAAGACCGCTCAGATCCTGATTCCGAAGACGGCGGCTTCGAGGCTGGTCGAGAGCCTACTACACCTTTCCAGACTCCACGACGCTCCCCGACGAAGGCCCTGGGCACACGTGGAACACTGCTCTCCACGCTGAAGAAGTCCGCCCCGCGACAGTCGTTTGATATCGAGAGATATGAGCGCGTGCAGATGCCCCGTCTCTCCAGCTTACGCCGGGGTCTCGAAGCTGCGTCAGAGCTGGACGAGGACGGGGATGATGGGGGTTCATACCGGCGTCCACCTCGCGAAGACGTCGCAAGGGATGGAAACTTACCCGAGGAGCATGTGGGCGAGATGCCATACGAGGGCAACAGTATGACCTTGGCAGACATTTTGCTGCATGCCGGGCATCAGGGAAACGTTTCTGCTCAGCTTCTCGGCGAAGACGATCTCGACGAGGGAGACGATCTTCAAGGTAATACATCAGACTGGTAGTAGGGCACTTCTATTGCGATCGACTGTAGTCTGTCTTTCTAAGCATGCTTTCGGCCTTCACAAGCTCCATACGGAAAGACGCCAGGTATGAGTATGACTACATGAACCGCTTACAGATCATGACCGCCTAATCATGTCAGTCTGTCCAAGCTTCGGGAGAAGTTGCTACTATCATAGGCTGCCGACGGCCATCATTTGCAGCCTATAGCTCACCTCGCACCTTCAGCACGTACCAAGAGGGACGGAGTTGCAAAAAGCGCTACCACGAACGACACACCGCCTAGGCTGATCGACGGTGCATTTACTTGCCGCTCATGTTGGGGGATTTAAAAGTCATGCATAGAAAGCTCGCATGGCATAGCTCATGTATTTTGCGTGGGTGGCAGCTTGTGCCGGTGCTTGTGTAGCAGTATACAGGGGGCAAGACATATACGGAGGGAGAGCGATGCGAGACAAAGAAGAGCCAGCAGCTCGTGTGGTGCAGTTGATGGTAGGAATAAGACCCATGCAGATGTTCATGCCTCCGTCGTCTTCTTGGTCCGCTTGACTGCGCGCGTGTTCTCCCTGCGGTGCAAAAAAAGATCGTGAGCACTTCAAGGAGTCGATTTAGATACGTAACATACCTGAAGCCGTTCTTGAAGCGTCTCGACACGGTCTTCAGGTAGCGCATGCGGCCAGTGCCAGTGGTCTTTCGGCGCTTCGCCTTCTGGCCCCACTCGTAAGACCGCAGCTTCGCGCTGGGGTAACCGCACTGCGCACACTCTGGACCGAGCGAAGTCAGTCAACACACTTGCGCAATGCCAGACAGATATCGAGCGAGGAGGGAGGAGATGGGCATCGAGAGGAGGATGTGATAGATCAAGGGGCTTAGATCCTACGCACCCTTGTGCTGCTTGTGGAAGGCACGGTTGCCACACCGCCTGCAGAGGGTGTGGGACTTGGTGTGCCTCTTACTATATGATAAGATAGATGTTAAGCGTCCAAGGAGGAACGAAGAATATGAATGCTACGCACCCGAAGGAGGTGGTACCTATGCACCGTCAGCAACATAAAAATCAGTCTCATCGTCTCCAGTACTCTCCATCCCATTGCCCACGAACCTTTCGTCTACAAGGAGAGCAAAGTTGTCAGCACAGGTGGAATCGGGAGACGGATACGATATAGCACGCCAGAGGAACCTCCAGGTCGAGGGACCGTCATCCGAACACGATTCATCCCATCCACCCTCCTAATACCTCCAATTCGCTCCGTTCAAACGCGGACACGTATCCCGACTGCATGGAAATCCTCCAGGGGAGCAGAATACAGACGTAGACTCACCATTGTGTCTTGATCTTGAGGGGGCCGGGTCGGATGGCTTGTGCAAAATCGCCTCTACCACCCAGAAGCCACTGCGATTGGCGCCACGTGGCGTTGGCGCCCGGATGAACAAGACGCTCACGATCAACTCTTGAAGCTGCTTTCGATTCCTCAGTGTTGCGGTCTAAACTGAACAGAACTGGAGCAAATCGCTTATCATTCTGCTGCCTTATAAAACTGTCTTCTGTTGCATAATTCTACTCTATAATAGTCTGACCTTGTACAAAGTCACAACTGTCGTCGTTCCGTTCACAAACGGGCCGGTCCATGTTAGGGTGTATGCTAATGTAGCGACAATAATTACATAGACCTCGGTGAGTCAGTCGGTCAGCATACCTGGCATATACAGGAGATCACATGAACTCATAATTGTGAGCGGAAGCAGGCGGCGATGCAACGGCAGTCCTGCGTGCAGGCCCCGAGCACGGACGCTAAACTGTCCTGAAAGTTCAGTTGTGATTGGGCATGCCGCAATCCAAAAGTAAGACCGAGGTTCATCAGACCCAGACGGTAGACCTGTATGCGGCAGCTAACGAGGCACTGTATGACAAAAAATCAGCGCGGGCAAACCCCGTTCTCACGCAAGGAATACTTCACGCAGCCAAGTTCACGGTCTTCGCATCCCTCGATGGCCGAGAAATTGTAAGCCTTTCAGGGGATCGGACGAGGTTGGATGTCAATGGACTGCCTAACATAGGTGAATCTGCGAGCTTCAGATATCCAAAGTTCTCACACAGGCAAACGCGCTGTCCTTTCACCAGAGGCACTCAGGCAACAATGTCGCCTTCGCAATCAGGACCGCAGTCGGCGATGTATGCATGCTGAACCTAAGTTCACCACTTCTAATCGTGTCTTGCTCCTGCCCACGGTCCGTTGTGTGACGCAAATGTTCCGTCTTACCGGACTGTTATTCGTCGACCTATGAGTTTGTTCGCTATAGTGAAGCTATGACGCAGATTGTCTAGGTTAGACAGCTCTTCAAGTTGGCCTTATGTAACCACGGCAGTCGAATGCAGACTTTCCCAGCACTATGTGTGACAGCAGACCGAACCGCGACGCGCATCCAGTCGGGGCCCCAGAACGTCATCAATTATCCGCATCTCTGAGTTCGGAACCTGGGGAGAAATCTGGGCTGCGAGGGGCCACAGGTACAGACGCACAAGTGTTCCAGTATTGATACTCATTGACTCAGGATTCACTATCTGTTCGCCACCGCGCGCCATATTCTGATCAGCAGCATGAGCACCGTCTTGTGGCATATGTATCTTGACGCGCTGCATCTCTACAACAAGTTTTTCCGCAGTGCTAGCTATGTAGCTCGTCTAATTCCAGATCACAGTGAATCGAATATGTAAGTGTCCGCGGCGACCTCTAAGTATGTGAACAGATTTGACCACGGACACCAATGTTCTTGATTGTGTCATGTTTGCTCGCAACACCGATCTGATACGGTTGTGACATGATACGTACATATCATCCGAAAATGAGGCGTTCGCGCGCTATCCGGAGAGTTTCACACTGATGGGAGCAGGGCGGAGGCGAAGACAACGAGATAAGGCCGCAATGATCTAGCCGGTATCAGTTCGGGCGGTCGCGCGAGGAGAATAAGAGGCTGACGTGCGCGGGGAAGCGTAACAAAAGCCACCGATCTGCGCCTTTCACGAGGCGCCAGAAATTGGTTCCATGTTCCCGGGTCGGAGGAACGAGTCTCGACTGATCTCATTGGGCGATCGAGTGGCTTTCGTCATGATGCGGGGAAATTGAGAATATCGCTCAGCCGCCCAACGCACGCCGCGTGTCCCGGTTCCGGAGGTCAATATTTCACGGCGTCCTGCAGACCTACACACACACGTGGGGTCAGTTGTGCTCAATATCCTCGAACAGGGGACATGAGATCGGCCGCGGACGAGTACTTATGCAGAGGGAGATTACGAACGCTGGCTGACTAGGCCATCCTGGATGTTGGGTTAGGAGATAAGATCTACCTTAGCGGAAAGCAGGCTGGCGGCTGAGTGGCGGCTCGCTTCGGAGCATACGCGACAAGAAGCCTCCGGGGCAGTCACGGGTTCACTTCATCGAATGCTGGCACCAACTGTCATCGTGCACAGCGCGTGGCGGCTGTCTCTCAGAAAATGGGCAGAGTATGTAGACTGCTTGGAGCATGTGTACGGCGTAGGCAGATACAAGGAAGGGGTTAACGCCGCACGATAAGATAACCAGACAAAGGGGTAAGGGAATCTCGTGATAGACGCTGGCTTGAGGGGGGCTAATGGGGCGGCCGTGATTGGCTGGAGGGGGCTGGATTGTGCGTTATCAGGGTTTTTATCAAGAGACGTCCGCCCTGCTGACTTTTTGTCTCTTTACCTTCATCATCCTCCCCGGCCGTCGAATCTCGACACCTCCAGCTCACCTGCCTTCGTTGTCCGTCCTGTCGGTGTTCTCGACGACGTACCCCTTTTTGTCGTCTTCTGGCGACGTCTTTCTTTCTTACTCGAGACTTGCCTAATAATTGCTTCGCAACTGTATTCTCACCTAATCCCGTCCTGTATAATGGCCCCGGTCGCGCTGGAGTCCCCCGTTGTGAACATGCATAATAATGCGCTGCCACCTATGTCCAGGCTACAGTTCAACGGTCATATACACACCCCACCCGCCTCCGATCACTCGAGGAACGACGACGACGCATCTCCTCTCATCGCGCCCGCCCCCCTTCCGCCCATACAAGGCCGGAACACAAACCCCCCCTTTCCCCTTGATCCAGCGTTAAAGGAGCGCTCTGGAGACACCAGTGATCCTGCAGCAGACCAGAACAGCCCCCCCGCTAATTCTGAATTGGCGTGTACCAACTGTGGTACTGTCACGACGCCTCAGTGGAGACGCGGTGACGACGGCAAGTCGATCTGTAACGCTTGTGGTGAGTACCAGTCTTTCCTACTCTTGGCTTTCCCTATCTCCGCCGCGGATATCTACGCTTCTTCTATTCATCTCCCTCTCGAGTCCCGGGATGTGATGATTTGCCTCCTGCGCCACGTGTCCTACGCGTTCGTTCGTAGTCTCGGGGGCAATCATATCGATACCTCGCTGCATCTATGCGTAGAGCGCGTGTACAACACTTGCCTTGCGGCGGACGTCCTTTGCTGGTTCAAGGCCGTGTTACCGCATGCTCTCACGGAGCGTAGGCTGCTTTGGGGCTTGCGGTATCGCGAGTCTGCGTTGCGCTTGCACACTCATCTCGCCCACCTCCTCTAGACAATCCAACTCATGATGGGCCTGCAGTCATGCTCATGTCGCTCTGCTTGCGCTGATAATATCGCCGTGCCTCTCGTTCCATCGCCTCGTTGACTTATCACCCTTCCCCAGGCCTCTACTATAGGACGAAGCACGTTCCTCGTCCCCTCTCCCTTGGCCGTACATCAACGCTGCAGTCGGCTACCCATCCCAACGCGAAGCAAGCCGTTCCAACAAGCCCATTCCAGTCCCAAGCTCAAGCTCAGGCCCAGAACCAAGGTCACAGGACGTCTTCCCCTCCCATAATGCCTACTCCCGCTGCTTCCCCCGCTCTCCATCAGACGAAGAGTCAACCGACGGAAGCGTCTCGCGCGGCAGCCCAGAAGCATCAAGGCGGCACTTGTCCGGGCGATGGCCGCTGTGACGGCACTGGAGGCACGTCCGCTTGTAATGGATGCCCTACTTATAACAACGCCATCCAAGCAGGCGTGATCGAGCCCACTAACGGGCAGGCTCCAATGCAGAAGGTGGAGGCGGCTGCTCCCGGCGCCGAGCAGGTCACGGAGACGTCAGGTGCAGAATCCTCCCCCGTTATCAGTTCCCAGACACCTGGCGGCAGTGGTCGTTCGAGGATACGCAGCCAAGTCGGTGCCCTCAGTTGCGCGAACTGCGGTACCAGCACGACTCCGTTGTGGAGGCGAGATGATGTCGGAAACAACATCTGCAATGCTTGTGGTACGTGTTTAGTCTCGACCAGATCCTATCTATCTCTTCTCTCTTTGTTGCAACACGACTGGGGCGTGGTGTCCTTTGTCCTTTTTTGTTGAGCGTTTGTAAGGCGCCTGTCTCAAGGGGCCTAGATATGATCTCACCTCGTTTATCAGACGGGTGATATCTTATCAGATAGCGTGTGCACGGCTAATCTCCCATTGGTCGATGCTGTCGGATTTACGTCCGCTCGTGGGTGCTGTCGTCTGAGGCCCGATGCAGTGGTCGTACGGGCGGCGCCGCATTGTCCCTGACTGGACGGTGATGACGGGAGAGGCTGGAGCGATTTTCTGCTTCGGCAACAATTGTTGAGGTTGAACATCTGCTGACGCGCTACTTTCTCTCTCCTTTTCTCCTCCTCCTCTCTGGTATATCGCAGGCCTCTATTTCAAGCTACACGGCACGCATCGCCCGAATTCGATGAAGAAGACGGTCATCAAGCGGAGGAAACGCGTCCCTGCCGCATCCGGGGCGCCCAGCTCTCCCACACCGCAGGATCGCATGACCGACCAAGCTGCAGCTGAAGTTCTCGCCAGCGTCGGTCGCGCTTTGCCTTCCGGGTCGGTCGGTGCGCAGACGGAGAGCGAGGAGGAGCAGCCGAAGAAGCGGGCACGTCGCCCACGTACCTCGAAGGCGCGCGATAAGGATGCCGAGGGTATCGAGGATGACGAGGATGACGAAGGCAAGCCACGCAAGGCCCGTCGGACGACTGGCAGGAGCGGACCTCGCGACTCACGGGAAGGCAGCAGTGTCGCGCAAGCCGGTCAGTGGGGCGAGACGATGATGCAGGGCATGGGCGAGTCGTCGGGCAGCCAGCACATGCATCAGCAAGACCTCGATCGTTACGGTCCTGGTGCTCCCCGTGGCAACCCCTTCCCCCACCACGCCACCCAGGCGCTCCCGGGACTCATCGCTACGCTCGGCCCTGAAGTGCTTACGAGCCTTATGAACACGCAGTATGTCGGTGTCCCGCCTCCGCCCCCAAGCTATGTTCGTTCTGGTTCAGCCCAGGGCAACGTCGGAGGCCCGGGTGTCCCCAGCAGAACACACTCCCCTGTAGCTCAGCACACAATGAATCCTCCGCCACCTGGTGCCCCCTACGGCCTTCCTCCGCCGCTTCACGTCCCCGCGCACGCGCCGCCACAGTTTGGGCACGTTGGGCCGTCGTTCTACCACACCGGCGCACATATGGTCCCTCCCCAGGTCATCGAGGGCGTGCCCAGTCTTGCCGACCTCGACCAGCACTACCGCGCTCTCGGGGAGGAGCGGAAGCGGCTCGAAGAGTTGCTGGAACGGACGGACAGGATGATGGCGGGTGTGAAGCGGGGCATCGACGAGATGCGCGCTGCTGGTGCGCCTCCGCCGGAGGGCTCCCAGCCGCCCGCGACTCCCGGCTCGCAGCAACAGCAGCAACAGGCCCAGCAGCAAGGCGAGGGGTCGTCAGCACCGGCGCCTGCCGTGCCTTTGTCGAGGCAGGAGAAGGGAAACAAGGAGGGCTCGACTGTTTGGCACGTCGCTCCGCCCGCTTCACAATCCGCAGCTCCACGCGAGTGAGCCGCGAGCCAGCTATGAGCGACGCTCTGGGCCTATGAGCGACGCTCTGGGCCGATGAGCGGGCGGACGAGCGGGTGATATGTGGGTGTGTTTGATGGTTATATGTGGTACGCGCAAGTATGTTTGGACGCGGACTGGTCGACTTGGCTAGCGGCAAGTTTGCGTGTCGCAAAATGTGCATATCGCCCCCTCTCTGCTCTTTCTGTCTCCCCTTTCGTTCGTCTCTGCTGCTGCTACTCTCTGTTATGTCGTGTCTTTCGCACTAGCTCACCTCATGCGTCACTGGTTGGGCGGACTGTTTGCGGTATATCGTATAGGCCTCACCTTGCGCCCGGATTTCGTATTATGCGTTATGCGTGTATGTGTATGGCCGCGACGGCCAGTAGTGTAGAGCACTTTATTATATCTGTTTATGTGGCTCTGTATGTGGAGCACCTGCTACTCTCTCATGCCGTGCTCAAACGATGAGTGCGTCTGTGTTCGAAATCGCGGGGGAGGCAGTAAACCGCACATGACCTTGACAAAATGGGCACGCTAGAACGGTGGGGTCCCGAAGTGCTTTTGGGGCAGACTTTGCGCGGGCGAGACATCCAACATGTGTAGACACTATATTGACCCGGAATGTGCAAGGTCCACAAGATACTTGTGACATGATCGAACTATTTTAGCGACGCTCCTCCAACAGACACCTGGGTCTCGTAGTACATTCCCATTTCATGTATTCCTCAGGATTGACGGGCCCTCCCTCACGACAGAAGTCAGAGACAGGACAGACGGTGCACGGTGTCTGCTCGAGGCCCAACGTTACACGCTCCTCCGAGTCGTAGACAGCACGATACGCAAATCGACCGGGCAACGGCAGGCCTGCCATCTCGCAGATTTGCGGCCCTGCAGAATCCCTACTAGAATTCGACGCCACGATACTTCGGCTACCGGACGGCCCCAATGGCCGTCTCCGGAAGGGTTGGTTTTACCTTCTGTGTCGCTGGAGAAGTGTCCATTCTTCTCTTTCCCCTGAGAGCTGTCATTATACTCGCCCCTGTGGTACCGGCGACGTCGTCTGTGCGATGGTCGGTCGTCCCCGCTTGTGGACATATCGTCTTCATTCTCGGGATATGGAAAGCCGGAATCTGATGTTCATAGCGTGTGAGGCGTGTTTTGTCTCAAGATGCATGAGCACTACCCACCTTCTCTATTTCACCGTCCAGGATCAGGACTTGCAGGGGCATCTCCACGAAATGATGAACGGTGAGCTCGGCTTCCGTGACTCTACTTTTCTTGATCAGCCCCTATGAGACGACACGTTACCTTTCAATGAAACGCGCAAGCATTCAACGAGTAGCTCAGAACGTACCAAGATCTGGGGGGGGCGGTCGTTGAAGAGGAGTTCGTAAGCGGGTAGAGCCGTCTAACAGGAGTGTCCTCTCCTTGGCGACCTTCGAAATACTCTGTGATGTACAAATACCTTTCTACCCGATGCGCCGTTTGCTGTTTCGGGAGAGCTACTCAAACGATCTCTGACGATCTCGAGGCAGACATCGCTCCATAGCTTGATGAACTCGGTGTCCTGTTCTTTGTCGATGTACACCGTACCGCCAGTTAGCTCAACAGATGGTTCAGGATGTGCCAGCATAGAAATCTTGTACATCGGATGCTGCTCGCGAAATTACTATGGCAAACTGCTAACTCGCGAGCAATCGAACTTGCCCAGACATCATTGACGGTCTTGATGAGCTGTTTTTGGGTCATCGACTTGAGACATTTGTCAAACACGGTCGGGTGGACTGGTGTTTGTGCGTTGCTGCGTTTCGTCCAGGATACCTGCCAGCATGGTTTGTCGGTCAAAGCCGGAATGCCAAACCTTGGATCTCTGCTGTGCGATTGATATGTGGTGCAGATGAGAGGCCACCTCTTGTTCGCACCGTTCCCAATGGCGGCAGCGCTTGCCGCAGGGTCGGGCCCGCGGCGGTCAATCTCGGTAGGACTTGATAGTACGAACAACGGGGACACAGCAAACACACCTTGTCCGGCGCAGCCAATATAGCCCGATGCAACTCGCGCTCGAGAAATTGAGCTGGCGGGAAATGATGAGATAGCAACAAGAGAACTGGCCTGCAGGAGCGACGTCAGATTTCCATTGTTCTCTCACCGAGCTTTTTGAGATCTAGGGGCACGGGCTTATCCGGACCGCCCTGAACGTCAGCGAAAACGGTAGAGCACTTTGTTATTTCTGTGCATGGAGGGCCCTGCAAATTTCTCATGTTGTGCTCAGCTGACGAGTGGGTTTGCGATCGAATTGGTCGGGGGAAGGCAGCGGAAAAGAAGCCGGGCGCCTGGGCGAGTCGAAATAAGGAGAGTGTGGGGAAACGGCGGGCGCCTCGATAAGATTTGAATAGAGGTGTGCACGTGAAAGTGATGGCGTGGTGTGTGGAATTAACATGTGCTTCGTTCATCCCCAACGTCTCTCGTCCACTTCTCCTCTCCTCTCCTTCCCATTCACCTACAGGCCACAATTCCCCACCTCATTCTCGCCCCTGCTGGCCTCGACGACGCGAAGATGGCTCTCGCAGACCAGGATGAATCGGTGCGCATCGCGGTCCGCGCCCTCGGGGACATGCGCAACAGCACACAGCACAACTCGCCCTCGACTTGTACGTGTGCCATTTTAAGGCTTTTTACCCCAACGGTTTGATCTCGAGAGTGTTAATGACCGCGCCCACCGAATTTACGTCCTCGCATCCTTTCCCTGCAGCATTCCAGACCACGCCCACGCTCTCGGTGACGTCTGCGATGTCCTCGCCGTCGCTGCCGTCCCCGTCGCTGATTGAAGAAGATTTGCGCGAAGACGAGATGGAGGACCGTCGGCGGCTCGCCCCCACCTCCCCCTCCGCGTCCGAGGATGCTGGGGCGCAACGGGATGGCGAGGAGTGGAAGACGCTTTCGCGCGTGCAGAATATCCCGCTAGTAAACAGCGCGCTTCGAGCGTATGAGCAGAGCAAGGCAAGTTCGCGGGTCGTCAAGGTGCGCCGTCCTCTGTCTGGTTTTGTTCTGCTCATCCGAGGCTGACGGGAGATGGATGGTTGTGGGGGCGATGGGCATCTATCTGCAGTACGGCGCGGAGATGATGGAGTCGTCGATGAAGACCATCTCACGTCCTGTGATCGACCGCTTGCCAGTCGGGCAGCTCGATGAATTCGCAAGCAGGCAATTGGACAGGGTGAGCATCGCGTTCCTCGTTCTCCATGATTGCGTTTGGTCTACCCCAAGCTTCCCGCCGGCTCTTCCCCACTCTACTTCACTTGTTGCTGCTTCCCGTACCCTTATCCCTACCTCTATCTGGCGTTTTGTCCCGGTGATAGTGGTCATCTGGTTGACTGCGCTAGCCTTGTGCGCGACGCGAGGCGGGGGATGCTCACACCGACTGTCAAATGATATCAAACAGACCCACAGAGGACAGTATGACGTCTGGTTTCTGTCAGGGAGAGCAGGTGGTCATCCGTGGCATCTCACTCGCGCTATCTATATGCCTGCCTCTTTGGACATGTCGGTGTCCATATAGGGCCGCCGATCGTGCTTTGTGTACCTCCGGGCGGCCCCGGCTAATGTCCCTCGGTCGTGGCCCTGTTCCGCCACTCCACATCGAGCAATCACGCGCGTCTCCCTTCCACAATGGTACTAACAAAAGCTTCTCTCGCAGCTGGGCAGCTATACGCGCGGCTCGTCAAGCCGGGGCCGCTCGCGCGGTGACTCTGTCGACAGTCCAGACCGGAGGAGACCTTGGGAGCCGAGGGATGGTTCAATGACACGCAGTCCTTCTAGGGAGACTTGGTCCAGGGAGGATGATACAAGGTCTAGGGAAGGTAAGTGACATGCAGCTCGTGTTCATTCGTCAGAGCACGCTCACGCCGACGACGGAAATACAGCCACAACCATACCTTCACCATTGAGTGCCGTTGCTGAGAGCCGCACGCCTACACCACATTCCTCCTCAAGCTCGCAGCCTGAACGGCCTATCCTTCCACCTGCCTCCACCTTGACCCAGCATGCAGACGCACAGGAGAGCCAACAAGTAGCGCAACGTAGTAGATGGCAAACGGTCTTCCTAGAAGCTGGGGGTATCAGCGCCGCGCTCAGCGAGGAAAGCATGAGGCGGCTGAAGTACTGTCTGCAGTGGCTTCAGGTATGTGTTCCGAGCGGAAATTGTGACAGATTCGGCCTGGTCATACTCTGGACTTCATACAGTACGCTACGGCGCAGATCGATGCCCAGATTCTCGTCCTCAGAAATTTCATCGCCTCCCTCCAGCCCCACGGCACTTCGCCGCACGACACCCCCATCTCCGCCCAGCACCTACGCACACTGCAGATGGCAAAGCGTGACGTGGTGGATACTATCCGACAGGTGGTGGAGGTCATGAGTCGCTACGCCGGTGGTGCACTCCCCGAGCCAGCTCGTTCGCGCGTTCGTTCATTCATCCTGTGTCTACCGCGGAGATGGGCAACAGCCTCGGGTGTTGGCGTGGACGGCCCTGTCTCAGACCGCCCGGGTCATAGTTATGACGCACGCGGAGAAAGCACCGCGACTTCCTCTACCAGCTCGGCCAGGCAAAGGCATCGTGGGACTGCCCCGTACAGCTATGGTCCAGGCGAAGCGGGCCCCTCGCCGAGGTCCCGCCCTGCGTCGCGTGCGCCGTCGCCGGTTCGCGGACCGAGCCGGGGACACTCCAGGCAAACCAGCGCTGCTGCGAGCGGTGCGACTCCGCCGACGGTCGACGGCGCGACGCAGGCCGCGCAGAAGATCCTCACGCTCGCGATGGAAAGTTTGGATATGTTGCGCGGCGTGACGGGTGTGTTCAAGGACAGCTTAGACCGTGCAGATATGTGAGTGCTTCACGCTTCCCTCTTTACACGGCCGCGCGTCTGACAGGGTATTCTGTACAGTTGGGTCGAGCGTTTGCGCGTCGTTGGTGTGCAGCGCGGACAGAACGGGAACGTCGAAGGCGACGCTGACGGCGAGGTTATCAAGTACCGCGACACTCACCTTCCCCCGTTCCTCCCTCGCGAGCACAGAGGCGCACACAGTCCTTCATCCCCACTCTCCCCCTACGCTCCGCTCAGCCCTGCCACACCCGGTTCCGGGTACAGCACGCCGTTCTATAGCATCCCTCGTTCCTCCAGCACAGGCTCCCTCAGCGGCCTCGCTTTCCCCGGTCCTCTCAGCATGGCCCCGCCCTATGACGCACCCTCTCCGGCGGGCCATGCCGCTACCGTCCTCGACAAGCTCTCTCTGTCTTCGAATCATTCAGAAGCAGGCTCGCGCCTCGCGACGCCGAAGAGCGCACTAATGGGCCTGCCACCCGAGGGCGACTCTGGGGGCGGCGGCCGTGGCGAGAAGAGGCGCAACGAGAGCGACGACGGGGATCGTGCAGTCGCTGCTGCGACCGCCTTGGCGGGCATGGCGGGCTCCGGCGGTCTGTCTGCGAAGCGCATAAAGCAGGAGGAGCGCGAAGTGGGCATGGAGGTCGACTAACGATAGCTGGGATGTTGGGGGATATATATGATGCCGTGACTCAAAGGTGATGTCTCATCGTACAGGGCTCCCGATCTTCTCATCTGCCTCTCGGATCCCTCTCCGCACTATTAGTCTCCTTCAGGGCGATCAGATGGCCCGTGTATGCGGTCGATGGGTGATGCTTCGACCTTTGGCTCTGTGAAGACGCGCAATGTACGTCATTCACATGTTTTGACTACGGGTGTCGCATTATATGAACGATCGAGTTCCATACCTTTCGTTGGCTTTCTGCTTAGGCCCCTTGTGTTCTGTTGTCCTCTCTGTCGCTCGTTTATCTGTTTCGGATACACACGGACCCGGCATTGTACACGTCCTCGTCACCACCACCTCTCTCGCTATACAGTCTTTGTACTATTCATACACCCATACATTGGGTATCCCGCACACGTCCACAGAATTCGGATCTACTGAAACCTCCCTCATTCGACTCCAACTCCATCCATGTTCGTGAGCTTCTAGCTCTGCGGCGCACCTCCCTACACGACTATCTCCGACCCGAGACGTCGTAGCTCTCCCCACCATAGCGTCTCGCCCTCTCGTTGTCCTTGTGACTCGTGATTGTCTGTGTTATCCAGTGTTGCAAACTATCTATCGTATGTGGATTTCATCGCTTCCTATACTTCGGTACTAGTAACTTCAAGTAGAGTATGAAAGTACACGTATCTCCTCGGACTCCTCGGAATGTACGTATAGTCTAGTTCAAGCGCATCCCGTTCCGCACCTGTACAGTCAGCTGAGTCGACTCAAGCCATCTCGGGTGCCAACACTCGTACGGTCAAGACGGTCTCGCAGACTTGGAAAGTAGGAGATAATATTGTACAAACGATGCGGTAACGTCGTGTTTGGGGAGGCGCGTACGTGAAGTTCCGCATAAATATGCAAGTCGCTGTAATCATAGCCAAGTCCTTAGCGAGATGCAGCTTAAGCACTCAACGACGGGATGACAAGTTGTCGTTTCTAGTCAAGATACCCCACCTCTCCGAGCTCGTATGAGAGGGGATCTTCAGCATCGCCAGATGTGTCTGCGTGGTCAAATTGAAGCGTCGTTTGCCTCGTGAAATCGTCCAAGGACATATCCGACATACGTGCCGCCGCCTTGCGAAGGTTGAGCACAACGCGAGTGCACAAGGCACTATGTAGCGCCCTCAATTGCCTAGAAGGGTCTAACGGTGAGCAAGGATGTTCTCCGTTGAGCACGAAGCCGCTCTCACAGTTGGGCGAAAGGCGCCAGTTCGCGCTGTTCGTAAAGCAGGTCAAGGTCAAGATCTGCCCATCGAAAACGGAAGGCGTCACCGACCGGAGCGGCCAGAAGAACGAGCAAATTGATAGTAGAACCGACTAGATGTAAAATGTCGAGGTCATTGTGTGCTCCTACATGAGGATCGAGAGGTTACCTAAAATGATGACGAAGAAGAGAAATCCTACGGGAAGTGGAGCACATGAAGAGCTGATATGACGTGGCAACAGTGGTCTTACCGTCGCGGTACATGGTCTGACACAATCCTTGTGTAGACGTGATGCCCCCTATCCGCTCCGGTCAGAACAAGGGTCAAACAGCGGCTCAAGCTCGTCAAACCTACTATCGCTATCTAAGTATCTCTTGATGAGCATGAGTCCGATGATTCCTATCCACCTCAGACGTCAGCATGGCCCGTCATATCCGACTGCGAGAAGGAAGCTGACCTGTCTCTGCAAGCATGGTGCACGTATATGCTGGCAATGCTTGCTGGTCGTCTATGCATGGCATGCATCCAACCACTCGGAGAACAGCGCTAGGATAACCTACTTGAACATGAGCTAGTGTAGTGGCAATCTGCCTTCGGACACTCACTTTGGGTTGTGACTGCTGTCTGGTAGAGCGTGAAGCATGCAAACGGCTGATGCATTCGGATCAGAACGAGAACGGTACAGAAGGGGAGTCGAAGAGCGTACAATCAACAGAACACCACCCCCGATAGTCAGGGCCATAACGTATCTGTTGAATGACCAAAGAGCCCAAGTCCTTGCCACCAAGATGGCTGAGAATGGTGAGTTGGCATACACCGCTGACAACGTCTAGGTGGCAGAAGGACTGTGAGGGACCCACATTCGGAGAATCCAGTTCCAGCAACAGATACATCTATGAAGTGTTAGGTAATTCGTAGATTTGACCTAATCTGTATACAAAACGCACATCCCATGATTTTGAATGTATCAATACAAGACTGGTCTTGAGAGGTCAGAGACTGGAGTATGAAAAATAGCCTTACTTACTTCTGTATCTGTCGGATACAATTCTACTGGAGAGACCTGAGACGATACTCTGTCAGATTCGTTAGAAAGGAGACTGACAGAAAATTCCCAGGGCGCAATCTAAGAGCACTGAGTACTTGTTGACGAAGTATATCGCCTTCATAGCGTTTCGATGGGCTGGCCATATGAAGGCAACCTACACATAAAAATTGGCGTTGAGCACTTGTATGTCCAAACATGGGTTGACAACCTCACCTCATCCGGGAACGTTGCAGCAATTTCGAGCAACTATCAAATGCCATTGAGTGGTACAGCCAGCGCCGACAGGAATCGCCACTCACAGTTAAAGTGAGCGATGCGACTTGGAGAGTTAAAGCCTCTATTATGAATCGATGCCATACGATCAAGCAGTAATCATCACCTGGAGTGTACTATAAGCCGGGGTTAGAATGACGATGCTAGTGAAAGAGATAGCCACTCGAACCTTTGTCATCTGTGTGTAATATAAAGTGCCAACCATTCTGATATCCTGAACATCGATTTCTTCGCCAGGAGTACTCATCAAGTTTCGAGTTAGCCCAGACAAGCCAAACGGTGGAGGAGTATAAGGAGGACAACAGCCGACGGTTCGAGTGGACTCGCCTACGGACCATCGACGATGTTTATATGCGATTGCGGGTGGACGAGGTTGCGTACAGAGGACCGAAGCCATCCACCTTTCCAGCTGTCTATCACCGCGTCAGGAGCGGGTCTGTGACTGCCATTAGCATGGAGAGTACTGCTTCTTGTGATCCCTGTGTCACCCAAAAAATGCGCAAGAAACTGACAGCTTGGTCCGGGACTCATCACCCGAAGCTTTTCCATTCATAGCTGCTTGTCATATGCAGGTTGATCCTCGGAAGAGGTGCATATCAGTCGGCACTTCCATTAGATGTCATAAGTTTAGGCGATGTGTTAATCGTTAAGCTCCGAGTGTGAGTACACTGATCGCTAGCAGGGTTCAGACTGATGGGTATACTGCCCGACACTGGGCCACCTGTAGTAAACGTCCTTAGGAGTCAAGATGATCGAATCGATCGTGCAAAATCTCGTCTCCGGACGACCTACCACACCTGAAAGCTGTGACCATGGCTGATCACTGCGTTGTCGAGTGGTCTAATGTCGTTGCGGCCGCTTTTCCAAGGTTGAGCAGGACACGCGTACACGCAGTGCTGTAGACGGCCTTGAGTGTTTTAGAAAATCGACAAGTATCAGTATAGACGGCCGTAGATGGGGGGAGGATATACGGGAGGAGCTGAATCGCATGGAGAACGACTGGCAGGATCGCGAAGGAAGCGAGTTCTTGCTGTTGAAGGAAGAATGGACATGTGTTGACATCCAAATGGAGACAATTTGTGAGGCTTGGAAGCTAGCGGCATGAAATGGAGATAGAGATGTCTGGCATCGCATCCACTTGGTTAGATGAGACAGCCGGGACGGCATAGTAAAAAGCCAAGCCCAATATGATCATGAAGAAGATTTCTTGGGGAGCGCATCAATTTGTGTCAGCAGGATGATTGAATGAGCGCTGGCCGTCGCGATACGCAAGTCTCCGGTGACCCAATTGCGGGGTTTTTTTACATGATTGACCATACCATACTATGTATCAAGCCTACGGATGTACTGCCTCCTACTCTCGAAATACTACATGATGCCTATAGATGGCGGCCCAAGTCCCGCTTACGTTTGAGTCCTACGTAACAGGTTTCCCGCTCTCTCGTACTGAGCGAGAGGATCTGATAGATCAAGCCCATTGTCAGCCATGCTATGCTGCAGCCCGTGAAGCCCGGCGGCATGGGTCATAACGTAGCCTGTTGTGCCTGCGGTAGGCGTTGATCGTCCTGGCCGAGACCCGATGATTGAGCAGGATGTCGTTTGCGCGACTGTCGTGTTTGGGGAGGCGCGTACGTGAAGTTCCGTATAAATATGCAAGTCGCTGTCCTTACAGCCAGCGCTTAGCGAGATACAAGTCAAATACTCGACGACGCGATGACAAGCTGTCATTTTTGGTCAAAATACCCCACCTCTCCGAGCTCGTACGAAAGGGGATCTTCAGCATCTCCAGATGTGTCTGCGTGGTCGAATTGAAGCGTCGTTTGCCTCGTGAAATCGTCCAAGGACATATCCGACATACGTGCCGCCGCCTTGCGAAGGTTGAGCACCACGCGAGTGCATAGGGCACTATGTACCGCCCTCAGTGGTCTAGAGAGGTCTAATAGTGAGCAAGGATGTCCTCCGCTGAGCACGAAGCCGCTCTCACAGTTGGGCGAAAGGCGCCAGTTCGCGCTGTACGATGAAGAAGAAAAGTCAAGGTCAGCCTATCAGAGATGACAGGCGTCACCGACCGGAGCGAGTAGAAGAACGAGCAAGTTGATAGTGGAAACGACTTAGGTATCGAGGTCATTGTGGGCTCCTGCACGAGGATAGAGAGAGCATACCTAGAACGATGACGAAGAAGAGAAATCCTACGGGAATTGGAGTGCATGATGAGCTGACGGGAAATCACATCGCGAAGGCGGGTTTACCGTCACGGTACATGGTCCGGAACAACCCTTGTGTAGACGTGATGCCCGCTGCCCGCCCCGGTCAGGACAAGGGTCAAAGAGCAGCCCAAGCTCTTCAGACCTACCATCGCCATTTAGGAATCTTTTGATGAGCATGAGTCCGATGATCCCTGTCCACCTCAGACGTTAGCATGGATCGTCATACTCAACCGCGAGATGGAAGCTGACCCGTCTCTGCAAGCATGATGCACGTATATGCCGGCCATACCTGCTGATCATCTATGCATGGCATGCATCCAACCACTCGGAGAACGGCGCTAGGATAACCTAATTCGGACATGAGCCGGTGTAGTTGCAATCTGCCTTCGCATACTCACTTTGGGCTGTGACTATTGTCTGGTAGAGCGTGAAGCATGCAAACGGCTGATGCATTCGGATTGGAACGAGAACGGCACAGAAGGGGAGTCGAAGAGCGTACCATCATCAAAAGTCCAGCTCCGATAGTCAGGGCCATGACGTATTTGTTGAATGACCAAAGAGCCCAAGTCCTTGCCACCAAGATGACTGATAATTGTAAGTTGCATACACCACTGTCAGCCTCTGGAAGGGGAGGACTGTAACGGACTCACATTCGGAGAATCCAATTCCAGCGATAGAAATGTCTATAACGTGCGAGGTAATTCTTATAGTTGACCCACCCAATGTGTGTGAAAACGCACATCCCATGATTCTATATGTATCGATACAAGACTAGGTTTGAAAAGTCAGAGATGATAACAGGGTGAAACATAGCCTTACTCACCTTCGTATCCGTCGGATGCAATTCTACTGGAGAGACTTTGAACGATACTTTGTCAGGTTCGCAAGAAAAGGGACTGACAAGAAATTCCCAGGGCGCAATCTACGAGCACTGAGTACTTGTTGACGAAGTAGATCACCTTCACAGCGTTTCGATGGGCTGGCCATATGAAGGCAACCTGCACTTGAAGTTGGCATTGAGCACATGAAAGTTCATACATGGATTGACCACGGCACCTCATCCGGGAACGTTGAGGCCATCTCGAGCAACTATCAAATGTCTTCAAGCGGTACAGCTAGCACCGGCAGGGATCGCCACTCACGGTCAAAGTGAGTGATGCGACTTAGAGGATTGTGGCCTCGGTTATGAAATGATTGGTAAAACGATCAAGCAGTAATTATCACCTGGGGGGTACTAGGAGCCGGGGTTTTAACGACGGTGCTCGTGAAGAGATATAGCCATCCGAACCTTTATCATTTGTGTGTAATATAAATTGCCAACCATTCCGATGTCCCTAACATCGATTGCATCGCCAGGAGTACTCATCAAACGAGTTAGTCCAGATAAGCTAATAGGTGGAGGAGCATAAGGAGGACGGCAGCCGAAGGTTCGATTGGACTCACCTACATGCAATCGACGATGTTTATATGCGATTACGGGTGGACGTGATTGCCTGTGGACTGTGAACTCGTTCGGTACAGATGTCCACCTTCCAGGCTATGTATCACAGAGTCAGAAGCGAGTCTGTCATTGCTTAGCATGGAGACTACTACTCTTGTGATGCCTGTGTCACCCAAGAAGTGCGCAAGAAATTGAAAGTTCGGTTCGCCGGAGCTCATCGCCCCAAGTCCATTCATACTTAGCTGCATGTCATATGCAGGTTGATCCTCGGAAGAGGGGCATATCGGTCGGCACCTCCATTATATGTCATCAGGTTGGGTTGACGTGTCGTGAAGCTCCGAGTTTGGGTACACTGATTGCTGGCAGACCGACGGGCATACTGCCCGACACTGCGTCGCCTGCGGATAACATTCGTAGGAGTCAAGATACTCCAGTCGATCGTGCGGAATCTCGTCTCCGGACATTTTCCCACACCTGACCTGAATGCTGTGACTAAGTATGCCCGTGGCCGACCACTCTGTTGTCAAGTGTTGCGGCCGCTTGCCGACGTTGAACAGGATACCCGTACACATGCTGCTGTGAACGGCCTTGAATGACCGAGACTATCGACAAATATCAGTATAGACGACCGCAGATGTGGGAGGGTATGCGGGAGGAGCTGAAGGGCTTGGGGAACGACTAATGACAGGATCGCGAAGGAAGCGGGATTTTGCCGTCGAAGGAAGAATGGATACGTGCCGACATCAGAATGGAATGAAGTTGCAAGACATCCACGACAGCAAGGAAGGAAACCAGGCTCGATGAGTACTTATGATCATGAAGAAGATTCCTGTAGGATCGCATCAATTCGTGCCACCAGGATGGTTGAACGAGCGCTGACCGTCGCGTTCACGAGTACGCAAGTCTCCGGTGACCCAATCGCGGGGAATTTAATATGATTGACCATACCATACAACCAAGCCTACGGATGGGAGAAGTACTGCCTTCTACTGTCGGAATTCTACATGATGCCTATAAAGTCGGCCCAACGTCCCGCTTACCCTTGAGTCCTACGTAACGATTTCTAGCTCTCTCGTACTGAACAAGGGAACCAATAACAAATTAAGCCCATTGTCAACCATGCTATGCTGCAGCCCGTGAAGCCCGGCGGCGTCGGTCATGTCATAGCTTGTTGTGCGTCCGGTAGGCGTTGATCGTCCCGGGCGACACCCGACGATCGAGCAGGATGTCGTTTGCGCGACTTCACGCCTTGGCCCTGGCCATGAGACTGACCACGTTGACTCTGAGCAATCGCGCCAGCCTGAGGTTGGCTTGGTCCATGGCTCGCACCATGTCCTGTCGCCTTCTCGCGTTGCCGCTTCTGCGCACCATCTCCTCCAGGGTGGCCGCCCTTGCCGCCCTTCTGGGGCTGCTGCACCTGGCTGTCACTACCAGTGCCAGATACAGACTGGATGGCAGGGCCCTTGCCTTTCTGGCCTCCTCCTCTCGACTTCTTCGGCTTCTTTGGCGGTTCCTCAAGGAGTGCGGCCGTAACGGCCTGTTCTTCCTTCAATCGTTCCTCCTCGGCAGCCCACCAGCGAAGGAAGTCCTCCTCAACCTGGCGTGCACGCTCTTCCTCCTGAATCTCTACCAAGGAGCGCTTGTCCTTGGAGGCTGGGGCATCTTGTTCGGCCTGAGAAAGCTGGATAGCCGCGAATGACGTGACAGAACGAGAGGAGGACTGGACCACGGGCTGAACGGGTTGGACAGGCGGTGGCGTCCATACGCTGCCACTTCTGTAGATAGACATGCGATGAGTAATCATCGAATGCTCGAGGCGGGGAGAGGCACTTACGAGACACGACGAATGGATGTCGCCGCGGCAGATGCCTGTCTGGTCGGCAAGAACACAGGTCCCAAACCCGGTGCGACAGGCCTCCGAGGTGTAGATGGCTGGGACCACGGGGTAATCGACGCTCCTGCCGCAACAATCGGGGCTCCGGAGACGGATGGCGCGCCAAGAACCTGTGGTCGTCCATTCTTGCCAAGAGAAGCCATCACAGAAGGAGCCACAGGAGACCCACTGACTGGCGTTGTCGTAGCTGGCTGAGGAACTCTCCATGAACCAGATGAGACCCGAGGGACCTGCCCACTGTTCCCTGGAGACTCTGTATAAGGACGGGAAGACAGACCATGCTCCATAGGACGAGCAGGCGTCATTGCATGCGACCTAGAGATGGGAGCCTTGGTGGAGGCCTCTGCCATGATGGCTTTCATGTCGGTCTTCGGAGCAGACGTGATTGGTTTCCAGCCAACAACTGGGCGACCGGGGGATTCGCTTCCGCTCGGCACGCGGGACGGCGTACCTGGCGCAGAGACACCGGTTGGTGCCGCGGCGGGTGGAGGAGGCTCGGGCTCATCCATTATGAACATCTCGTCATCGGGGATGCCAGTCGCGACGGGCCTGTTGCTGAACGTCGGTCGCAACATTGGGCTGTTGGGGGCGGATGTATCCGAACGCTTCGTCGGCCTCTTGCTCGGCCCCGGAGGAGACAGCTTCGCGGAATCTCTGAACGCTCCAGAGCGAAACGTAGGCACGATCGTTTGCGGGATGTCCTGAAGCGCCAGCCACTCGCCCCATGTTTCCATGGCCTTGTCGACGATCTTGCTCGAGCGCGAGAGCGGGTACTTCTCGGCTTGTGCTGTGCGGACGAAGGCAGAGAGTTGCTTGATGAGGTCGGGGGTCAGGTCCTCTAGCATACGGCTCTCGAGGAAGACTTCCATATTGATCGCGATATACTCCTGGAGAAGCCGGACAAGGGCAGTGGCATGGTAGTGAGTCGCATCTGTGAGGACAGCACAGACGTTGTTGATCCAGACACGCTTCATGATGACCCAAGAGCAGATGAGCATCAGGCGATCGAGGTGCAGCTCATTCTAAGATCGCCAGTCAGTAACCCAACACCAAGGTATCAAGGCAGGTACTCACCGCGACAGCCATGACGTCGAACGCGTAGTCAATCAGGTCATCCACAGAATGCGCATCTTCGACCACGTCAAAGATTTCCTTGTCTCCTCCACCGCAGAGATACTTTAGTGCCGGCTCGACAGCGCGCCATTTCATGTGCTTGAAATTGACGACGATGGTGCCTTCAGGGGTCCAGCGTTTCGCAGTCCAGTCCTTATCGTCGAAGAACGCCGCGAAGAACGGCGAACGGGCACGTAGAACGACCGAATGACAAAACACCTCCCGATCTGCCAAGTGCAGGACGACGTCGGGGGCAAGAGGTCGCCGCGCGCGAGCTCCAACACCCTCTGTCTGTGTGCGGAAGAAGAGCTTCTGCATATCCTCAGAAAGGATAGACTTCGGGGTCCGTTTGACCGGCGCATTGACGACGTCCGATAATGCGCTGAGCCCAAGGAGGGACGACAGAGCCTGGAGCTCGGCCTTGAGCTGCGGCGGCTTAACCTTGAGCTGCTCGAGCTGCCGATGGATGGCATGCGAGATACGAGGATCCCAGACAGCGAGCAGCTCATCCGAGTACAGGTAGACAATCAGGATGAGGACAGACAGGGGATGACAGCCCGCGAACGTGACCCTCGCTAGCTTCGGACTAGCGCCCTTACTAGCATGCCCTTGGATCGCAACGCTTGACTTGGTATCACGGATTGTCTTCGTCTCTGAAAGAACTTCGCCAAGGACAGAAGAACGGGCAGCAAGGATGACACGGTGAGTAGGAAGCTCGATGCCGTTCGACTGTACGTTGACGATGAGGTCCGCGTGGTAAGGTAAGTCGTTGTAGTCAAGGGCACTAATGGCATCGGAGCCCTTACGGGCCTCTTTGAGCCGGAGAATGACGGAAGTCAGAGCCTTCACTTGCTTGACGTCGCTTTGTACTGCTGAGTCCTCCTCGTCCTCTTCCTCGTCCGACCCGGGAGGGATCTCAGTCGACGGACTGAGCACTGTGCCCGACGTACCCGATGGCGAGCTACGCTCATCAGGGCTGATAAGCTTCAGGTATGGTTGAACGCTAGCCAAATCCTGCGGAAGCCGGTTGCCGACCACTCTGACCTCCATAGGGTGGAAATCCTCGCGCAAGGCAGCGAACGCCCCTGTGGCATTTGCGCAGACCCGAGTAACGCGCTGGACATAGGGTACACGTTGAAACCTGAAAGTCTTGACAGAGGACCCCTGACCAGCCTTGAGATTGCGCGAACGCACAAAAACGTGGCCGGATTCCGTGCAGATGATGATGGAGCCATCAACCCCAAGTGCGACGTCCTAGCGTACATGATGAGGTTCACAGATCGAGCAGATATGGGGTAACGGATACATACCCGGACTGCGCTGAACTGCTTCCGCAGAGCCCAAACGCGTTGGGGCTGCACGTTGAACCGCGACTTGCTCCTGCTCGCACCGCCGTCCGACGGGGAAGGGTAAGTGAAGGTGAACAGCTCCCCACTCGACGAAAGCGCAGCGAAGGTATCCTCGCAGCTGGTAATCTTCTCGATGCTAGCGCTATTTCTATTCGCTGCCTGTGGCGGACGGTAGGCAACAAACTCGGAAGGGAACGAATATGCTGGGAAGCTGCACGAAATAAATAAATTCGTGGAGCATCAAGGGGAAGGAGGATACCCACTTGACTTTGAAGTCACCGTCATTCCACAGACAGATAACTTCTTGAGTCTCCAAAAGGCAGGCAAGAGCCGAGTCCTACAAGATGTTAGATGGGCGCACAATCAGAGGATTGGTATGCGCACTGTGATAGAGACGGAGAGCACGGGCTTGTTGATCTTCGTGACAACGCGAGGAGCAATCTGGACAGGCTGCGCTACTCTGTCGTACCCTGATATAGTAAGTCAACTTATGTGCGGGAGTTTGGTCTCTTACACATAGAGCATACCTAGCTGCCCATTGTTAGTGCCCCACGTGAAGACCTCGTCGCCAGTCCAGCATGCTGAAGCAGTCTTACATGCGGCGACACCTTCAATCGTATGGTTCCGTATTGCGCCCGAAATCTTCCTTGGAGTGGACTGGATAGGCTCTTCGGCGCGACCGCTAGCCGCCGGCTCGACGATGTAACCGAGCTGAGAGAAGCGATTGAGGCCCCAACTATGGACCTCGCCGTTCTTCGTGAGGATAAGAGTGTGGTCCTGGCCAACCGCAACAGACTCGACGGCAAGGTTGAAGCCGGGAAGAGGGACTGGTGTGTATTGGGTGTGTTGGCCTGGACCCAGACTACAAGTGCGGGGTGAGCCCCCTACTGTGAGCCGTGCGAGAGAGTACTTACCGACCACCGCTGCCAAATCCACAAACACGTAGATTTCCGCGAGGCTCGTCCGTCACGATGACTGTATGCAGTCTTGACATGGCAACTTGACGGACGCGGATGGGGGTGAAGCGAGCATTGAGGCTTTCCGTCTGCGGAACAGGGGACACGCGCAAGGAGACCAACTCGGGGATAGCTCTGTCGTCTCCGTCTCCTACTCCAAGCGCGGCGTTTCTGTTGGATCCCCAAGTGTAAAGCTCTTGACCTCGCAGCGTATCATGGTCTGGCACTGTACCCTCGACGGTAGAGTTGTACAAGTCGAACGGCGTGTATCCTTCAATGTCCCGGAGAGTAGTATCGATATCCAGCCGCTGGAGCAACAGCTGGGCTGTCGCGAGGTTTCCGTGATAGAGCGCACGGTGGAGCGGGGTCCAATGACTCTCTGCGTCGGCGATATTGACGTTGATTGTAGGATGCGCGAGAAGCAGGCGGACAAACTCCGGGGCGGACGCATCCTGGGACGAGGCCGCGAGGTGAAGGACAGTCCTACCAAGGTGGTCTTTCGCGTTGACGTCGACATATGGCGCAGAACTCAGCGGGCTGGGGCGCGACCAGGACTTGCCTCCGCTGGTGCTGAGACCGCCGGGGTCGCGCTGACTCCGGGTGGGGTCCAGCAGGCGCTGGAAGGCCTGCTGGTTGCGTAGGTGAAAGTGGGCATGGAGAGCGGTCATGCAGTGGGGATATGTGGCGAACAGCGACCAGGAGTCCTGATGACTCCCTTAAGGCCGGGCTGTTCGTCGAGCGTTGCGCAGGGAGGGGTTGCGCAACGGTAAGCCTGGAGTTACAGCGAACAAAAGCTTGCAGACAGTCGAGGAAGACAGAGGGTTGTCTGACGGCTTGCAAGCTTAGATGGGGGCGAAGAACGAAGAGGAATAAGTTAAGTCCGAAGGGTCTGTATGTAGGAGGACGGAGGACGTCGAGGACAGAGTCGAGCTAATTCCAGTACTCGTCGGTGCCGTCTTCTCTCAAGCCGGGCGGTGCACGTGCGCTCCCCACACGTCGAGCGCTCAGCTGAGGGGCCGCGATAACGAACGTTGCCTCCCTCATTTCCTCCTGAATCCACCTTGGGACACGTTCCACGTTCACGAACGACAATGACCACTGTGTATGGGCAACTCCGCTTTACTTTTCTCCTTGTTATCGCAGCGTAGTGTGCTCGAAGTCTTTCGGCGACGCATCGGTGACGTTTTAGACTCAGGGCTGGCGATAAGCAACGCAGGATCGTCGTCGACGATCCTCCAAATTCAGCCATTCGGTCCTTTGACACGACACATTGAAGTAATGTCTCGGATATTATTCGCACTAGTAAATCATATCACATGAGCTGAGATGAGTTGCCTACAGTCACAGGACCCAGAATCCAGCAGATACCACGCTAAGGAGGACGATAGAGCTTCGTCTCCGTCTTGCTCAAGCCGCAAGCTTCTGTGATACTCTGCCTCACGTCTTCGATTCCGAGATGAGGGTGCTCGTGTGCGGAGGTGAGGATGGGGGGTAGACACGTCGGCGCCGTCTCATATATATCTTTTTGCATGTTCTTTATTGCCTTGACGAGCTCCCCCGTCCGTAACCCGTCCGTCTTGGTGATAATGGCTTGGAGAGTCCAGTTGACTCCACCCGACGCCTGACATTGTTCGTCAAGCAAGCTGAGCATCATCCTGTCCACTTCGTTCACGCCATGCTTGGCATTGAAGAGAATGAATACACGGCGAAGCCTACATACAACGCAATGTTAGTCACTACGTTCAGTCCAAGGTGGAAGGAGCGGGAAACGAAGCTCTCTTACTCTTTGCGATTCTGGACGTAGTAGTTGAAGAGTTCACCCCACTCGCGACGACCGCGCGCACCGTAACCCGGGGCGTCGACGAGGACTAGATGGCCCGGTGGCGGTCCTACCCGGTAGAAGTTTAATGTCTGGGTCCGGCCCTGTCGTGCACTGTTATCAGCTTCGTGTTTAGATTATGAGTGCCACTTGGCGCATACAGCGGTCTTGCTGGTGTGCAACAGATTGCGTCGACCAAGGACGGCGTTCAGCAGCGTCGACTTCCCAACATTAGCTCGGCCTTTTTCAAAGCATTAGATGTCGGTGGATCTGGGACAGATAGCTCTTACCCACCAGTCACTATAACCTGGGTAGGCGAGCTTTCGTCAGTGCGCTGTCGAGCAGCCTAATCTCCACATACCTCTGGAAGACCATGCAAATTAGGTATTGACTGCTGAGTAGCGGCAGCAGCGAGAAATTCTGCAGATTTGGCGTTCGCAAAGACCTTGCTCGCCGGCGCCTTTGATGACGCACCCCTAGAGCTCGTGTAGAGGTGGCTTGTTGTAGTGGTTCGGCTTCTCAAAAGGCTGCAAGACATAGACTAATCTGGCCGAGATCTCCAGCGGATGACAAGTGTTTACCGCCGAACCTTGTGTATGTCGTACAGACGAAGGAAGGCCAACGCGGCATACTGGACAGGACAAAAGGCGCCTAATAGCTAAATACATAACCGGGTCACTGAGCGCTCAGGGTGACAGAGCAGCTCAGCTTCAGTCTTCATATTGACGATGGCATTCTGAGCCATTACACCTGAAAACATAGCTGTACACTGTAAGGACAAAGATGACGTTCAAATGGGAGAGATAAGTCGAATTTGTCGGAATGGGCGTTACCCGCTGTCGTCCCTATGCGTGCAGTCGAAGGCGACAGCTGCGCCTGCGACAAGTACTAACCGTTTACATCATGCAGAAATATTATCCGAATACCAACGCTTGAGATATGAAGGCTATACGACGATGTATCTAAGAAGTTCCAGCAAGATTACAATCCACTATCCACAACGGCGATGTTACTTAGCAAAAAGTCGTGTACTTTCAGTCGTCGTGGAATCCACCCATGGCCCTCACGGCCTCTACTAGACGCTTGTACTCTCGTAACAGCTCCCCGACTTCGGACACTTTGATGTCATCTTCGGTGCATGTCAAGAAACGATTGTTAGGGGGCGAAATGCGGATAGAGATCGGTGACTGCGCCCTGGATGATGCAGGTGACTCAATATGCTTGATTGTACTGGGCGGGAGGAGCAATGACGATCGACGAGAGTCAGGGGGAGATGTCTGCGACATTGTCAGTCGCAAAAAAAATGGAACAGTGAATGCCAGTTCACACACCTTAGCTGCTGCGTCACCAGTTGTGCTCTGACCTTGGGACAACCTCGACAAGCCAGGTACACTCGCAAGTCGATCTGCGAGACTCTTCCGTCCTCCGGCTGTGGTCTTGCGCCTCCGCGCACGCCGACTACGTTGACTCATCATACTCTCGAAACTGCGAATGCTCCTGGCGTCGTGCTCCCCCTCCTCCTCTTCGTCGTCGTCTTCATCGTCCTCCTCCGACTCATCCTCCTCCAACTCGTCTTCGGGCCGAAGAGACCGACTAGAGCCTGGACGTGACGGTACATCAATCATCTGCTGCCCAGGCTCCTCGTTCTGTGTTGATTTCGATCGTCCCGGCAGAGAAGCAGCGATGCTTGCTATTGAGAAGCCCGTGTCTCGGCGGAGAAGCCCAAATCTAGGTTGCGCGATGTTCCATGGTGCGGCGTTCTGGTCGGCATCAGTGGGCGGTGTGGGCGCCTCCGCGTTAGGGTCGAGGGTCTGACCAGGTAGGAATGCTCGTAGTACGCCAAAGGAAGTGTCCACGACACCCGTGAGCACCTTGTTGGCTGACCCGGCGAGCGCGTCAACTTGCTGCTCAACGCGCCCGCGCAAACTGGATTGTGCCACGCGAGGTGATCCACCGTCAGGACCAGATCGAGAGATGGGGATGGGCGTAAGCTCCGCAGTGCTGGCATAAGGGAAGGACATCAGCTTTTATGAACTAGGACGACAGGACATGATGGAGGAGAGCAGACTCGCGGTCAGGGCGGGGTGCTATACCCGCAGGCTGCACGTTGCCATAAAACGTAAGATGCCGTGGCAACAACCTTATCCCACAGCAGGCCGGATAGAGCTATTGGAGACTCATGACGCGAGTGACAAATTCAAACGCACCTGATGACCATCTTCTCACTCTCCCCAAGCCCGAGCGCGGCGAGGTCAACGTTCTCGAGGAACTCAGCAACAGCCATGAGGTTGATGAGACAGTATCCCTCCTCCCCGCCGGCGGCACGCTCCCGCCTAAAACGCTGTGTATAAAGAAGATGAGAGACCAGATGCGGCGGATTGGCTTTGACAACGGCGAATATCATCAACGGGAGGATGAGGTCGCTGGAGACAGGTGTCGGCCCTGGCCCTGGTGGCGTGTCCGCAGAGGGTTCAGGCGGTGGTGGAGATACTGTCAGAATAGGGGATCGTGAACTAGACGACTCAGATATTAGAGAAGCATCGTCAGGGACGAGGAGGATGCTTCTTTCGGTAGGAGCGATAGGCTGCAGTTCTGAGGGGAGAGATTCGCTCATTGGAGAAACCACCACTACAGGGGGAGGAGAAACAGCCCTGTCCAATTCATCGTCATCTGGATGCACAGACTTCGCGAACGAAGTCGCCATTGGAGTCTTCTCATCCATTATCTCGTCGTCTGACTTCAACCTTAATGGTGGTAGTCTAGACAAGCCCTCTAGTGCGCAATTCAGTATGGCGAAGACTGATAGACAGAAATGCAGCACTAACCGACTAGGACCTTGTGCACAGAAACCAATGTAGCCGCCTTATCGGCAGGGGAACGACAGACGGAATCCAAGTGTGTGAGGGCTGAGAGAAGTTGACGCATCAGCAGAAAACAACATACGAAAGGAGCGATGATTTACTTTGACCGCAGGCCTTGACAAGAGTCTCGACTTCTGGTCCTGCCTTGCCCACCTCGACGCCAAGGTGTTGCAAACCCAGGTCAAGTAGGTTGACTGCAGCGATTCGACTAGAGAGAGCTTCGTCATGGGAAGCATCGTCTGTACCAGGGGGCAGGAACAGTCTGTACGTTGACGTCAGTGCGCCATACACAACACCGCTGGCGAAACAAAATGCTACTCACCTATCGTAGTATAGTGAGCAGACAGCTTTCTCTACCGCCTCCATGATGCGCTTCGTATGAATCGCCTTCGGGCTATTCTCCTCCTCGTCCCCATCCTTCTCAACTGTCCCGCTCGCCTCGGGCACCTTATCCACATCGCCGTCCTCCCGATCTTTCTCGATCTCGCCCTCGCTCCCGCTGCCGCCCTTACCTTGTCTCCGCCACCGGCTGCCCTTGTGACTCTCCTTCGCGACGTCCTCCGTCCATCGCTTCTCCACCTCATCTTCAAGATCGTACCAGAACTCCTGTAGCCGCCTCGCCACTTCCTCGATGCCCCCGCCGTCAGCGGCAGCAACCAGCTCGCCGGCAACCTCCCACACCGACCCGTCTGAGCCTCCCGCGCTACGAATGCGACCCGGACTCGATGTTGCGCTAACCCCGCTGACGCGTCTCCGACCATCGGGCGCGGCTGCTGCCTTGCCGTAGGACACTGGTCCTAGCCACTGAGTGCCCTCTAGCACGCGCTCGCGTAGCCAAGTAGGAACGCCATCGCTCGCCAGGACGTCGTCGAGCTCTCCGCGAAGAGCCGTGGAGATCGTACTCAACACCTGAGCACGATGTATGCGCCCGCCTATCACATATGCGGGGATATTGAGCGGGATCGCTGGTTCTGCAAGTGATGTGGCGCTAGAGACGTCCGGTGCAGATGCCGATGATGATTCTCCCGGCAAAGCTGAGGGTGATGTCGAGGGGCTCGCTGGAGGGGTAGGCGAAGCAGTCGTCGCACGACCGAAGAGGGATGCGAATGGGTTGGAGAGACGCGTTCCAGCACCAGTGGATGACGCGGGTAGCGACGGCCTACCGCTAGGGCGCGGAGGAAGAGGAGGGCCTTTCGCCGTAGGACGCGGAGGTAGAGGTAGGCTACTAGCGTGGCCATGGACGGAGAAGGTAGGGTATGCGGGGCTATCTCGTGAGTTCTGATGACGCGGCTCCACGGGTGACCGTTGTGAAGCGGACAGTGGTCTAGGGAGGGGCGACAGCGAGGCAAGTGCCGCGCCACGCGTTGACGGAGTCAAGAGGGCTTGGAACGGCTTCGAGGATGGCGACAAGGTGGACCGGAAAGTAAGCACATTGCTAGAGTGTGACCACAATACGAGGATGGATGATTTGTGTTTGAAGACCAATTAGCACGCTAATCGATCCAGAGTCATCTTCAACGGCGTACTCGGTAATGTATCCTCGCAATCCGGACAGTGTAATCACACTGGTTATTGGAGAACCGGCACCTGCATCGCATATCGCGATGTGGTCCTTGATGACATCAGGTGTTATAGATACACTTGACTGATGAGGGTCGCGAGGTAGGAGTAGAGTAGCCTAGGCGCGATTGTCATGATCTAGGCTACACAGGAAAGCCCTCACAAGCGTAGAGTATGCTTACCTTCCCTTCTGAGACAGCCGTCCACAACTCGTTCCACTCGGGCCCGCGACCTGCCTCCAATGCAAATCTCTCCAAGATCATCCATCCTGTACTTGCGGCATCCAGCCCGGCTTTCTGCGCCGCAGCTTTCAGGTTCATCAGGTGCAAGCGGTTAGCAGCATCGCGATCGGACGGGGTCGGGTGCGTCGTGGTGCTCGTCGTAGTTGTTGTAGCTGGGGAGGGGGCTCCACGTTGTCTCGGGGTATACGGCACATAGCGGGGTGCAGAAATGGGTGCAGACGAGTCGGGGCTGGTAGGGGTTGCGCTGGCTGCGGTAGCTGGGGTATTCGGTGACGAGAATGAGGTAGATCCAGTAGCAGGAGGCGAGAGGAGCGGGTGGGCAGTCAGACTGTCGTGTGAGGCTGTTCTGGGTAACTGGATGCCAGAGCGTCCGATAGAGCCCGAGGGAAAGAGCCCTTCACGTCTTGACATCGCTTGAATGGAATGGTGGCGTGTATGGTATCGATAAGAATGGTTGTATGCTCCAAGCGATTGCGACTTGCAGCTTCCTCTTATGCACGTCCACGCTGCGATAGTCTGCAGTACAAAGGACTGTCAATGTCACCTCATTGGCGAGGACGTGAAACTAGCCGAGGAATGGAGTTGCGGCATATACATGCACTGCGGTGGCCTCTTCACCGCAATAGACAAGGCCTACCCCACTTGACTGGACGCATGCCGTATACATTGCAACCTGCTTCCCTCTCAAGTCAGGTCGCGAGACGTTTCGGCGACGCGAGATTTCCGACTTCCTAATAGAAGTCCAATCATAGAGTCCGACTAGGATACGCCTATACGCTAGGAGCGTACTTGCCTCCGTGTACCGTACTGGTGGTTCGTCAATTGTCCCCCTCTGCAACACAGGGAGACAATTCTAAGCAATCGTAACGCCGCAGCATCCGGCTGAGGAGGACGCGTAGACAGTGGAATTCGAGGAAGGCCAATTGCGGACATGGTGCTCACCTAGGAATCCCAGACCCCTGCCAAACTGGTGGTAATTAACCTCGCCAAGTACCCCTACGCGGCTAGAAGCTTGGTTTCTTCTTTGGTGACTTCCCGTCGTCGGCGTAGACGGCGGCGCAGAAAGGAAAGTACACAGCTGGCACGTAAGCACGGCGTAAGCGTTGTGATGAACAAGTGATGTCGGACCCGCTGACTCGCAGTGCGAAATGTTGGTCACAAGTGATGGGATTCGGCTTGATTAATGCTGTCCAAAGAGGAAAGGCCCAAGCCGCTTGCGGGCGGGAGAAAGCTCAGGACGTAACGGTCAGAAGGCCGTATGGGAGACCAGGTACAGGAGGACGGCCTATTCGCTGATCAGTTAGGAAGCGCGGTTATCCGAATTTGGCTATCCAGACGCGCGTCGGGAGCGCGGGAAAGTGAGGCGTCTTGAGCGCTTGACTGGACATCTGCATCGTTGAACCCAGTGATAGCCACCGTTCGAGCCAATACGCAGCATGTAGTATCCCTGCGTAGATCGACTCATCGTCTTTGGATGCATTCCCACTAATTGAGAAGATATTCCTAGTGTTTGCCCACACTAGCACAACGATTGTACTCCGCCTACCTACAGAACAGTGCTTGGTCGAAAGCTGCGCAAACCGTCGCGTACGTACCCTGCTAACAACGACGGAACTCAGAGACAGTTTCTGTCTGAGATAGACTTTGGTTAGCATCTATCCGCTGACCCTTGCCTAACTCACAGCATTCCACTACGCAGTTGGCCACAACCTATAGCAAGCGAACAGCCCCCCGCACCGGTCGCGATTCCTTCAACATCCGATTCGGACACCGAGTCCCAAGCCGAGAGGGTAGAACCTCGCATGGCTTCGTCCCGAGTGTTGGACTCGGACTCGAACTCGAGAGGGCGCCGGGGCTGTTCCTCGCGCGCCAGAACACGACATACGAAACTTCTAGCATACCTCGTTGCGTTGCTTCTCCGCTCCCGGATGCGAAGCATGTACCGCTCGCTGTCCAGTGCCGAACCGCTACGTACAGGGCGTCGGCAAGCACATGAAGAGCAATCGGTCAGTTACGAAGGATGGAGCCAACCTGATTGGCTGCGAAGATACTGATAGGTAGCAACTCCATCCGCAGTTGAGTGCTGTCAGCCCGAGACACACGCAACTGAGTTAGCGCAGTCACGACAAGTAGCTGGACGCCGAGGCCGAGGACCCTGCGTTTCTATGCTCTTAGCAGGTTCGTCCGCGGTGCATGACCGAGCTCAAAATACCACGCACTCGACCATTTAGTACTCAGCCGTCCGTCCGATTGAATGAGCTTTCGACAGCCCTGCGCTGAATGCTGTAAGCCGTAGAATTCTACGACATCTCCCGCCCTTCCACCCTTAGAACCGCCCAGCTGTTCCCTGCTCGCTTGTGCTAACGGAACGGGGCCGACACTAAGCGAACCTTTATGTATTGTCCGACGTTCTACGGAGGAAACCTTTGGAACGCGTGCGGGGCTCGGTGCAACGTGGCGCCGGAGTTGTTGCGCCCGGGCGCGCGCAGAGGGGCGGGACGCCCGATAGGGACGTCATCACAACCCGGAGTACTTCAATAATCAATATACAGACTGACAGGGAAAGTAGTAGCCGAGCAAACCGGGGGATTCGAAACATAAGTACCTATCGATCAAACCGCTCACTAGCCGTTATTTACCCTACGACGTCGTTGAGGACAACGCACTTGAAACTGGAACGTGGGGGATCGTGGTGTCCGAATCGGGTGCCGCACAAGTCGTCAGACGCGGAGGAGCGTGCAATTGAGATGCCCGGGCCGGCGGCTGGTGGCGACGCTAAGCTCAGTGCATAACCATGGAGCGATCACATCGATGAAGCCACTACATGAAGGCGCGCACAACTGAGGTGCACGGAGACCGCCGCGGGGCCAGCTCCCATTCAACAGTTTGCTTCTAGTTCGTACGCATACCGAGCATCCGAGCCGCGCGTGAGGGCACGGTGCGTACTGAGCAGGGGGATGCCCCAATCTTGCTGAGTGGCCGGGCAGCTCGGTCTAGTGAATTTCATTGTTGCTATCACGCTGTTGGTGGAAAGAGAGCAAATCATGGAGGACAGGGCACATACGGGATCAGTCAGAGAAGCAAGCATCAAGGCGGGCGCATCCATCTGACCTCGAAAGGTTAGTAAGCGTAGAGCTGTAACACTCACGAACCATCGCCGTCAGTGAAGACTCAGTATGTAGTGGCCAATGGAGTTAAACAGGGTTGTTTTCGAGCGAGTAGGGGGAATGCGATCACGATATACACGAATATTGGAAGATCAGCTAGGTAATCATAGTCATGCTGTGTCACATGGATCCCGATATTCTGAGGCTCTTGCCAGCTCTCTGCGAACCGCGGATGTCACGTAATACAAGGACGTACGCTGACACGTCGGCAAATCCACGCTGCGCAGGCGTAAGCACCCACAAGTGCCGGCATCTCCAGGGGTACGCGCAACGCTTATGACCTGAGTTGCAGGCTCCTTCGGCAGGCCGGACTGCGGGCAGGCAGTCAGCGTACATCATCTGCCGACCCGCTGACGGACTGGCCATGCGTCTGTGTACGGACTCATGTGCGGTCCGACATAACCCATGGAGTCGGCCGCCTGCAATCGCTAGGCAACGCACGCTACTTATCGTGTGCCCTGAGCCTCAATACTTACCTTGACCATACTGATTGCACGTTGGAACATTGACTGACAATTGAATGTGTACTGAAGGCGCAATGCCACCGCGTAGTTCCATCATGGAATAACGTCTGGCCGACGATATCGACGATGGGAGCGGTGGACGGCGCCAGAGGCGTTAGCACGCGCGTTATCGGGATACGGGTGGATATGTAGCTCCGGCACCAGATGGCGGGAAAAGTCCTGCGGTAACGCCGACGGCTCTCGATTCGGACAAGTCGAAAGGCATCGATGAGTCCTCTCTGAGCTGGATCATGATGCTGATGGCGGGCCTCTGAGTTCGGGAATTGCTGGAGCTATCTAAGACCGGGATAGCGTCCACGCACGATGGCTATGAATGTTGCCCGACTTGAGAAGAAGGAGGCACAGATAGGAGAGAGTGGACTAGGAGGTGGAATACAGGGAACTCCTCGTGGAGCCATCGGGCAGGCTGGGAGGCTCGCGTGGTGAGCAGAATGGGCGCTCGGTGTCTCAGGGACAGGAGGACAATTATGGATGTTACGCGTGGGGACGCGGCCAACCCAACTGAAACCCGACCTCAGCTGGAGCGCTGGGGGATCTCAGATCCTCCTGTCATAGCCGTTCGCCAGAAATTCTGGAATTCACAGTCACAGGGATGCGAGGCAGTCGATATGCACAATTCGCGGCCAGTCGGTATGGGCTGCCCGCAGAGGCTGAACGGCCTCTTCGTCCTCTATAGTGCCTAGGCAATACCGCATTCGATGATGATGAAATGGGAGACTGAGGTGAAACTGGATCGACGATACGGTACGGCGCTGGGCCGGGGCAAATTCCGGTGCACTGGAGGATTACGTAAAGGGAAGGTCAGAAGCGTTGTGGCGGCGACGCCAGCGGCAACCCATCCGGGTGAATTACTATATGAGTACGGAAGGCTTCCTACGCCGGGCAGGCCCTGGTCCCCGCTCTCGACGGACTCAGTCCTCTCCTTCGTCCCGATCCCAGCGCAGCCGGTCTTCCTTCTCTATAGCCGTATCCTACTTATACTCCTGCCCTCACATCAACGTCTCTCGTCCGCCCCCTGACATCTCCTCCGACATCTATCTCACACTCCTCCGTCTACAGACATGCAGGTCCCAGTGCACGCAAGCAGCTTCGTCATTGGCCAGCCTATCAACCCGGTCTCGTGGCCGCGCAAGCTTCCCAAGCCGACGTACATCAGTGTTAATGTGCGCGAGGCTATTCTCTTCCTGCCGCACTATCCGCTAACCCTTCCGCAGACTGCTCGTCGCCCTGCATCAGCCGATTCTACATGCACCGTCTCATCGACGGACTCCTCCCCCGTCTCTCCCCTTCCCTCGTCCCCTTCGACCTCGAACCTCCACTCGTCGCAGTCGCGCTCCGAGACTGAGGTACAGCGCGCTGTGTCGCGTCTGCTCAGTCTTACGAAGCAGCTGCAGGAGGTCCTCGTCCGCTGGGCGAATGGCGCTGCATACGAAGAAGATGTCAGCGATGCGTTTGTTCTCGTCGGCAGTCAATTCGATGCCACAGTACACGCCTTCTACCATGTCGGCGTTGACATGCGGTGAGTCGCTCTCTCCTTTCTCGTCTTGTACTTTCTAGTACATATTGCACCTTATGCTATTTCTTTTTCTATTTCGGGTAATATGCGTGTCCTGCTTCCCTGCGCTATCCTTCTTCCCATGACTGTCTTTGCTCCCCCACCTTAGGGCGCGCTCCTCACTTTGACGTGAACCCCTGGCGAACTTCTATTCAGTTCCTTGCGCTCCATTACATTACGGGCCGATCGACTCATTCCCGCCACTTTTCGCTTCCGGTCTTCCCTTCCGGTCACCGCGGCTCCGGGTGTGTGCGGCATTCTCGGCTCTGCCCACGCGCTTTCTATCGTGGCTTTCCAGCTTCGCCTACTGTGTCCTCTTGCGACCACCGTGCCCTTTCGGCTTTCCACATCTATAGCTTGTTACGTCCTGTTCCATTCCCCACTTGCTGCGCGCCACTTTCGTCCCGCCTTTTTGTCCTCCACTCTGACACTCGTCTGAGAACTGTCCGGCTCACACAACCATTCATGTTACAGTGATCTATACGATGTCCCCGTGACTCTCCGCACAGTCCTCGAGGGGCTGCTTGCCGAGTACCCTTCCCCAGAGACGCTCGAACGTCATATGCCCGAGATCCGCACAGCGCTCGTCAAGCTCCTTCGTGGTCTTCAGGCGAAGCAAGCACCGTATTGGGCCTCGGTATCTCGTGAGCGAGACAGCACACGTTGTTCGACGATGTCGAGGGTTAACCTTCGCGACGGCTAAGCGTACGCGCCTTCCACATGTTTTTGACCGTCATGGGGCGCACCTCGCTGTTCCCCTCCATCGCTACCACCCCTCCACGGGGGTGCGATACCCCGCTGTATAACAAGGACGCCTCCCTCCGGCGACGACCACCATAACCGCCGGACATCGATGCGCAAAACCAATGCTGTATCAATAGTACCATCGGGAACCACTTGGGATCTGGACATAGGACGCGCGCAGCCCTTGCCTTTGCGTGCACTCGTACTCCATCCGTCTTGGACCCTGGCTCCGCCAACCATACGATATGCGACACCTTTGGGGCCTATTGCTTTACCTTAATTTGTTCTTGCAATATTCCCTTGTCGCAGTTAATTGATCTTCCTCTTCTGGACGTCGCCTTCTCGCCCCGCCCAGATCCAGACCGGAGCTGTTCTTCTAGCTTTCCGCCTTGCGATTTCTTCTCGCTTTCTTCGTTACACAAGCTCGCACGTACAATCGCCGCATATTAGTACTCGTACATCGCATCAAGCTCTGGTCCCCATTCGCAATCGCAAGATTATCTTCGCAACTCTGCAACCGTTCCACACTGTACCAATACGGTATCCACTCGACTCGATCGCTCCTTGCTTCGTCGTCTCGATATTAATCGCTCTACAAATATCGCACCCTCGTTATCACAAGATCAACTTGCTTTGCTTCTTTATCGGTCGACAACCGTCGGCAGCCTTACAACGGTCTTTACTTACTGCTTCCTACCCCTATCTGGCACCATGGTCGGCGGTGTACATAGTGTACAATTTGGACTTTCCATTGCCTTTGGTGTAATAATCCGAACGCGCATAAACAGCGCAAACAGTTGATCATCAATAATCCCATCTCCCGTTCGATTCGTGCCCGCAACTGCGCCTGGAGGCGTATCCACAAGTTCCACCGGAATCATGGACGGTGGGACAAGGTTCAGTCAAACGTCGAATTGGCCGTCCCACAGTCATTATGCTCCAGACATCTTGTTCCCGCGGGAACACAGCGAAGAACGGACGGGATGACGACGAGAACGTCTCCGCGGAAAGTCGACGCAACGTTCGACGTCCAATGCCGGTGGGTCGCCCGTCGCGCACGCACGGCGCTCTTGTTGTATTCCACGCGTCATCTACTGCTCCGCGGGAGCGAGGGTAACGACGGCGGTCGCCTCAGACGCAGGCGCGCGGCCCTCGCGACTTGCCTTCGGCGGACGTGATTGCGTCCCTGGCCACACAACCTTCCGAGTCGAGTCAAGAGTACAAGGACACGGAGGGCATCGCATCGCGCGTCGCGAACGCCCCTGACGCGAGGTGTCAGATTTCATATACGGATACATACCCGGTTTCCCCCCTTCGCTTTTTCGATTCCTGTGCATTCATCACCGTATAACCTCACAGCTTTCGCTTCTGCGCGAGCATCTCGTGGCTATGTACTTGCGACGCGCGCAAAACGAGAACAATGCCCGGTGCGCGGTGCGCGCATTCCGAGTATGGGGACACATGCATACGCATACTTGCGCCGCAGATCTGCAGAACCCGGATAACACCCGCATGTGCGCATGTACGTGTAAACGGCACCCGCGATGCTTCTGCGGGCAAATTAGCGGCGAGTAGGTTGCTCCCCAGTAATATCCGTCCTCGCAACATACTTATGTCTCAGCCGGTGTTCCTAGTGCCCCGACTACAGTATGAGACCCGCAGTGGACCCATACGCGCACCCGGGTCCATACTGCTGTCCGGATAAGAAGACTGCCCCAAATGGCCCGACGTCCCACCCATCCGGATATGGATGCTCACGAAGCTCAGCCTGAGGCTCGGGTACACACCGGGCAGGAAGAACGATGTGGCAAACTCTGACCACGCAGGACCGCCGGCAGGTACGAACGAACGGCATAAGTGGGAGCTTACGACCCTGGTACTGGGAGTGCTGGACACGCTCATGACTCGCCCTGGGTGGAACCTCTGCGGATGCGTTCACGAGCTGCGAACTTGACTCCGACTCGCGGTGACATCGACACCGGTGGCACCGCAATCATTGTTCTCGGCGGACGTCCCCAGAGGCGGATCCGGATGGGAGCCCTCCGGGCATCGAGCATGGAGCGCCGCTGTGGCCCCGAGGCTCGAGACGCCGCGCGCGGGTGCTGAACGCAACGTCAGTGCACGTCGCGCTGTGCAGCCCGACCGGAGCTTTGGACCCTGTCATCTGCGTACGCCTACGTGCGGCGCGAGAACGGCCGTCCCCTCTCCCCCAGCGCACATCGCACAGCGCACAGAAGAAGCTCGCGGGCTGAGCTTCGCAGACGCACGGAGAGGCGACGAGCACGGCCGCGCAGTTGACGGTCGCCGGGGAAGCCCCGGACGTTATCGTCGCTCGTGCACCACGCGGTGCGCGTGTCCCGAGAAGGGGGAGGCCACTGGTCAAAGAGGCTACCCGGGGTGTCTTCTCGCAGATAGAACCAGTGACTGAGATGGCCGGGGTTCTCCGAGTCGGAGGAAGACGCGAAGGCGAAGGACACGGGCGTGCTCAGTATAGACTTCGTGGCTCGTCGAGGCCGGGTATGCACCCATATGAAAAGTATGCGGACTAACTGCAGGGGAGATGCGATCCCGCCTCAGTAGCTTGAGGCACCGAAATTCATCATCATGGGGAGGGGGAGGGGGGTGGGCTGGCCGGGTCTGACACGAGCCCCTATTCCAATCCTGATTTAACCTTCCATGCGTGCAGACGTCCAAATGTGTACCAGGCATTCACATGCACGAAATCTGGTTCTCCTCAGTCCTCGCATTTTACAGTACCCTCAGACTGGTACCGCACACTCACGCAACGCGCAGCCAGTCCTGCCCCGCATGAAGGCTAGAGGCCATTCTGGGAGCAATAAATTGCGCTGTGTCAGCCGCAGCGTTGCCTGCTGGCCTGCAGACGTCATAGTCTGCGAAGCTTCCGGGGGGGTTTGAGTCAAAATAGCCCACTTGACACTATAAGTGCTTGCGTACGCGCATGACGATACTGGGACCTACAATTGCTCTATAGCGGGCCGACGACGAGAGACGTCCAGCAGAACCGCGTCCAGAAATGAAACGTCTTCGCGGGACCTGGTTGGTTCGCGGAGCTGGAACGTCGAGCCGAGAAGGGCTTGCCGCAGATGGCTCCCACCTGCGCAGCTATACCGAACGCCTTCGCAACGGGATGACAGCATCGAGGGGACACCGCGTGACTGCGACCTGTCTTCGTCACGGGAGGATGCCGCACCATACCAAGGATACTTGCTGATAGTGCCGGACGGCCGTCAGGAACATATGCTTTGAGGTCCGCGGGGCGGGATATTTCGAACTAATGACGATGTCCGTTGGGCGCACCATGATATGGATATCGAACGCACCGAGGTATGTTCTGCAGCAGAAGAGGCATCTCGTTCGCCTGACCAGCGCGAGCCATCTTCGATCGCACCCGCAATCGGACGGGTCCCATCGGTAACGACGAGCACGATGTCGCGCCGTTCCCAAGAGAACCCGCATGGGCAGGACAAATGTGAAATCCTACGGTCAGGGCGACCGGCGTACGTAGCTAGGGAATGCAGAACATCGAGAGCACAGGCTCTATAGATCTATCCATCAGCGTGTCTGACATCGTGGGCAAAGATGGACTATCATCACAGATAGAGATAGAGAGCGAGCATAGGGCCACGGGCCGACACGCACCTGCAAGAGCTCCGCATCCTCTTCCACGCCAAAGCGTCGGGGCCCTGATGCTGCGAGCTGAGTCAGCAGAGAAGGATCGCACGGGCGGCGAGCGCTGATTTGCGCTGTCGATGTGGTCGTTGTTGCATGGGTGCTGGGCACGTTGTGCGATCGGGGAAGCCCGCGGCCAAGTCCAGGTCGCACCCACAGGCTTGAATTACAGGGATGTCCGTGTGGCGTTGGACGGTCGCGCGCAGACCCCGACCGGCACTACGCTCTGCGACAGCACTAAGGAATAGAGGAGATCTGGCGCGATGCCGCACAGTAGTGGGACGACGCGCTCGCCGGAGGTGCTGCAATGCGGGTGGGTATGAGCCCATGACCTCGAACGACCGCCAGTCGATGGCCTAGATGAGGAGATTGGTCTGATTTTGACGATTGAATCGCGCAAGAGACTTGGCAGAGGTGGCCAACGTACCAACGGTGCACGTGCTTTTGAGCTCTAGAGATTGGAATGTCGAAGCGTGACGTCGGCCTGAACTAAGTTCGCCCGCCAAGAGAACTCACGAAACCTTGTCGCCCCCAGAAGACAGAGACAGAGAAAATGCAAGAAATATGAATAACCAGAACTTGGGAACCAACCCGGAGAACTGATGGTCATTGGACAGTCAAGGAGCTGCAACGCGTGAGGGCCGCCTGGTATGTCGCGCATGACATTGGCATTGTCAGGCACCCTCCGCACGCATATACGCACCGTCGTAGTCGCCGCCGGGGCCTTTGACGTTTGAAGGGGTGAAGGGAACGCACAAGAGCCCAGAGCGTGTCCTTCTCTGACCTCACCATTGCCTGGCGTATGGCCACTAGTATCCACTGCTGGTCTTGCGACCTGATCACGACCTCTCCAAGCAAACGCAGGTAAAGGGGTGTACGTACTAAAGACATCACGCTCCGCATTGTCACTGGGACCGAGGCCGGAGCAGTAAGTAACCATCAACGACATAAGACAGGCGGTCGGAACATGTAGGCGGCGGGACCGCTGAGCCAATATGTAGGCACGCTACCGGTCACAAGGGACAGACGTGCGCTGTGCGTGAGATGAGCCGTTGGTGTAGGAGGTACGGAAATATGACAGGTCCTTGTGGGGACCAAGCAGCGAAGGGCAGACGGCTCGCGAGGACGACGCGAGGAGAGGTATATTGAAGCTTGTATAAGGATGTACGGGCCGAGGTAAGAAAGGATGGAGGTGGGAGGCCAGCGCAACGTCGGGGGCACCTCAGCGGGTCGTTGTCGGCCCAAAGACAACAGCGCGGGCACTGGACATGACGTCGGCGCTGTTGCTGGGGATGGGGCGGGGGCCGGCGGGGTGGCCATCGCTGACGACCGTGGGGCGGGGCGGGGACCAATCGGTGCTCGTGGCAGACAGAGCGAGGGCTGGAGCGCCACAGGCGAGGGAACGGAGCAGCGGGGTGGAGAGCCGTTCCGAGAATACACGATTCACGTGTCGGCCGGAGCATTTTTCCACCGCAGGAGAGACACAGAGAGAGGCAGCCGTGTCGATCGCCCCGAGTCAAGCGGCCAATCCAGGAGTCGCTCGCCCTCAGACAGCCCTCCTCAATGCAACGCTCATAACCCTCTGGTCGACGTCCCTCGTGTCCCCCTTCTACTCCCCTCCCTCCCCCTCCACCTTCCAGAGGCCCCACCACCGCCTCTCCCGGCCACGGAGGCACTCCCATTCCCCCAGATCTGGAATCAGACCACGCCATGTCGGACGATCCAGCCAAGACATTCACGCGACCGACGCTCAAGAGCTGTCTCAAGCTCACTCCTCCAATCACCCCAGATCTCAGTGCCGCCCCCAGTCCGTGCACGTCCGGGCGCACGTCGCCGTCGCTCGCCAGCGACATCGACTCCCGTTGCAGCAGTGCTGGAAGGAAGACGGTCTCGTTCTGTGGAGGCAACGAGCTCGAGGAGATCTTCTTCGCAGATGAGTGGGACAGAACGCCTGCTGCTGTCACACCGAAGTTGTCGTACCAGTGCGTATACAACCTATCCTCCTGCTTTCAGTCCCTTGGCCTGTGGTGGCGTCCATCGACTGCCATGCCGTGAGCCCTTGACGTGCAGTGCGCTTCTTGGATGACGGTGCCTTCTCGCGCTGCTGATCCTTGCACATCTCTGCGTTTACATCTTTTCCTGCGCTGGACGGTTGTCTCGCACTCTCTGTGCGGTCCGCAGAAGGTCGCCTCCCGTTCTCTCCCGGGTGGCGGAAATGGCCCGCTGTCTGCCATATGGGCGGGATAGACGCTGAGATGCTGGTGTGAGGCACCGACGTCATGGATGACGGGAAAGACAAAGTGTCGGTGACCGGGCTCGTCACCGCCCTCATGGCTGCTCGTAGCGACCACTCTGTCCAGCAATCATTCCTATCTACATTGTTCCCGTGGGCTGCCACCGATCATATATTGACTGCCCTTATTCTACCGCAGAGATATACTCGAGCTGAAGCAACTCCGTATAAACCTGCCGTATTCCCCTCCTCCCCCTCCGCCCCGCCAACCATTTACGACCTCTCTCCCGTCCACCGCCAAGCCTGCCTTTCCGATTTCCCGCTTCGCCACCGCTGCCTCCCATACTCCCTCCAAGTGGAAGAATCGGTCCGAGCCCCAGCGCCACGACGTGGACCCTGCGATCCTCCCATACCTTGACGCTGTTCCCATCCGCCTACTCCCGCTCCTGCCCCAGTCTTCCCCCGAGCCTGAGCCCCCATCTGACGCGCCGGAGCCCCATCCCCAGACGCCGACCCCTACCGCATCTCCCGAGGCAAGACCGACCATCCAACCACCTAGTGAACCGCCGGAGCTTCGGATCGTTGAACCGGCCATTCCTGCTCCCGTACAACCCACCCCCTCACTATCTCCTTCGGCACCCTCGCAACCTCGGACGAAGAAGCCAAATTTCTCTTTCTTGCCTCTACTTCCTATTGAGGATACGCCTGCCCCTGCTGCGCCCATCATTCAAAGTGCTCCCATTCCACCGAGAAGGAAGTTCAACATGACTTTCTTGCCCGTCAACGCTATGCCGGATCTAGAGCCGTCGTCATCCTCCGCACAGAATCTCATAGATCAAGGCACTTGCACACTTTCCACGAGCGCCCCGTTGCCATCTCTAGCACCGTCCGTCATTGGTACTGATCCGTCAACGCAGACAGACGCTGGCCACCTCAGCTCCGGGGCTGCTGAGGTCGCTTCGCTCACTCCTACAACCAACACGTCGGACGCACCAACCGTGTCTCCCCCGTCCCTGTCACCCACACTCCCTGATACCTCCCAGCTGCCCATTGCGGTCGAGTCTGACACGGACACGGACAATTACACTGACACGGACGCTGAGAGCGATGCCCCAAGCACCAGTACAGTCGCTAGTTCGCTCCCATCGCCACCATGTGAATTCGAGAGCTCAGGAGGAGAGCTCGACGAGCTCAAGCTCGGTAAGGAGCTGGTGTTTTCCGACAACCTCCCGCGCATTCATCCACAGTTGGATGCAGGGTCGTATTTCCCTCCCGTCCCCATCGAGATACTGGATCTGTCAAACCTGCCCGGGCACGTGCAATTGACGGAGGTCGCATACTCTACCGGTCCTGGCCAGACACCACCACTGTCCGTGCTCTATCCTTCCCCGAGGTCGCAACCGCGCACACTTGCTCCTCTCGACGCCGCGCTCGTCCCCGGATCGGTCGAGCCCTCGGAAGGGACGCCCATCGTCCCCGCCTCGCTAGAAGACGACGCTGCCGTACCTCCTCCGCCCTTCCGTCCTGCCATATCGCTCCCACCGAGCCTGGTCGGCAGCGCGTCGACGGGCGAGTCCTCCCTGCCCACGACGCCGCTCTCGATGAACCGCGTCCTGCAGCAGAAGCTCACGCTCGAGGCGCTCCCCAGCCCCGCGCTCGCCCCGCCCAGCCCCTTCGAGCTCGAGCCGCACCACATCAGAGCAGGCGCGAGCCCCAAGCGCCTCTCGTTCGCCGCGGCGTCCGCCGCAGATGGGGACATCATCACACAGAAGCTCGGGGGCCTCTGCGTGGAGGAGTCGGCGGAGCCCGCGCGGCCGGACGCGACGCCCGTCCTGCGCGCCGCGGGCACGCCCAGCGGGGAGTCGTCGCCGATGCTGACGCTCGAGGGCCTCCGCGCGTCGTGGGACGCGAAGGCGCGCGAGCGGATCGCTGTGTCGAGGGCGGGCCCTGTCCTCGTCCCGTCGCTCATCGCACCCAGCCTGAGCAGGAGACGGTCGTCATGATCCCATGATCTCCATGATCTCGCGTCCAGGTCGGCCCGCCGAGCTGACATGCGCTCGACGTGGTCTGTTCCCCTCGGCCTGCGTCTGCCTCATTCCGTGATCCGCATATAGCCACTACACGTTCGCGCCTCGCCATGTTCGCATCTTCCGTCTAGCCTTTCCCGCATTTTTTGTACCGATCTCTCGACCGTTCTCCCCCCCATCGCTTTCGTCCGCCCACCTAGCATAGTATCCTATGAACACTACCTTATTTCCTATGCGCTCGCACTCCCGCACGTCATATCGCATCTTCCTCGTCGCATCGCGTCCTGCCTGCCGCACACCACATCCGCACGCATGTTGTCACATATCGCCCGACCCCCTAGTATACCATCATAATTATTCCCGTTCCGCCCTTCGCGGATCTGCTTCCTATGACACCTCCCATCTTGCGACCGCTGCCCTGCGCTTTTGCGGAGTGGTAGCGAGTGCCTTGGGAGCCCTAACATTTTGCGTCGTCAAACGTTCATGATCTTAGACTGAGCCGGCTTTCCGTCATTATGTCCGCTATCACACTGTAGACGTTACTTCTCTTCCATATCTGTAAATATAGGCTTGTTTCTCTACTGGATCATCCCTTCGTGTGACCAATGCCGACACTGTCGCGCAAGTCCGGCGCTTCAAACACGTTCAGTGGAGAAGAGGCATATTGTGGTTCGCGGACGTTGCATCTCATGCGCACACGGGTAGGATGTCTTGAATGGTATATATTTTGGAGCATAGAACAGGTGCAACAGCGAGTCTCCGCCCATTCAAGGGAGGACGTGGGGTAAAACCTAGCCTTTCTTGGGTCGTCGTAGATAACATACGTCCGCCCTGCCCTCTGGCTGAAAGTGCAGGCATGTCGCTGCCAGTTGCCCCGACAGCGACCGAAATTCCCCCCGAGACGCGAGTCACACCAACCTCCAAGACTCGCTGCGCATGCCTGTTCCGTAAGTAAGAGAACAATCTGCGACTATGCAAGCAACAACGACATGCGCACGTCACATAGACGTATTGTAACATGGAGCGCTAGCAGTAACATGGGAGCTATACCGAGGCGAAACCGAGATGTCCTCTTGTAGTATCTTGGCGGACCCGATGTGTTGGGGGGTGGATCGCGACCGTTTGGGTCTGCCGCTTGGCCGGCTTCCGAGTAATAGCTTGAGACTCTGTTGGGCCAACCGCCTTGGTGCCATCAAGCTGCCTAAGAGCATTGCCTAGAGGTCGCAGCTAGTGGCCAAGAGCCATGAGGAGGACAGTGCCAAGGACGTCGCCAAAGCCAGATACGAGCCCACTTTTACTTTGGACGGTGTCGGAGACGTCGCCACAATCCACGAGGCCTAGTTTCTCAGAGACCAGATATAGACTTGTAAAAGGACGCACGCGAAGTTGAAGTGGCCAAACCACCGACAAGACGGAGATGAGGCGCGGTGTATGCGAAGAAGCTACCTTTTAGCGAGCGCAGTATACTGATGAAGGGTAATGAGAGATACCGACAGACAGTGAACGGCGAATCCCGCCCCAAATCCTGTGTGGTTGGCAGTCGGGTGGCGTGCACGAGAAGTGGCGAGCTAGACATACAAGTGAAGAGATGTCGCGTTTGTCAAGGGTCGGGAGCTACTTGCGCGTCGAGAACTGGGGGCCACTGTCGAGCAGAGGGTAGGAAGGCAAGAGGCTGGCGAGGTTGTGAAAGAAGTTGAGGATTATATATGTTCAAGGAGGAGGCGTCCAGGTCACTTCTGAACTCCGCCACGGCTTCGAAACGATTTTGGCAGGAGGCAGCGGAACAAAGCTCTTCCACAAAAGGCAAGTCACTTACCGTTCTCGGCGGGGTGTGCCAGCGGCACGACGGCGTTCTGCTGCGCAAGCTCACCGGCTCACCGTTGATGTCTAGGTGAGTGCAGTGCCTCAAGCCCTATCGATCCCAAGATCACGGCTAGGAGCTAATGCAAATGTAGAGCTGGATTGAGATCGTTGGGTAGGACTGGCAGACATTTGGCGCCCGGCAATCGTCACTCAGGAAAACGGACCCAGAGCATGAAAGAAGCTGGCTTCGGGGTGAGAATGCAACATATCTGTGCATTAGAATGGGGCTTGTTCTGAGAACTAGGTGATTTGCCACATACTCTGATTGTTGATCGCCTCGCCTTGAGGCCACAGGTCACCAACCCCTTGCGTTTCCTTGCTCAAAGAAGTATCGGCGGCTACGATGTCTTTGCGCGACACGCACCATCTTCAATTGCTGCGTTGGACAACCCTATGCTGCATGCATATCATATCATTACCTAAGGGTACGGCCGATAGGGGCCTGCAGTGCGACATGTTTGTTGCAGAGCGCCTCTATCATCCAGCAGAGGCAGCGTCTGGGACGGAGATTAATGGCAGAATGCACGTGGGCGTAAGCGTCGATTGGCTCGCAGACGTCGTAGCTTGACAAGCGCTTCCGTAGAGAGCAGTAGCCTCAGTGCGAAACTCCCGACGTTGGAGGCGGTGGCGGCGAGGACGGTGGGAGGAATGGCGAGGACGCCGCTGAGCACGGCGACGGATTATCTCGGCAACTGCCGACAGCAAGAACGGGGGTTCCCGCGAGCAATCCGATGTTTCCCCGACGGTGTCTGCGCCTCTGATGTCCACGGCTTCCACTTCGGATTCGACATGAACATCTACCACTTCTTCAGACCAAGCTGATTTGATATGGAAAGTACAGTGTAGCCTCAAGGTCCCGACTTCCGCTGACTGGACCCAAAGAGCGCTCCGCAGCCATGACTTGCCTCTGACTGACTGGAGTCAAATCACAACGCACGTGTCTAAGGCGCAATGGCCCACACAAGCTTCTGGCAGTTTACGGACGAAAAGCACGACACACGCTGCTATCCTAAACGAGTGACAGAAGGAGGCCATAGTCATTAAGGATAGGCAGCCGCTTCCAAGAGACAACGAGTCCAGCCTCGCACACACGGCTAGGAAGGCTATGCGCTGCAAATCGTGAATCTAGTTTGTCGCGCTGTGCATGACTGTCTCTGTCGAACAATGGTACCACGAATCCGCTCCTCCTTCGACTTCAGTAGGTATGCCATGTAGGTTGCGCCCATCCGAGTCGGCACTTCAACACCTACTTTCCGTTCAACCCCCACAGATCGAATAGGCTTTTGTCTCACAAATATTCACCGCCCATTGCACCGTACACAGGTGTTCACCTCTAGTACTTCGTCGTATATGTACGAGTCACTGATCTCTCTGGCTTTAGAGTGGTATGGCCGCTCATCTTTCAGTCCTCGATGGGTGTTAATCTCTGCATACATTCCCTTTAGCCAATCGTACTGAGAAATCCGTCCCGTAGCTTGGAAAATGGCGTCTCATGTTCTTCTACATCTTCCTCAGCCTTTGGTACGTGTTTCTCCCCCTATCTTCCCCTAAATATGTTTGTTTCTCGTCGTGAGAGCCGTGCCCTCGCATGTGCGACCAGGAGTTCATCTCCTGGCGAGTCCCTCAGCTCGTGGGCGCCGTGGTCGCCATCTCCTTCGTCGGCTCCTTCCTGGGCCTGATGTTTCCCATCGTGATGAACGACGCGGGCCGCATCCTGGATATCGGCTTTGGCTCTGCGAGGGGCGGTGTTGCCCTTCGTCACCGGGGAAATATCGGCTGAGACCAGCATTAACAGCTTACAACCCTTCGTCTGTGCTGTCTCTGAGGCATCGCAGAGCCCGCCTCGCCCCGACCACGAAGCTGAAGACTTAAGAGACGTTACCTCTCGGAACGCACACCCTGACTTGGGGTAAGATCGATGCCATATTCGTGTTGGCAGTTCTGCAGGCCGCCGTCCTCCGGCTGGCCTGCGTAGCTTATAAACTGTAGCCCCGAGCAAACTCTCTGTGTTCAGCGACTCCATCCCGACCAGCCCACATTCCCTCACGTTCAGCAACGACAATGGTTGTCAGTGCCGTCGTTGATGCGGTCCTTGACGAGAACAGCCCTACCCCGAGCGGCGCGTCTCCGACTCTGGAGGACTTGAAGGACGCTGGTGATGTCTCGCAGCTGCCGAAGCTTGAGGGCGGACCTGTTTCGCAGGATGCTTCACTAGAGCTGACGCCTCGCATGAAGCGCGATGCCATCCTCCAGTTCGCAACGCTTTGCTACTCAATATTTGTCTCTGGTTGGAACTACGGTACTCTGGGTTCCTTGCTCCCACGTCTTCAAGCAGTATATCATGTATGTCCGTGTTGACTCCCTTTGCTGCTGACCGTTGACACTTTGCCTTGATAGGTGGGGTATACCAGCGTATCTCTGATATTCATGATCAGTTGTCTGGTGAGCGGCCGGTAAATGTTACTATGGCTAGAGTCCGAGCTAACCGAATCATCACACACAGGGTTGCATCGTGGACTCCTGTAGTTTTTGGACTTGACTGATCGCTTCGGATTTGGTATTGTATGTCGCATACTTCGGATGCCGATCACGCGCCCTCCACTGACATCCTCTTTTCGATGGTTGAATTTGACTCGCTGGGACGAAGGTCATCGTCGTCGCCTCTATCTCCATGATGGTCGGCTACTGCCTGGAGGCGGCTGCTGTTCCCTTCCTCTCTTCGTGACCTCATACTTCCTCAACGGCTATGGCTCCGCTCATATCGTTAGTTCATTGCTTCATGTTGATGCACGCCATTGGGCGGATAGTAAGGCTTGATTTGTAGAATGCTGGCACAAACGCCTTTCTCGCAAGTCTCAGCGTCGGAAAAGCCTCCACTAGGATGGGCATCCTCCATGCCAGCTATGGTCAGCGAATTTCTGTTATTGGAGTGAATATCGGAGTTGACGTCCCGGTACGGTCTCAAGGTTTGGGTGCAATGACAGCCCCGCTTGTGGCGGCACAGTTCTCGGGGCTTCCCCGGTGGTCATTCGTCTATTTCACGCACCTTGGCATCGCGTCGAGTGCTGCACTATTGCAGTCGGCTATCTTCCGTTTAAGGACACAAGAGCGTACGTACAGTCTTGTCCTGGCCCGGAAGCTAGTTTCTAATAAGCCGGCGCCGCTAGACTGCTGGCAAGATTGCGGACGGCCTCCACCAGAGCAGGATTCGGATGGGTGGTTGGCACGATACAAAAAGGTGTTCCGCCTACGTGCGGTACACCCCATGGCGCTTTTCTCCTTCATGTACGGTGGGCATGAAGTCACTGTCGGCGGTATGTTTCGGCATTCTTCTGTTAAATCGACATCTGATCAATGGTCACCGCAGGCTGGATTGTTACGTACATCATCAAGCAGCGCCATGGTGGACACAGCGCTGGATACATTTCCTCGGGTTACTTCGGAGGTACGCAGCTACACTGGGCGTGATGTAGGAGGACTGACCGTTAGTTTAAGGCCTGATGCTTGGGCGCATCGCTCTGCTTCCCGTTAGCAAATTTGTAGGTTCAGTTGACTGTCTACTCTGACCTTGAACACCGGCTTAATGAGCATGTACTCAACAGGTCGGCGAAAGACGTGTTGTTTTTGTCTACATCTGCTCAGTCATCGGGTCTGTGCATCTTCTTGCCGCGCTCTACCCACCAGCGTTCTTCGTGATCGCTTACTGACTGTGCTCTCCTTTCAGACTCGAACTTATAGTCTGGCTCGTCCCCAATTTGTTTTCAGGTGCAGTCTGTGTCTCGTTTGTCGGCTTCTTCCTGTGGACCATCTTCCCCATACTCATGAACCACGCCGGGCGCGTCCTCCCGCCCGACTGCATCTCCGGCGCCATTGGATGGGTTGGCAGTTGGGCCTCTGTCGGGGCCGCCGTATTCCCCTTTCTCACGGGGGCGATCGCGTCCAAAGCAGGGATCGGGGCTTTGCAGCCTGTGTACGTTCCCACATCCATCCTAATGGTGACACTTACTAATGTCAAAGCGTGATACGTAGCTTGATTGCGATGATGAGCCTGCTGTTCATCATATGGATTATTGTCCCTGGCAAGCGGGAGCAGCTCGTTTGAGGGGCCGGTTCCTTTGGGATGCAGTATGTACCTCTTATAGAAGGTAGGTCGTCGTCCTTTCACCCCAGACTCGAAATTGGAAATTAATCCCTGCTCATGGTACTTTAGATTGTTGCCTTCGTGACTGTGTGCTTACGATCATAGATTTCCTTCCAGTTACGACATACATGCGTTATAGACTCTATACAATTGATTACATGACTGCACAATCGTATTGTGACTGGAAAGCGAGCGCGCTGCTGCGTACGTGGCTGCGTCGCCAGTTGCGTGCAGTCGTGATTTCTTTGGCTGGGTGAGAGATTGTCAGCTGAGGGCGCCTGTGAAGCAGATGGGGCAAAGAACGAGTACCGCACCGGTGACGAGTGGATCCACACCTTGCAGCCTCCACTCCTGCCTTCCTTCCTTCTCAACCTCGTTTCTTTACTCCCACTTAGCCATTGCCCCAACTTGCGCCGACTCTCCAAGCCGCTTCAGGCTGCGCGCTGCCATACGTGGCATAGGGCGCCCACATAGGTCTTGTGAAACCCTTGCCATGATGACCTATTGCCCTCTTAAATCAGATGAGTACCGCAATAACACGGCTTCTCTCCATTCCTTTGTTGTGTCCCCCACCGTCGGGTAAACGACCTGTGCATGTGCGTTGTCGCTGCTGAACTCGCCTGGACTTGTCGTGTCGGCGCCCTATGGGAACGCCGGAAAGCTGCAGTTCGCCTCTCTGGCACCAGGTGGTCCGTGCGCGGGCATCGTTCTGGCCCCGTATCGCCGACTCCCCCGTCGTTGTGGGAGCTCATCGGGACCCCGAAACCCGGCTGCTGTATTCCCTGCTGCAAAGGCCACCTGAAAGCCCAATTTCGCGGTCACTTGCCTGTTCAGAGTAAAGTGCATGATGCCTGGTCTTTTGGGAGGAAATTGCAAGTCTCGAAATGCGGGTGCGCCGCTTGAAACCGCGTCATCTGTCTGTTGTGAGCCAACGTTCCAGCCCCCGCGCCGTGCCGCGCGTGAGGAGGCGTGGAGGCTTCTTTTGTGTACAAGGCTTTGCTGGCGTGTCTGACTCCCCCCAGGAACCCACTTTGGCCTCTTACCTTCACCATGGGAGGCTGCTGCAACGATATCGACTGCGACTCAGTTGCCCAGCGCATGGATAAGCATGCGAACGCTTCTTGCGCGGACCATAAGGATCAAGGCAAGACACCCGATCCTGGGTGCTGCGAGGGCGATAGCTGTGGTTGCGATGGTAGGTCGTCCATGGCACCGGGTCACTGTTAAACCCGCTACATATATGCGTCTGTTCTATAGACACATGCATTGACGAGCTCGCTCGTGTAATCTGTGCTGATGACGACACCCATCTCCACACCCGAGCGGAGGCAGGTAGCCGCCTGAGCGGCGACGCTTGTGAGTACGATACTCGCTGCTCTCAGCGCGACACTGACTTGCTCCAAGCGATTGGATCTGACTGTACTTGTTGCGACGAGGACAAAGAAATCGAGGCCGAGGACAAGGCGGACGGAGAAGCCACTACGCAGTCGACACCCCCTAAGCCAGTCCAGCATTGCGCGCACTCCGGTCTTCGCAAGCGCACTACTGCACAACGACCCTCATCCTCGTCCTCTGTCCCTAAGCAAGCGTGCGGCGAGCACCGCAACATGGCCCGCAACCGCTACAACGATACTTTAGCCGCCTTTGGATGCGTCTGCAAGGCACTTCTTGCGCGTGGCCTCAAGTCCTGCTGTACTCCTCCGAGCCTCGCCGGGAAGGCCATTGCGTGGCCTCCGTCGAGCAAGCACGGCGCCAAGCTCACTAACAGGCGCACATCTGCGGAAAGCTCTCGTGCCCCCTCTGTGAGCAGCTGCTGTGGCAAGAGCGACTGCGGAGGCGGACAAGCCCTGAGCATCCGCAGTCTTCCCTACAGTGGCCATGTGGGATCGCGATCCGTTCGCTCTCGCTCTTGTGCCTCTGTAGATTCATGCTGCCGTGACAGTTGTTGCGGCGACGGGTCGGATGAGAAGAGTGAGCACGTTGCTATTGACATGGCGGAGAAGGGTGCAGGTGCATACAACGAGCATGTCGTTCTCGCCATCAAGGGAATGACGTGTACCGGCTGCGAGAACAAACTCATTCGTACGCTCAAGGGAATTCCCGCTATCCATAACGCGAAGACAAGCCTCGTCCTATGTCGTGCTGAATTTGACTTCGACAACGACGCCACGGATATCACTTCCCTAGCCCAGCTAATCGAGAAACGTTCGGGCTTCTCTGCAGAAGTAATCAAGGCGGGATTCACTCGCGACCTCCTCATCAACGTTCCACGGTCTCTTCAGGAGCAGTTCATGGCTGCTGCACGTCCAAATGGCGTCCAGGTGGCGGTCCGTTCAGGGAAGGATACCCTAATCGTCAAGTACGACCCCAACCTCATCGGAGCACGGGACGTGATAGAGGCCTACTGCGCATTCACTCCTGTCTTGGCCCCCGAACCTCTGGATCCATCCATTGCGGCCGGTGCGAAGCACGTCCGCTTGTTGTCTGCCCGCGCCGTCCTTTCCGCATTGCTCACGATTCCCGTCCTCGTCATGACTTGGGCGCCTCTCCCTCCTCACCCCCATGCTTATGCAATTGCCTCCCTCGTACTCGCCAGTATCGTCCAGGTCGCCATTACAGGTCCTTTCTATATCAGCTCGTTCAAGAGTTTGGTGTTTTCCCGCCTCGTCGAGACCGAATTGCTCATCGTTCTCAGTACCACCGCCGCATATGTCTACTCCGTCGTCGCCTTCGCCTTCGAGATGGTCGGCCGACCGCTTGCGACTGGACAGTTTTTCGAGACGAGCACGCTGCTCGTCACGCTCATTATGGTGGGACAGGTCATCAGTGCTATCGCCCGCCAGCGCGCGATCGAGGCCATCTCTATCCGGTCTCTGCAGGAGAAGACAGCATGCATCGTCTTTCCCGACAAGACCGAGCGCGTTCTCGACGTCCGCCTCCTCCATTCCGGCGACAAGTTCAAGGTCCTCCCCGATTCCGCCATTATCACCGATGGCGAAGTTATCTCCGGAACGAGCACCGTCGACGAGTCGATGATGACGGGCGAGTCACGTCCCGTTGAGAAAGGTCCGGGAGACGCAGTCATCGCCGGCACGCTGAATGGCCCTAGCACGCTCGTGGTCAAGGTCACACGTCTCCCTGGGGAGAACACGATCAGCGAGATTGCGGGCATGGTCGACGATGCGCGCTTCTCGCGTGCCCGCGTGCAGGAGACTGTCGACTGGGTCTGTGGTTGGTTCGTCCCCGTGGTTCTCGCGCTCGCCATCGTCACCTTCGCCGTCTGGATGGGTGTGGGTGTTAGCGTGCGGCACCAGTCCTCTGGACATGCGGCCGTGGTCGCGCTCACGTATGCCATCTCTGTGCTCGCGATCTCATGCCCCTGCGCTGTTGGGCTCGCCGTCCCGATGGTGATCCTCATAGCCGGCGGGGTCGGTGCGAAGCTGGGCCTGGTATTCAAGTCCGCAACTACCATTGAGCAGGCGCGGAAAGTCACTCACGTCGTTTTGGACAAGACAGGGACCGTCACTCAGGGCAAGTTGTCCGTTACAAGCCGCTTTATCGACGAGGATCCAGGATTCGACGTGCTTTCAGTCGTCGCAGAGCTCGTCGCAAGCAGCCGGCACCCCGTTGCCCGTGCTGTAGCAGCTGACTTGAAGCTCGCCCCTCCCGCGAAACCATCAGTCGACGACATCGAGATGGTCACCGGCAGAGGCGTCCAAGGAGACTACCGCGGGAAGCTGCTTCGCGGAGGCAGCGCGCAGTGGGTCGGGATGCAGTCTCATCCGGCCGTGCAGCCCCTCCTTGCCCAGGGCCTCACGACATTCTGCGTCATTCATGGCATGCGCCTCGTCGCCGCTTTCGGGCTCTCCGACGCCCTTCGCCCGGAAACACAGTCCGTCATCAAGTCCCTCACCGCCCGCAACATCCGCGTCTCCATCCTCAGCGGCGACCATCCCGCTGCGGTTTCGTCCACGGCCGCTATGCTCGGCATCCCACCCGAGCGCGTGCGCGCTAGCTGCCTCCCCGCGGACAAGCAAGTTTACATCAAGGACCTCGCTGCCCAAGGCGAGATTGTCCTCTTCTGCGGAGACGGTACGAACGATGCCGTCGCGCTCGCTCAGGCGGCTGTCGGAGTGCACCTCCATACTGGTGAGGGTGCCGGCGTCGCGGCGTCGACTGCGGCGGACGTCGTCCTCACTCACCCGTCGTTGGTTGGGATCGTCACACTGCTCGAACTGTCGGACGCTGTGGCGCGGCGGATCACGGCGAACTTCGCGTGGTCGGCCATCTACAATCTCGTCGCTATCTTACTAGCGGCTGGTGCATTTGTACACGCGCGCATCCCGCCTGCATACGCTGGTCTCGGAGAAGTTGTCAGCGTTGTGCCTGTGGTGTTGGTTGCGATGCAGCTGAAGTGGTTCAAGGCGGTTGGTACTATGGAGAAATATGACTAAACTTATCTTTGTGCAGTCGGTTTGGTCGCGGTAATGGGTTTGAAACGCGATCGATAGTGATGGTATACTTTGCGTAGAGCTACAGCTATGATAGATAAAGAACGATGATATGCAATAGGCGATCCAATCCGGGAATGATACTGGCGTTGGCTAAAGATACAGCAACCTGTCCAAACGGTACTGAGCGAATTCAACGGTAGCGAGGGTATGTGTGGTATGAACTGGGTGAAGAGAATGATTGAAGTACCCGTACGCAAGCTCCTGCAAGGCAGAACCGCGTTAGTTCTACGCCTGAGACGGCGAGATAACGTTGTACTCACTGCCGATGCTTGCAACGGGGCCTTTCTTAGGCTCAGGCTGGTAGGGCTCCGGCTCAAATATCCGGACTGAGTTCGATTCGCTGAAACTGACCCTCCTGGTCTTAGGTGAACCGCACTCAGAGACGTCCGAATCGGTCGAAGCCACGGTCGACACACTGGCCCGTCGCGAACTGGCGTCCGACGCAGTGGTGGAAACAGTCGACACGCTGTCTCGCCGTGAGCCGGCAGACTCGTCGGCTACAAATGAGGCGGAGGAAGGCGACTTGGGGATCGAATCCTCGTCGGACGTGCTCGAACTGCTCAACTCTTGCGCGTGAGCTTCGAGATTCGAATCGGACTCGTCAACGATTGTGAAAACCGAGGGACGTCTGAGGCAGCTCTTGGGGCAGGCTGCGGTGGCTGATGACTGCATCTCGGAAGGATAGACAATGAGCGAAGTGGTCGTGTATGGGGATGCGCGATGACGAGTGTCGTGGCGTGATATGCTACGGTCACTCGTACTGGGGGATTTAGTTGGTGGGTTAGGATGGACGACGTTTAACCGGCGCATTATATACTGCAGCCCACGATGGCACTCACGAAGTCATGCATCCGGAACCGCTCCACATAGGGTAATTGCCAAGGAACGCTACAACGCGCGGGACTTAGAACTATCGTGACCCGACGATCTGCAAGTCAAGACCGTGCCCCAAGCAGAGCAAATGGAGTACTCGAGCGGTGCACGCGCAAGATTTCCTGTGCAGTAGGATTAAACGGGTCATCCGCATGTGCCCGAGACGTGGACTGCAGCACCGATCCCTACGTATAGGGGTTGAGGACGCAGCGGATGTATGCGGAAACGATCGCTGACGTGGCCTCCATTTATTATGGCCCCGTATTCCTTAGGTAAGGGGCACTTCGTGCGGTCTCTCATGCGCAATGCGGGCAGGATTAGAATCTTGGCGACCAGATTCTGCCCGTGTTGCGCATGAGACTCACGATGCGCGCAGAGCGTCACGGGGGTCCTGATAACGCTATGAGCTCGACTTTTTATGCCAAGAGGGACGATGCATACCAAACATCCGTACGTGTGACAACTCGTACATGGCTCAGGGCTGAACTGATTCGAGGCCAGGCTGTGTGGTCGGCGTCGACACTGCGTCAAAGGCAAGCGGAATAGACGCCGGATAGGAGTTCAAAGTCTTATGTCATCGCAAGATCGACCTCCTTCCTATCTATTGAGACCATCCCTCCGCTATCGGCGCTACTATGCTTGGCAAGAGCCCATCGGTTCGGCACAAACCCCTCGCACCGAACATGCGGACGGTACACATACGAGACTCGGGACCGCCGAACACCACCACCTACCAGTGATAGTCTGGCCATCATCATCTAGAAGTCTTTCTTTCACTGTCGAAGGAACCGCCGTCGATGCGCCGCCTGGACGACTCGGTAACTCCGAGTCAGAGTGTGGTCCACCGTCCCTCGCGCCCCACAAGTCTCTACCGTGCAACGTATGGTTATCGGCTTATAGGAACCCTTGTTAGATATTCTCCGACAATCTCGGAAGAATATGGCACAGCGCAAAGAGGTAGATGACGGGTTAGGGAACTGAAGCGCCCTGCCAAGAGCTCACCACAGCGCACTAGTGCGACCCCAGAGGCGACGCATTAAGCGCCTGACCCCAGAAGCGACTGACACGCCTCCAGGTCTCGCATTTCCCTGTCAATAAATGTAAAAATGTTACACATGAAACTATGTGCTTCTGAACTATCACTTCGAAAAAGAACGAAGGAAATCGGGAGGAATTTGCTCCCGATACAAGTCAATCTGAGTAGGGTTCCAGGGGTTTACTAACCTTGTTGAATTGCCACAAAGAGATCGGCCCTGCCGATCTTCTTGTAACTCCAGGAATTATTTTTAACATGTGCACTGAGTATGATTATTGAGTTTCCGAAGGATTACGGATTGCGGTACCTGAGGAATGGGAAGGGGGTCTCTCGAGCGTGACATTCAGCCACTGACCGAGATAAGGCTGACTTTGATTATGAGCGCCTCGACTAGTGTTCCCTCCGCCAACGTCGTTATCGGACGACTGATAATAGCGGTGTTTAAATCGGCAGTCTTCGGCACCGTGACCATTGGTGACAATCTGTGGGCGCCTTTCCGTCGTTTTTGGGGTCAGACGTGTAATTCCACGATGCTCGAAGCAAAATTCCACCGATTGCCTTCATATTTTACGGGTATATACTGTCTAAAATCCAGATTAAGTGTGCCAAGATTGAGATTCATGGGGGGAGATGCGATGGAGATATGCACAAAATACATTCTGGGCCGTCGCTTCTGGGGTCACACTAGTATACTCCTGGAGTAGTGAATGCAATCCCCCCACACGGCAGGCACTGGCCAAATTCTCGTGCCAAGAAAGACGAGAGAAACTTCGGGACAGTCTTGACTTCGCCCGGAAACATAACATCTATACCACATCACACAAAAAATTGACTTTCTCTACACCTT